GAACAATAGCCAGAGGTGTATTTGGAGTTGGAAGGAAGATTTTGAGTACATTAGGTATACTTAAAGAGAAAGCACAACCTATTATACAAACTGTACAGAAAGGTTGGGATGTAGCACGAGATGCAACAAATCTTATTCCAAATCCTGAAACAAGAGGAAAAGTTCAAGGATGGATGGACAATGTAGGAAGACAAGCAGGAAACTATTATAACAAAGCAAATGACTACTATAACCAAGCAAATGACTACTATAACCAAGCAGGACACTATATGGACCAAGGTGAAAGATTCTTTAACAGAGGATATAACCATGCACAACAATGGGTAAGCAATAACCAACCGCAACCACCTCAAACGTGGGGAATGTAAATTTTTTTACTGAGATGAAATGAACAATGCAGCATTGAGACAAATGAGTTCAAGATGGATTTGTCGGCTTCCAGCATTTACACCACGTGTTTGTAAAGTTCTTCCTATACCTCAGGAAGTTTTAGACCGACTTAAAAAACCTAAACAACCAGTTGAAAACAAACCAAACTAAAATTTTTTACTGAGATGAAATGACCGAAGAAGTTGAAACGGTAGATTTGACACCACAAACAAAAAGTTCAGAACCATTGTCAAAACCTGTCAAAGAACTTACAGATGAAGAGAAAAATTCAATAATAGAAAGTGCCAGGTCTGGAAATACAAACCCTAACTATAAAGTCACTTTTCATAGAAATGGAACGGCTAGTATCTCAAAAAAGAAACAGACTCTCACAAATAAAATATTGAAGTCTGAAGGAGCTTTCGAGACAACAGATGGAAAAGTTTACTTCACTGACCAACAGTTCATTATAGAACATCTCATTGACTTAGAGTTGAAATATTCTAAACTTTACAACAAACACAAAAAGTTGAAAGGAAAACAAAAACAAATGGCATATGATATTTATGAAGATGTTGACGACACAACTGTTCCTGCAAGTGAAGTAAAGTCAGAGGAACCGAAAAGTGACAAAAAACCGATAGAAGAAGAGAAACCAAAAACTGAAGATAAACCAAAACCAAAGTTTAGTTTCCAAACTAAACCAAGTCAACCTTCATTAGCTGGTATGGGTTGGCGTCAAAGACTTATGGCAGCAGGCGGTTATGTAAAGTAAAGAAAAAAACATATTTTTTTATTTTTATAAAAATGCCCCCATATAGAATGGATAGAAAATCTGCTAGAATAAAAGCAGAGTTACAAAGATATGGTTGGAGAGTTTCGAAGAATTTTAAATATAGGAAGGGAAGACCCATAAAAGTCTATGACAAATTGTCTGGTCTTCGCTACGAAATGGATTTGGAAACAGCACGTGCCAATTATCCAAACAGACTAGAGAGGTTAGAAGAAGAACGTCTTATGGACATGCCTTTCGATGTTAGTGAACCTCAAGTTGAAGGACACGACGGCTTTGCCAGATTCTACTGGAAACATGACGAACAATTGCATCCTTTGAGAAGGAAAAAAGGAAAAGGTGAAGACGCACATGCTCCCATGGAAAGAACAAGATATGCATATGAAAAGTATCGTGAAGTTAGAAGTCAAATTACATCTGGTCGAACCTTTACAGTAAACTTTGACGAAGGAAAGAACAAAGAAGGCTTCATGGGAGTACTTGCTGCCATACAAGACGGAAATAAGAAAGGACACAATCTCAGATTGACCATAACAGATTTGGATGGTCACATTTACTATGCACATGACAATGAACAAACAGCCGCAAAACTTCTTGACGCTTTCAAGACTACAAAGAGAGAACAAATGGTTGACTCCGACTCAGACATTTTGAATGCAATTGAAGGAATTGCAAGTGTCAAGTTCGAATGGTACCAACCTAACCCTCAAGCAGTCAGACAACATGCTGGATACTTCCCGTTCATAAATAAGTCTGACATTGACTTGACAAGGTATGGAATTTACAATTCAATTGAAACAATTGTCAATGAACCTTGTATTCTTACATGTCTCAGGAACTCTGGTCTTGTTCAGAGAGAAGATGAAGTATCTTGAGTCATGTGTGAAGACAAGGTACATTCTCAGAGGTCAATTGGCAAAAATTGCACCGTTGGCAAATGTCAATATCCGAGTCAACATACCTACAGCTAAAGGTTCTTCACATGACGACTATGTTGTTGACAAAGACTTACCATGGTTGAAGATTGTAATTGTCCACAACCACTTCATGTTGAACGAAAGTCTTACAAACCCATTCTTTGGTAAAAGTAAGTGCAACATTGTCAGAGCTGTAAACATTCTTTTCGAGAAAGGTTTGTTGGAACCAATTCCAGATGACAAGCTGACAGAAACTTTTGTACCAAAAGACGAAACAAACTTTTCATTGTTAGCAAGACCAAAAGTTGTTCCAGACAAAGTTCTAGTACAAAAGAAGTACACAGTTCCACAAGGAGTTGGTATGTTCGGATACCAACCTGAACCAGAAGAACTTCCAATGAGGTTGCAAGAACTTCAAGATGCTATAAACAAACTTCCATTGAGACATCCAATTGACGTCAAATTGTATTGGAGAGCATCTGAGTTAGGTCAGAAGGTTTTATATGAAACAGGTTGCTTCGACGATGTTTATGAGATAACAGGAGAAGTTTCTCAGAAGATAAGAGACTCACTTGAATTTCCACAAACTGGACCAATTGGTTGCGACAAGTTCGACTCAGATGAAAAGATATACTATGTCGACCTTAACGCTGCATACATGAGGTTTGTCCAATATATTCCGACTGGAATTCCAAACGAAGATGGTGAGTTCCCGGGAAGGAACTATACAGTTGGAAAAGTCATATAACAACTGTATGATATTAGGAAAGCTTCAAACCCCAAACTTGCAATGACACTCAAATTGCTTATGAATTCGACATGGGGATATTCCATTAAGAAACCTCAAGAGATGAAGAGTAAACATTATGAGAAGGTCGACAACTTTGTTGAAAGGTTTTCTCCTTTTGTTTTGAAGTACGAATTCACTCAAGGTCAAAGTGGCTTAGTAACCACATTAAAACCTATTGTCGAACATTGGTCTTACCCTCAGTTCGCAAAAGCAGTCCTTGACAACTACAACAAATTCTTCTCCGAAGTCAAATCGAAAGTCAAGGTTTACTATGAGAACATTGACGCACTCATGACGAACGAAGAAGGCTATAACAAACTCATTGAAATGGGTTTAGTCGGTGAAAAGATGGGTCAATTCAAATTGGACAAAATTTTCACCGAAGTTCATGTCCTCTCCAAGCGTAAGTACTGGGGTGTTAAAGAAGATGGTGAAATAGTTAAACATTGCATGAAATAAAAAATTTATTTTTTAAAAAGTGACATTTTTTTAATGGCGTACATCCCTGAGCGCTTCGTCCAGTTCAACCAAATGTTGGTCTCGGACCCAGGCAAGAGATATTCCAAGCCCGAACTCGACCGTCTCTTCAAAGAATGGATTGAAGACTACAGAGGAGACGAGTGGTTGACAATTGAATTTGCTCGGGCTTGGAATTGCTACAGAAGGGTCTTAGACGTGGACCCAAGACTCACGTACAGAGGTTGGGATGTGGTCTTCACATTCCAAGATTGGTACGAATACCAAAAATAAAAACTTAAATTTACTTGGGGTTTCCCCCTAAAATAAATTTTTTTTACTCTTAGAACCAATCGAGGTTCTCCTTACGGTTGTTGAGCTTGTCACCGTCAATGTGTCTGACCTTCGTCTTCTTGTCTGGATTTGGAACCCATTGAATTGCGACAAGCTTGCCCATGGAGATTGAACCGCAATTCCGAAGGTTAAGGTTCAAGTGTCCCAAGTTGTTGAGGACTGGGGTAAGAACCTTGCCTGTCTCCTTGTTGCGGATTTGGTATGGGTAGGGTTGGGAAATTTCGTAACCGTCATCGGCAACAAGGGTTGCCCATGTAGCGGCTTCAGGAACTTCTTCTTCTTCCTCTTCTTCTTCGTGTTTCTCTTCTTCCTCGACAATTCCTTCTTCAATTTGGTACTCACGAAGTACGGTGTTGCATGTTCTGTCCTTTCCGAGTACCTTCCAGATGGCGTCTATCTCTTCGAAGAAACGGTAGATGAGTCTGCCAAGGTCTCGGTTCTCTCTCTCGTAATTGCGCAAGGTTTCCGCGAAATCGTTCAGGCATTTCTCATTGGAAGCTTGGTTCATGAGGACATCGGCTTTGAGATTGGTCATCTCTGTCATAAGACTACTTTGGAGAGTCTTAATGGTGTTTGTCAGATGAGCTTTCAATTGGGCAATTTGAATTTGAAGTGGGCGCTTGTCTGGCAACCTTGAAAGGACATCTGCCATTGTGTTCGGCTTCGGTGCTTGTTCGGACATCGAAAAAATGAAGTGGTTTGAGAATGCGGTTTTACTTCAAAAAGCTTGTTATGACAGTTATGTCATACAACAAGTTTAAAATAATATCTTGTTCTTCTTCTGAACGTTTGTTGTCTCTTCCGATAAAAGTTTCGAACATGAGAACCAAAAAACGTTTTTTGAGAATTGCGGAAAGAGTTCAGGCAAACGTTCATATTCTGGATATGTTGGGAGCAGTTCAAAACATCTGAGCTGACTTTCGGACAAAATTGGGACAATGTCAGAAAATTCATCTTTGGTCGGACTGCTTGAAGGTAAGTCCCTTACATGTAAGTAGCTCTGGTAAAGTCTTCTCATTTCTGCTAACTTCTGGAGTATAGCTTCGTATTTAAGAGTTTTAATTTTAATTGTCTTATTCCTCTCTTGACATCTAAACGGTAAGTATCCATGAGGTCAAGAGTAGCTTTGGTAGCTTTAAGTGGAGCTATCTCTTCTTTGACTTGTGCAATTTTGGTTGCAATTGTGGTTTGAGCTCCTTCAAGTTCGCCGTCTATGTCGTTCTCAACGCCTTCAACCATAGCTTGAAACTCTTCATCGGTCCATTGAGATTGGTGTGGGACGAATTTAACTTGCTTCATTCAAAAAATGAAAAAAATGTTTTTACTCTAAGCGTGCCATGTATATGGCTATAAGAAACTTACCAGAAGGCTTCTTCTTCACATGAGTCTTTGGCAACTTGAGAGTTCTTGTTGGAGTTGGGTCTGGAATTTCAATTCTCTCTCGAGCGCAACAACAGAAAAATTGTCTTCTCTTGCCACCATAAACTGTGTATTGACCGAACTTGCATTTGCAGGAAGACCGGTCATACAAGGTTCACAGTTGAAATAGTTGTACTCATACCTGGTGAGTACGAGTGTGAGTAAAAACATAAAAAAAGTGAGTTAAAATGAGATGTTTACTGAATTGGTTGAATGTCGCCTTCACAGGTTATGTAGAACGCGGCTGACCAGAGAAGTGAAGGAGACCCTTGAGAATTTGGTTCATTCTTGGGAAAGGGTTCTCTGTTTGGAAGTAGTATCCAAGGACGCTTGGCAAAGAACTTTATAATGGCTTCCTTCTTTGCTTGCTTTATGTCGTCGTAGACTGTCCCGTCTGGTATTTGAATTGGAATTCCAGTCGAAGTCTCGAGATTCAAGGCAGCCCTTCCCGTTATCCAACCGTTAACAAGCTTGCCTTTTACATTCTGCCTGAGGAAGTCTTTAACAAGCTCGTTAATTTCAATTAGGTAAATTGCCTCGTCGGTAGGTTCGACCTCGACCATTGCTACTGTCAGAAAAAGTACTGCTACTGTCAGTAAAAGTACTGCTACTGTCAGTAAAAGTACTGCTACTGTCAGTAAAAGTACTGCTACTGTCAGTAAGAGTACTGCTACTGTCAGTAAGAGTACTGCTACTGTCAGTAGCAGTACTGCTAGTAGCAGAGATTTTTATCGTTGTGGTCCGACAAGACACAAACGAATGTCCGACGTCCCACCAACCGAGTCCATTCCCAAACCAGAGGAACCTAAAGAACCACAACAGTCTCCTCAGCAACCTCAGTTCCAGCAAGTACCTCCACCAAATTACTACCAATTTCCACCTCAAGGTTACTACCCACCACAAGGCTTCCCGAACTACCCTCCTCAACCTATGCCTTACTTCCCCAACCCTTGGTTGTTCCAGCAAGCTCCACCCCAGCAATTCCAATCTCAATCCCAATCGAAGAGAGACCAAGAGTTCGAAGAAGGTCTGAACCGTTTACGCAAAGAGTATGCTACAGCTCCAATGGAAGACGACAGGCTTTCAGTCTCTTCCCTCAAATCGACCAATTCGACTCGTACCACAGATTCGGTTCGTGACCGTGAAGACTACCTCAAGCAGTCTGAGAGACTCTTCATCTTACAACCATTTACAGTTGGAGCTCTCAAGAACATGCGCAATTACGAAGGTCAGACACCAGCTGGAGACCGCAAAACAGACGTGCTTACAAGAGCAGTCCAACTGGTCAAGACAAAGACTGAGATAGTCGACTTCATTCTTGCAGCTTGCCCATACAAGTAAAAAAATAAACAATTACGAATTAAACTTTTTACTCTTTCTTTTCTGAGTTGTTTAGAGCTGGTTTCTCTTGTAGAAACCTTTCGTACTCTTCCATGGTCATGTAATTGCGAATTTGGTACGCAATTCCAGGTTCGTTGTTTTTGAACCTGATGTATGTAACGCTTCCATCCTCCTCAGGGAAGTAAGCTGCTAACATCTGGCCAAGTTTTCTCGGTGACTCGGAGCTCATAAAAATGTCACTTTTTAAACGTTAAGTTTTTAGTCTTAATTTACCCTTTGTTTGTCAAGGTAGTATTGGAGTGCAATTTCTCCAAATTCTCTGTGTCGGAGTTCTTCAGCATTTTCCAAGGTGTACCCGGAGAACTCAAAGAAGTTGTCAAGAACATACTGCCATGCTGCTCTTCTGAGTTCGTCGGTATTTTGGAAGTGTTGCACCTTCGAGTCTTCGGACATGAAAAAAATTACACTTTTTCTATTAAACCGTTTTGGCATTTCTCATGAGTGAGTATAGTTCTGCCGAACCATTGGAAGAGAAGAAGTACCCTTGCTGGCAAAAGACAAAAATAGTTGCCTTAGTTGTCATTGCAATTGTACTCGTAATTGAATTCATTGTACTTCTCTTCACGTACATAAAACTCAGCAATGGTATTTGCTTTAAGAAGCTACCATCTTACTAAGACTAAACACTTAGATTTTTCAAGCTTGACTTTTTACAATTTGAACTTTGTTTGCGTAGATATGAATTCTGAAAGAAGTATGAGGGTCTTGTATGACTTTGTACTTCTCCCATAGTTCATGTCTGTCAAACTTACCTGCCATGGACTCTTTCATAAGTTCCATGAAATCGTCTTCGGACAATCCGGGGAAAAGTATAATGTCAGTAAGTATTCTCTTTACATCCTTACTTAAACTCTTGGCTGTCTGTACACATATTACGACTGAAATGTTAAAGTGCCTAAGTTTCTTAAGAATTCGACACATATCTTGTTCTCTGTTCTTTAACAAAGGATGAGAGGCAAAATCATCTAAGATAAGAAGACATCTATGAGGGTAAGTCTTCCAATCGTAAGATTGCAATTTCTTCGAAATGTATTCTATCTCTTTCTGTTTGTTTCTGAAGTGTTTCTTCTCTAATATTCTCTGCATTTCCTCATTAGGGTCTTTGAACTTAGAATTTATATACTCATTTATAGCATTATACTTCAAAACTCTTCTTTGGTACTTCTTTATCCAATCTAACAACTCAGTATCCTTTATACATACTAACTTAGACTTCTTTATAATATCTTTGAACGAATTGACGGTTTGGTCAAATTGACCAGAAGTCGAACAAATAACAACCAACTCATAGAATGGGTTCTTCTCATCTAGTTCTTGTTGTTGTGCAGCCATTTTAAGATAAGTGAAAGTCTTACCCGACCCAGGTGGTGCAATTAGACCTGTTATACCATTCTGAGCAAATAAGAACTTGTCGTGTATAGGTTTTATCTGAGCATTTTCTAACTTCCTCTTGTTCTTATTTAAAACATTCTCAAATTTCTTGTCAATGTCAGCAAACTTTTTTTCTAACATATTTTTAGAAAAATTAAAATTTTTATCTTTTAGAAAATGTCTAGCGATTTCGCTATCTATATTCGAGACAAACTTTTTGACAGCAAAACATCTGTCGACCATAAAATCTTACATAGTGTAAACAAGAAAGGTGAATTTGTTCTAAAGTTCTGTTTCTGGGAATATGACAAGAACCATAAAACATTACACAGAGCAGTCTTAAAATTTGTCAATGACAGACTTGTTGACAGAGATGACGCCGATTGGAAAGATGAAGTCCAACAAAAGTTCTTAGAATGCAAAGAAGACACATGCGCTGTTCTTGAAGATGAAATAGAAAACAGAATAGATGAGCTATTAAAGGACAAAGAACTTTTACATAAATATGGTTCTGAAATTTGACATATCCACCAGAAAGAAGAAGAGAAGAAAAGAAAGAAAAAAAGTAGAAGAAGAGAAGAAAGAACCTGAACCAGTTCCAGAGAAAAAGAAATTTGACATGTAAAAATAAAATTTTATTTTTAGAACATTTCTGGGTCAATGTCAATGTTCTCTTCCTCTTTAGGAGTAAACACTGGCTTAGACTCTAAAATCTTTTTACCCAATTTACCTTGAACTTCTACAACTTTAGACTCATAATATTCATAGTCGTCTGTCTTCTTTGGTTCATAAGGTATAACAAGTTTGTATGCTTTGCCTTCTTTAAGGTTTGAGAACCTTCTGTCAAAACTTTCTTTGACTGTTAACAAACCTTCTATGTCTAAGTCTTCAAATTTCGCACCATTTTTAGTCACAATAGCAAACTTAACTGGTTCGATGTTCCAAACTTTGCTGAATGAAGACTTTTCAAAATGGTAGAAGTAAACATTCAAATATGTGAATGGGTCTAGTTCTTCTTTAAGTCCTGACATGTACTTGTTTACTGAGATGAATTTTGCATCTTTTCTATCGGATAAAAAATATTTTTTTTTAAAATTTACTCAGAAAAATTTTCTTTGTATATACACCATTCTGAACATCTAAAAGACTTTTGACATTTGCCAAGAATGTACGTTTAGAAGCTGCCATATAACCATATTCTTGACAATATTGTTTATATTCATCATATAAAGACCTTTTCATCTAAACACAAAGTCGTTTCTTCTATGAACAGTTCATAACACTCTTGTTTGCTTCTAACAATGTTTGTCTCTCTTCGGTATGTGGAATTTGTCTTGGATTGAACTTAGAAATATCTAATGTCATGAAATATGAGAACAAGTGGTTGTAAAAGTCAGATGTCAAAGTTTCTGCTAAGTCGTCAAAATATTCTGTATCTTGCATATGAGAATCTGACGTTCTGACAACTACATATCTTCTGTCAGAACTTTCTAACTTCATCGGAACAGCATTGTTTGAAACCATAATGAAGTTTGCAACATTTTCACAAACTCTTTGGTCTTTATACTTTCTTTCAACAACTCCAACTTTGTCTGTTATAAGACTCTTCAAAGCATCTGAGTTCAAAACTTTTGTTGTATCTATACTTTGAAGTTCATTGCAAACTATAAGTTTCATATTCTCTATTGAGGAGTTAAACTTGCCACAGATGTTTTCTAAGTTTGTCATATTCGGATTCGAATAACCTTCTAACAGTTTGCACAAAATATCTGTAAAGAATGTGTTCTTACCTGTTCCTTGTTTTCCAATTATAATGAGAGCAGTTTCATTTTTAGCACTTGGATGTTGTAAGATGTTTGCAAACCAACATAAGATATACTCATAAACCTTTTCGTTTCCATTGCATATAATTTCTTTGACATGGTCTAACCAAGCTTCTATAATATTTTTCCATTCTACTTGTTCGTATTTATATCCAGTGAAGATAGAATAGAAGTTTGGAGAAGGTGTATAAAACTTTATACGAACTGAAAAATCTTCTAACTTTGACAATAAGATATCCCAAGCATCTAACATCTTCATTCCAACTTGTACAACTTTTATTTTCTTAAGTTTCTGTCTACATTCTTGTTCAGACACTATTGTTGCTCTTGGTTTGTTAAAGACAACATCCCATTCTTTCATGACATAACATTCTGGGGCAGAGTCAACATAAATGACTAAACGTTTCAAATTCTCGACTGCTTTGTTATAGTCTCTAAATGGACACATATTTCTGAATGCTTGGAAGTCATAAAAATCTGAAACATCTATTCTGTACATTTTTATAAAAATAAAAAAATAATATTTTTTTATTCTTGACTTTGTTGTTCCATTTGTTGCATTTGTTGTTCTTGAGCTATTTGTTGTTGAAGTTGTTCTTGTAATACAATACTTTCACCAGTTGCATCTTCCAATTCGAAACTTTCTGCCGTCATTGACAAATACATAGGACATAAAAGTTTTACAGGAACAAAGTTTGCGTCAACTAATGTCAACGTTATACTTGCCAAAGTGTTTGAGTTCACTAAGGTTGAAAATTCTGCATTCGAATGAACAATAGGCAAACCAGCAGAGAAAGTATTGTTTATACGCATAAGTATCTTTTGGTCATAATAGTTTCTGTCGACATTCGAATAACACTTTGAACCTAAGTTTGAAACAATATATAAGATTGGTGTGCTTAATGTCAATGGAATAGACATTCCTTGTATGACACCTTTTCCTGTTATAGGAAACTGTTGGTAGTAAAAACCAGAAATAAGTTTTGTATTATAGCTCATATCGTTTATAGTAAACTCAGTCGGACATCCAAACATAATGAAACCTGCTCTAGTTGCAGCACATGTTACACCCGTACTTAAAGTATTAAATAAGTCAACAAAACCTGTTGGTGGTATATCTGAGTAAGTATCTTCAAAGGAGTATTTTTTACCATTCACAACAATAAAGTCTTCTGGTGTCAAAAGAGCAAAACAGGCTTTAGTCGTCATTGTGTTTAAGGTTAGTTTACAATATCGTCCTTGAGGACTTTGTAAGTTTGTTGTTATAGAATTATATGACTCAGGGTTTTTAGTCGTAATAGTATAAACCATTATGTCTTCTGCCATTTACTTAGCAAATAAATTTTAATGAAATGTTGTGGTCGTCAAATATTTTTATAACGTCTGGGAAACTATATTTTAAGTTCAACGTTTCACCTCCTTTCATAACGTATATCTTGTCAATGACATTATATGAAACACCACAGCAACTAATGTCGGGTTCTATTTCTTTGATGTTTATATCGTCTGCCTCTGTCAAAAGTTTCAATAGTTCTTTCAAAACTTCATGAGGTGCAATGACATATGAGTTCACTTTTACAGGGTTGTGTTCGACCAAGTTTAACATTATACTTAAAGCTTGACAAATCTTCTCCTGAGTTTGAAGTTTGTCTTTCAGTTGTTGGTAGTCGTTTCGAATATCTGCAACAGAACTTAAGTCTCTGTTAACTTCAGGATATGTTGGTTCTTTTACAGGAACAATTGTTATACCATCTTCGTCTTCGTATGGTTTCCCCACTTCAACATCTCTGTCTTTGACATTGACAATAACACTTTGACTGTTTGTTTGAGTTGGTGAATTTAACTTCACATCTGCCACCGCCATTAAACCTTTTGAAACACTTACGCTTCTATTTTTCGGAAATGACATTTTACTTAGAATAAAAAGATGGACGTATTCGGATATCTTATTGAATTGAAGCAGAACAAAGTTTATACTCACAAACAATACAAATACATTGACAGAATAGTTCTTTACACAAACAATGGAAAATGTTATAGAATAGCAGTCTTTGCTGAACCTAAATATTTTCATAAAGCAAAGAAAGTTGGTATAACTGAAATGGTGAAAGTTCTTGAAGCAGACAAAAATATAACTTCAAAACTGACCGATATTACTAAAGGAAAGTTTATCTTACAATATTATGTCAAAACTGGCGTACTGTCAATATTTGACGGAGAGAAGTCAGTTCAAGAACAACTTACTGACCTGCTGCCAAAATCTGCTCGATGGAAGCTGTCGTTATGCCAATCTGAGGAGCCCCAGCAGGTTTCATCGAACGAATCTTCAAAAGAGCATCTTCCGTGAAAAGTGCTATTGGTTTTGTAAACTTCTTTGCTCTCAATTCATCTGGACCGTCTCTGTCACCAGTATATTGTATTTGTACAGTACCAACAGTTGAAATACCACCCATAAAGTCTTCTGAGTCAGCAAATGGAATGCCAAGCCAAAAGTTTGAACGGTCTCCATTTGTATATTGAGTTTTTTGACCTCCTGTATGAGTCCATACTTTCACATATGGCATAATAGAACTTTGCATTTCAGGGTTAATGGTTGTTGTGAAGTTGTTGTTAAAGTTCATAGCATCTAATGTCAAGTTGTATGACCTCATATCCTCAACTGTAGAATATTCTTCTCTTGGATAATATTTGCCATCTATGTTTATATGATATTTAATACCAGGGTTGTAGAAACAAGAATAGTCATTTATAGTTCGTCTGAACAGTACAAACATAGTATCTGCATGTTTCATTGCAGTTGTTAAAGCAATATCTGTTCTTGCACCTGCGGCTCCTGGATTTTGGTTTCCAACTTCACCTGCAAAGTCTTTGACAGATATTTGGTGTATAGGGAACATAAGTGGAACTGCAATATATTTGGCAGCTAAAGCATTTGAAATATCTGGGTCCAACATATAGACTGCAAGTCTGCTTTCTATTCTCTTGCATTCAAACTGTTCGCATGTGAACTTAACTGGGTCCCAAGCAGTTCCAGCAGCATTGAAAAAATAGTTTACTTCATTGTTGAAGTTTGAGAAACCAAAGTCTAAGTCAACTTTGTCTTTGCAAAATTCGGCGAATGACGTTTGATTTGTTCCCTTTACGTCTGTAAGAGTGAATGGGTCTTGTGTTGGTGCAATGACTAAGTTATTTTTGCTTGGAGTAAGTTCGATAGAAATTTTTCCTGCCCAGTTTGGCAAGTATCTTAAAAACCTGAAGATGAGGAAAGATGACAAAGGAACTCTAAGTTTCAGTTTTACTTTGGTTACTGCTGCTGCAGTTTGTCCAGAAAGGTTAACATAAACTCCTGGAACGTTAGGGTCAAGTCTTCTTATTTTCTCAATAGTTGCATACTGGTCTGTTTGTTCTCTAGCTTGTGGTTGTACTGAGTTTCTCAAAGCGAACCATTCATAGTTTGCCCATGTTACTGTTTGAACTAAGTCAGAGTTAGAATATATCTTATATCCCATGAAAACTTCTGGAGCATATTGGTATCCGACATAGAAAATTCCATTGCAACCTTTCTTGTCAGACAACTTGGCAGAAGGTTTTATTTCAATGTCTTGTTCCACGTATAAGAATGAGTTGTCAATAGAAATAATATGAAACCTGTCGCAAGCAATATCTACTGTTGTTGAAGAACCTTCTCCAAACTCACCTACGTTTCCATAAGAAACAGCAGTTGTATATTCGTAAGTTCCAGGAACTATTTCTGACCTTCTAATGGCATTGTCGCATTCGTTATACCATTCGGAAACATTTCCGTTCATGGCATCCAAAACTGTTGGCGTTATATTCTGAGCGGCGTACATTTCATATGGGTAAAAATATAGAATAGTTGGATTTATGTGTCATAATAGAACCCACTCGGACCAAGCTTTACTTTCTTCCTGACTGAGTTTTTAACTCTTCTTTTTCCTTCATTGCCACTACTTTCACTAGATGAAGTACTTCTTCACTACTTTCACTTTGTTCTACTCTTCTCTTCTTCTTTGGTGTCGCTTTTGGTAACTTGCCCTCTGCTTCAAGTTGTTGCATCTTTGCCTCATGTTCACCTAGTATGTTGTAAATTTCCCATGTCCTTTTTGCCTTTGGGCTCTGGTCGCCCATCTCAGGTAACCTATATCCTAGAAAGATTTTGTCATCGTTTGTATTTGAGTCTTCGCTTATTGTTTGCATGACTCTTTCCTGAGTTTCCGGTTCAAGCTCTTCAAACAGAGCTTGTCCATATGGAATAAGCTCGTTTCCAAATATATGTTTTTGTAGCCATTCTGGTTTTCTTTCCATGTTACCAATAATATCTTTTGTGAATGGGAAAGCTTTTACCCAACGCTTCAGTCTTGCGTCATTTATTTCTGTAGTTGGTTTTATTTTGTCAAGGAACATGTTTTTCAATACTAACATTTCATTTGGTACTGTCCATTTGAGTTTTCTTAAATATTCATCCCTTCTCGGTTCATTGTCTGCAAAGTAAGTTTTTATGACATTTTGCAAACTTTCGTTTGCAAGGTCATGTACAATAGGTTCTCTTCCTTCTCTCTCCCTAACTCTCTTTCTAAACTCTTCACCAAATATACCATCTCTATGGTTCTGTGTAGTTCTTTGAGATAAATGTTCTAGAACGTCAGGTGTTATATTTCCTTCAGCCATGTTCATTTCATACTGGTCCAAAATATCTGCATATTTCATATCTTTCAATGGCATTAAAGCCGCGCTGAAAATACCAGCTATATCTGGTTCACCATTCACTTCCATTGCGTCTACAACTTCTTGGAATTGAGGTTGTAAGTTTATGAACCACCTATCCGGATTAGCTTTATGACCCCATTTCATTGTAGTTCCATAGTCTGCAGAAACAAAAGTAGGTTTGTTTCCATATTGGTTAGGTTCTGAATGAACTTTAAACAATGTTTCATTTCTATATGTTTTGTTGAAATTTAACCTTTTATTTTCACCGAGTTCAGCCAAAGATTGAACGTTATATGGTCGTAAGTAAAAGGATTATTGTATTTGCGTACATTTTCTTTCAGTACTTCCATTCTATGCTGAATATTTTCATCTGATGTTGGAGTCTTTTGTATGTCGGTGAACATTTTTCGATATTCTTCTACTATGTCAGCCGAATTTTTCTTAGACTCTTGGAAAGATTCCATATTCTCCTCATACACTTGTTGAGGGTCAAGATTTTTCGGCTGTTCCAAATCTTCATCTAGTTCTGTGAAGTTAGTTTCCAAAGGAGGGACTTGTTCGTTTCCTTCAGGCTCTTCTAGCTGTTGTTGCTGAACTATTTCTTCCATGTCTGGTTGTATCTGAACTTCTTCCTGTTGAGTTTCTTGTACCTCATCTGCTGGCATTTCATATATTCCGAGACCGTTTTTAACAAGTTCCCTATCTAAGTCATCCGGACTCATAAACCTTTCTTCTTTCGTTCCGTCTCTATTTTTTACGCGTTTCATGAAGAGAGTTGAATTATCATTTAGCTCTGACACCAAATATCTCGGAGTAAATTCATTCATGTCATTTGGATGATATGCTATTAAATCATATCCCTTAGCGAGCTTGTATTTTCCAGGTTTGAGATTATATCCCATTTGATGCTGAACCATAAAGCTAAATAGGTTCGGGTCAGTATTTCCTTCCTTGAACTTTCTAATAGCTTCTTTATATCTGTCACTAAAGTCAAGAGTATCTGGGTAACCATAATCTTCCTTAAGCATTTTTAAGAATTCTTGGTTTCCTTTTTCTCTACTTCTTTTATGTCCTTGCTCTGTTTGTGGTTGTTGTGCTGGTTGTGGAGGTGGTTGTTGTGCAGGGTTTTGAACTGTTGGTTGCTGTGTTGGTTGTTGTTGTGGTGCTGGATTTTGAACTGTTGGTTGCTGTGCTGGATTTTGAACTGTTGGTTTTGGTTGTTGTTGTGGTGCTGGATTTTGAACTGTTGGTTTTGGTTGTTGTTGTGGTGCATGCCTGTGTCTGTGTCCATGTGACGATGTAAATGTTTTAGGTAGTCCTGGTGCAGGTGCTTCTCTTGGAGGGTTTGGTGGTATATAAGTTCCACCAGCTGGCACATATGTTCCATCTGCAGCATAATGTCCTACCTGACTTTTCGTTTTTAAGAAAGCATTTACTAGGTCTGTTTTGGTCTGTTGTAACTCTTTTTCTTGACTTTCCACAACAGTTGCTCTAACGGCGTCATAGGCACTTTGAACTGCCTGTCTCGTTGCTGCATCTGTTATTTTCGTCATATTTTGTGCTACTTCTCTTAACTCTTTGTCGAAACCTTCAGACTTCAGTTTCTTTCCAGATGAGAAGTCGTTCACTAGTTTCACCTTATTATGAAGAGCTTCGAAGGCATTCTTAAAGTCAGCATTCATTAAAGCTTCATTTGAACTGTCTTCATCCGCTTGTATTTTTGTCCTTATTGACCCTATAAGTTGGGCTGCTTTAGCGTTGGCTTGGGCATCTAACCAGTCATTATTAGCTTTTATATATTCTGCGCTTTTCATTGCCTTTTGCATGGCTGCGTCGTTATTTTTACTTTCTTGTGCTAAGTTTTCATACTGTACGGTTTGGTTTTGCAACTGTAAAAGTTTTTCTGCCTTTACATTTGCTTCAACTTCTTTTTTATACTCATCGCTATCCATATATGTCTTCATGGCTTTTTGTTTTATCTCTTCATCTTTCAGTACTTTATATTGAGTAGTATGGTTTTTCAAATTTATAACATCTTGTTCCATTTTTGCTACTTCTGCTGCTTTTTCTGACACTTTTTTCGCATATTCCTCTGTACTTAGTTCTTTCAGTTGTTCTTCTTTCTTCTTTTTCTCTACGTTTAACTCATTGAGTTTCTTTGTGTGTCTGTCATATTCTAGTTTCTTTTCGTTTTCACTTATTTGTTTCTGTATGTCTATGTTTGACTTTTTGACATATGTTATTTGATTTTTGAGTGAACTCAAATTCATTTGACTTTGAGGGTTATAAGCTGTTCCGTCTGCAGCTCCACCATAGCCTGCCATTTTCGCTAAAAGTGCCGCTCTTAAACCTCCACTCTGTGCACCAATAACTCGGTTTAAAAGCATAGGGTTGCTTGACATTTGTTGCAACATAGTGGGGTCATTCATCATTTGTTGTTGCAACTGTTGTTGTGGTGTCAGTTTTACTATTGGATGTTTCAATGCTCCCTTCCTCTTACGTATATTCTTACGTAGCTTACGTGGCATTTTAAGTGAAGTTAAAAAGCGGTTTTTGACAGATGTTTATATGAGACTTTTTGTTCAGCACAAAAGACTACTCGGTCAAAGTGTTGTCAGTTTTGTAAAATAACCGTCCTATCTCATTCTATAAGGGAGAAAAGGCTTCTCAAAGTATACTTCCTTGGAACGCCTGTAACTTTTCCTGTAGCGACGATAGACCCTTACTTGTCCGGACAAAGTTATACTATTTTGAGTGCTCTACAAAAAAGTCACCGGCTGGTCGGCTGGGGTTCGGTCCTCCTCTTGGGTCTTGGGAAAAATTTCTTATGGGCTAGAGGGCGCAACGCGCCTGGAAGCCCCACTTACCTGACCTAGATTTTTGCAAATCATCAAAAATAATTGTATTTTAAAAAACGATCAAATTATCCTTTCATTATTTTAAACTTAAATTAGTTTTTATGATTGACTAAAGCAATCATATTTATTCATCATTAAATAAACAAAAAAATAATATTTGAGAGTTATTAATTCTTAAAAATAAAAAGGGTAAAAACTAAATAAAATGTGTAAAATTCAATAGTGTCTGTGCTATCGTTCAATTTGAAGGTGTCTTTTGAAACCGCAAGACACATTGAATTTTTGAATAGTGTATTATGGTTTGACAGACACCAATGAAAAAAATAAAATGATATTTATTTTAAATATATAAGATCCTTATATAAAATATAAATATTTTATCGTTTTATTTTCTTGTTTTAGAAATGTTTTTTATTGAAAAATCAATAAAACTAACTCCAAAATAAAATTTTTGATTTAAAGACACTATGATGACATCAGGCAAATCTTCCAAGACACCTATCGTCGGGAATCTAACAACCCTAACTATATTCAAAATGGAAAAAAATCCAAAAAAATTAAAAAAAAAAATTTCATGATAAAAAGCATAAATTTTGCATCAGAAAATTAAATTCAGGTATTTTTTTGAAATAGAAAGAGTCCTAAAATTAGTTAAAAATCATTTTTTATTCAAAAGAAACCCTATTTTTAAGGAATTGAAAAGAATTTTATTTAATAATATTTTATTTATAGAATTTGCATATATCATATGCATAGACATATTGAATTGTAAACATGAGAACACTAATTACATTAACTTGTCGTTCAAATTATTGCATCGAGAAAAAAGTGCTATAAATTTACTCAATTAGTTTACAAACGTAAATATTTGGCATAAACTTTACGTTTGTAAACCAATTTGATTAAATTTAGTAAATTTTAGTTCGAATGCAAGTTTTCTCGGTAAATCATTTTTTAGACCTCAAATGAGATGTATGATCATATGAGTCACATATGATTTAATCCGAATATGTGTGAGAATTGAGTTTAAAACGAAGTTTATTTTTTGGACTATATTTCGCCATTTTAAAATGTGTAATAATGATATAATTCGCATGAAATTGAAAAATATTGACTGGATGTGTAATGGTTTTATAATTGCAATGTTGATTTGATCGAATTTAAATGAATATATAACGCGATGAAATTTCGAATTGCTCAAATGTCTGTAATTCATATATGGTGTACATATTAATATTACATTTCGTTGATATTTACCACATAAACCTTTAAATATTAAGTCATTTTAAAGTTATATGCGATTTAGTTCCAAAATGCACGTTTAGAAAAAGACGATAACGATTAAATTACAAAATCGATAACGATAACGATTAAATTACAAAATCGATAACGACCCAAAAAAATCAATTGATCATTTGACGACTATTTTGAATTCGAAGTGATTTACTGAAACAAAAAGGGAAATATCACTTATAATACAGAGTAATATCAAAATAATAAATTGAATACAGATTTACCAATAATAAATCTATAAAAATTTCATTGGAAGATTGACATTCTAATGAGGTCAGGTGAGTGGGGCTTCCAGGCGCGTTGCGCCCTCTAGCCCCGGAGAAACTAGAGGAGGAATGATACAAAGACCAGATGAAAAAAATAAAAATATTATAATAAAATTAAATTTTTAGTCTTAAATTGTTTTTTTTATTCGGTATATTCTGAATCTTGAATGTCTTGGAAATTTTCTTCTTCTTCGCTCTCTGAGGTGAGGATTTCTTCGACTTCTTCTTCGCCATTGGGAGCAACAAATCCTGCGATGAAAACTTTGTATATACCTTCTTGAGGAGTCTCTATGATGAAAGTCGTATTGTTGAGGAAATGGAACTCGACATCTTGAACAAATTGGCAACTGCTGTGTGTGAATTTTGCAATTGTGAGAGGCTTTCCTTTATAGCCCTTGGGAAAGCTTGAGATAGTTACTGTTCCTCCATATGGAACTCTGGCAGGAATATCTAAAGCAACAGTTGTTATAACGTGGAAATTGTCTAAGAATTGAGGCATAGGTTCAATGCAGTATAGTCGTTTTGACTGGTTGTCTTTTGTGTAGAAATATAAATAGAATGACCTTTCACCATGTTCATTCAATTCTTCCAAATAATTGTATGAATTTGGATATAAACGGACAAATTCAGCAATTTTAACTTCTTGTAAATGCTTCTGCAAGTTCTTTGGAAACAAGTGAATGAACTGGTCAATAGCTTGCAACGCTATGAGATTGGCAGTAACGGGTAAATATGAAGCAAACATGTCAACAAGTACGCCAGGGTCTTTGATTTCGTTTTCAAGAGGCTGAATGGCATCCATGACAGCTTGAAACATCTCGTTATAATCTCGATTGTCTTCTGAACCCCACTGTTCATTTAACTTATCTAACAATTCTAACCTTTTCTTTGCGTATTTTCTACGAACTTTCTCTGAAAGAGGAGTGTCGCTATCTTGTGTGTCTTGAATTTGAGACTTAAATTGTTTGCTAAAGGCGAGATATCGTGTTTGCAACCTAGTGGTCATTGCAGAATGTGTTTCTGTATGTTCGATTGGATGTGTTTCTGTATTTTCGGGTGGTTGTGTTTCTGTATGTTCGATTGGAGTCTGATTGGTATTAACTTCTTCTGAAAATGCTTCTGTTCCGATAGTTGTTGTTGCCTGACCTGTTGGCTGAGCTGTTTCTTTGTGCAAATGCATATTGTCCAACAATTTGTTTGCAATTGTATGAGGAAGTTGCTTTGGTATTATAGGAGGTCGTAAGGGTTTTGAGAATGGTGAGACATAAGTTGTAGGAACTTTAACTGCGACATTTTTTCTTCCTTCCATTATGAAAAATGAACTGTTTTTTTTCGGACCACTCATAGAAAAGTTTGAAATAAACGGTTTTTGTCAACGGTAACCCCCTCTATTTTTTTATTTTATTTAATAGTTACCGTTGGCAAACCGTTCCATCTCAAATATTGAATGAACTATAAACGTTTTTTGTTTTCTATATATACTTTTTTGTCCAACGGTAAAACTTTTTACACAACGGTTTTTGAGAGTCGTCGCCGTTGACTTTTTTGTAGAGCACTCAAAATAGTATAACTTTGTCCGGACAAGTAAGGGTCTATCGTCGCTACAGGAAAAGTTACAGGCGTTCCAAGGAAGTATACTTTGAGAAGCCTTTTCTCCCTTATAGAATGAGATAGGACGGTTATTTTACAAAACTGACAACACTTTGACCGAGTAGTTTTTTGTGCTGAACAAAAAGTGTCATATAAACATCTGTCAAAAACCGCTTTTTAACTTCACTTAAAATGCCACGTAAGCTACGTAAGAATATACGTAAGAGGAAGGGAGCATTGAAACATCCAATAGTAAAACTGACACCACAACAACAGTTGCAACAACAAATGATGAATGACCCCACTATGTTGCAACAAATGTCAAGCAACCCTATGCTTTTAAACCGAGTTATTGGTGCACAGAGTGGAGGTTTAAGAGCGGCACTTTTAGCGAAAATGGCAGGCTATGGTGGAGCTGCAGACGGAACAGCTTATAACCCTCAAAGTCAAATGAATTTGAGTTCACTCAAAAATCAAATAACAGATGTCAAAAAGTCAAACATAGACATACAGAAACAAATAAGTGAAAACGAAAAGAAACTAGAATATGACAGACACACAAAGAAACTCAATGAGTTAAACGTAGAGAAAAAGAAGAAAGAAGAACAACTGAAAGAACTAAGTACAGAGGAATATGCGAAAAAAGTGTCAGAAAAAGCAGCAGAAGTAGCAAAAATGGAACAAGATGTTATAAATTTGAAAAACCATACTACTCAATATAAAGTACTGAAAGATGAAGAGATAAAACAAAAAGCCCTGAAGACATATATGGATAGCGATGAGTATAAAAAAGAAGTTGAAGCAAATGTAAAGGCAGAAAAACTTTTACAGTTGCAAAACCAAACCGTACAGTATGAAAACTTAGCACAAGAAAGTAAAAATAACGACGCAGCCATGCAAAAGGCAATGAAAAGCGCAGAATATATAAAAGCTAATAATGACTGGTTAGATGCCCAAGCCAACGCTAAAGCAGCCCAACTTATAGGGTCAATAAGGACAAAAATACAAGCGGATGAAGACAGTTCAAATGAAGCTTTAATGAATGCTGACTTTAAGAATGCCTTCGAAGCTCTTCATAGTAAGGTGAAACTAGTGAACGACTTCTCATCTGGAAAGAAACTGAAGTCTGAAGGTTTCGACAAAGAGTTAAGAGAAGTAGCACAAAATATGACGAAAATAACAGATGCAGCAACGAGACAGGCAGTTCAAAGTGCCTATGACGCCGTTAGAGCAACTGTTGTGGAAAGTCAAGAAAAAGAGTTACAACAGACCAAAACAGACCTAGTAAATGCTTTCTTAAAAACGAAAAGTCAGGTAGGACATTATGCTGCAGATGGAACATATGTGCCAGCTGGTGGAACTTATATACCACCAAACCCTCCAAGAGAAGCACCTGCACCAGGACTACCTAAAACATTTACATCGTCACATGGACACAGACACAGGCATGCACCAAAACAACACAACAACCAACAGTTCAAAATCCAGCACAACAACAAACCAACAGTTCAAAATCCAGCACACACAACCAACAGTTCAAAATCCAGCACCAACAACACACCAACACAGCAACCAACAGTTCAAAACCCTGCACAACACCACCTCAAACCAGCACAACAACCACAAACAGAGCAAGGACATAAAAGAAGTAGAGAAAAGGAAACCAAGAATTCTTAAAAATGCTTAAGGAAGATTATGGTTACCCAGATACTCTTGACTTTAGTGACAGATATAAAGAAGCTATTAGAAAGTTCAAGGAAGGAAATACTGACCCGAACCTATTTAGCTTTATGGTTCAGCACAAATGGGATATAATTTCAAACCTGGAAAATACAAGCTCGCTAAGGGATATGATTTAATAGCATATCATCCAAATGACATGATGAATTTACTCCGAGATATTTGGTGTCAGAGCTAAATGATAATTCAACTCTCTTCATGAAACGCGTAAAAAATAGAGACGGAACGAAAGAAGAAAGGTTTATGAGTCCGGATGACTTAGATAGGGAACTTGTTAAAAACGGTCTCGGAATATATGAAATGCCAGCAGATGAGGTACAAGAAACTCCACAGGAAGAAGTTCAGATACAACCAGACATGGAAGAAATAGTTCAGCAACAACAGCTAGAAGAGCCTGAAGGAAACGAACAAGTCCCTCCTTTGGAAACTAACTTCACAGAACTAGATGAAGATTTGGAACAGCCGAAAAATCTTGACCCTCAACAAGTGTATGAGGAGAATATGGAATCTTTCCAAGAGTCTAAGAAAAATTCGGCTGACATAGTAGAAGAATATCGAAAAATGTTCCCGACATACAAAAGACTCCAACATCAGATGAAAATATTCAGCATAGAATGGAAGTACTGAAAGAAAATGTACGCAAATACAATAATCCTTTTTACTTACGACCATATAACGTTCAATCTTTGGCTGAACTCGGTGAAAATAAAAGGTTAAATTTCAACAAAACATATAGAAATGAAACATTGTTTAAAGTTCATTCAGAACCTAACCAATATGGAAACAAACCTACTTTTGTTTCTGCAGACTATGGAACTACAATGAGATGGGGTCATAAAGCTAATCCGGATAGGTGGTTCATAAACTTACAACCAATTCCAAGAAGTTGTAGACGCAATGGAAGTGAATGGTGAACCAGATATAGCTGGTATTTTCAGCGCGGCTTTAATGCCATTGAAAGATATGAAAGATGCAGATATTTTGGACCAGTATGAAATGAACATGGCTGATGGAAATATAACACCTGACGTTCTAGAACATTTATCTCAAAGAACTACACAGAACCATAGAGATGGTATATTTGGTGAAGAGTTTAGAAAGAGAGTTAGGGAGAGAGAAGGAAGAGAACCTATTGTACATGACCTTGCAAACGAAAGTTTGCAAAATGTCATAAAAACTTACTTTGCAGACAATGAACCGAGAAGGGATGAATATTTAAGAAAACTCAAATGGACAGTACCAAATGAAATGTTAGTATTGAAAAACATGTTCCTTGACAAAATAAAACCAACTACAGAAATAAATGACGCAAGACTGAAACATTGGGTAAAAGCTTTCCCATTCACAAAAGATATTATTGGTAACATGGAAAGAAAACCAGAATGGCTACAAAAACATATATTTGGAAACGAGCTTATTCCATATGGACAAGCTCTGTTTGAAGAGCTTGAACCGGAAACTCAGGAAAGAGTCATGCAAACAATAAGCGAAGACTCAAATACAAACTATGACAAAATCTTTCTAGGATATAGGTTACCTGAGATGGGCGACCAGAGCCCAAAGGCAAAAAGGACATGGGAAATTTACAACATACTAGGTGAACATGAGGCAAAGATGCAACAACTTGAAGCAGAGGGCAAGTTACCAAAAGCGACACCAAAGAAGAAGAGAAGAGTAGAACAAAGTGAAAGTAGTGAAGAAGTAACTTCATCTAGTGAAAGTAGTGGCAATGAAGGAAAAAGAAGAGTTAAAAACTCAGTCAGGAAGAAAGTAAAGCTTGGTCCGAGTGGGTTCTATTATGACATAAATCCAACTATTCTATATTTTTACCCATATGAAATGTACGCCGCTCAGAATATAACGCCAACAGTTTTGGATGCCATGAACGGAAATGTTTCCGAATGGTATAACGAATGCGACAATGCCATTAGAAGGTCAGAAATAGTTCCTGGAACTTACGAATATACAACTGCTGTTTCTTATGGAAACGTAGGTGAGTTTGGAGAAGGTTCTTCAACAACAGTAGATATTGCTTGCGACAGGTTTCATATTATTTCTATTGACAACTCATTCTTATACGTGGAACAAGACATTGAAATAAAACCTTCTGCCAAGTTGTCTGACAAGAAAGGTTGCAATGGAATTTTCTATGTCGGATACCAATATGCTCCAGAAGTTTTCATGGGATATAAGATATATTCTAACTCTGACTTAGTTCAAACAGTAACATGGGCAAACTATGAATGGTTCGCTTTGAGAAACTCAGTACAACCACAAGCTAGAGAACAAACAGACCAGTATGCAACTATTGAGAAAATAAGAAGACTTGACCCTAACGTTCCAGGAGTTTATGTTAACCTTTCTGGTTCAAACTGCTGCACTAAAAAGTAAAACTGAAACTTAGAGTTCCTTTGTCATCTTTCCTCATCTTCAGGTTTTTAAGATACTTGCCAAACTGGGCAGGAAAAATTTCTATCGAACTTACTCCAAGCAAAAATAACTTAGTCATTGCACCAACACAAGACCCATTCACTCTTACAGACGTAAAGGGAACAAATCAAACGTCATTCGCCGAATTTTGCAAAGACAAAGTTGACTTAGACTTTGGTTTCTCAAACTTCAACAATGAAGTAAACTATTATTTCAATGCTGCTGGAACTGCTTGGGACCCAGTTAAGTTCACATGCGAAAAGTTTGAATGCAAGAGAATAGAAAGCAGACTTGCAGTCTATATGTTGGACCCAGATATTTCAAATGCTTTAGCTGCCAAATATATTGCAGTTCCACTTATGTTCCCTATACACCAAATATCTGTCAAAGACTTTGCAGGTGAAGTTGGAAACCAAAGTCTGACCCAGGTGCAAGAACAGATATTGCTTTAACAACTGCAATGAAACATGCAGATACTATGTTTGTACTGTTCAGACGAACTATAAATGACTATTCTTGTTTCTACAACCCTGGTATTAAATATCATATAAACATAGATGGCAAATATTATCCAAGAGAAGAATATTCTACAGTTGAGGATATGAGGTCATACAACTTGACATTAGATGCTATGAACTTTAACAACAACTTCACAACAACCATTAACCCTGAAATGCAAAGTTCTATTATGCCATATGTGAAAGTATGGACTCATACAGGAGGTCAAAAAACTCAATATACAAATGGAGACCGTTCAAACTTTTGGCTTGGCATTCCATTTGCTGACTCAGAAGACTTTATGGGTGGTATTTCAACTGTTGGTACTGTACAAATACAATATACTGGTGACAGAGACGGTCCAGATGAATTGAGAGCAAAGAAGTTTACAAAACCAATAGCACTTTTCACGGAAGATGCTCTTTTGAAGATTCGTTCGATGAAACCTGCTGGGGCTCCTCAGATTGGCATAACGACAGCTTCCATCGAGCAGATTTTGGCAGCAGGTCAGTAAGTTGTTCTTGAACTGACTTCTCTCCGTCAAATATTGACAGTACGCCAGTTTTGACATAATATTGTATTATAAACTTACCTTTAGAAATATCGGTCAGTTTTGAAGTTATATTTTTGTCTGCTTCAAGAACTTTCACCATTTCAGTTATACCAACTTTCTTTGCTTTATGAAAATATTTTGGTTCAGCAAAGACTGCTATTCTATAACATTTTCCATTGTTTGTGTAAAGAACTATTCTGTCAATGTATTTGTATTGTTTGTGTGTATAAACTTTGTTTTGCTTCAATTCGAAGAGATACTCGAATACGTCCATCTTTTTATTCTAAGTAAAATGTCATTTCCGAAAAATAGAAGCGTAAGTGTTTCAAAAGGTTTAATGGCGGTGGCAGATGTGAAGTTAAATTCACCAACTCAAACAAACAGTCAAAGTGTTATTGTCAATGTCAAAGACAGAGATGTTGAAGTGGGGAAACCATACGAAGACGAAGATGGTATAACAATTGTTCCTGTAAAAGAACAACCAACATATCCTGAAGTTAGCAGAGACTTAAGTTCTGTTGCAGATATTCGAAACGACTACCAACAACTGAAAGACAAACTTCAAACTCAGGAGAAGATTTGTCAAGCTTTAAGTATAATGTTAAACTTGGTCGAACACAACCCTGTAAAAGTGAACTCATATGTCATTGCACCTCATGAAGTTTTGAAAGAACTATTGAAACTTTTGACAGAGGCAGACGATATAAACATCAAAGAAATAGAACCCGACATTAGTTGCTGTGGTGTTTCATATAATGTCATTGACAAGATATACGTTATGAAAGGAGGTGAAACGTTGAACTTAAAATATAGTTTCCCAGACGTTATAAAAATATTTGACGACCACAACATTTCATTAAAATTTATTTGCTAAGTAAATGGCAGAAGACATAATGGTTTATACTATTACGACTAAAAACCCTGAGTCATATAATTCTATAACAACAAACTTACAAAGTCCTCAAGGACGATATTGTAAACTAACCTTAAACACAATGACGACTAAAGCCTGTTTTGCTCTTTTGACACCAGAAGACTTTATTGTTGTGAATGGTAAAAAATACTCCTTTGAAGATACTTACTCAGATATACCACCAACAGGTTTTGTTGACTTATTTAATACTTTAAGTACGGGTGTAACATGTGCTGCAACTAGAGCAGGTTTCATTATGTTTGGATGTCCGACTGAGTTTACTATAAACGATATGAGCTATAATACAAAACTTATTTCTGGTTTTTACTACCAACAGTTTCCTATAACAGGAAAAGGTGTCATACAAGGAATGTCTATTCCATTGACATTAAGCACACCAATCTTATATATTGTTTCAAACTTAGGTTCAAAGTGTTATTCGAATGTCGACAGAAACTATTATGACCAAAAGATACTTATGCGTATAAACAATACTTTCTCTGCTGGTTTGCCTATTGTTCATTCGAATGCAGAATTTTCAACCTTAGTGAACTCAAACACTTTGGCAAGTATAACGTTGACATTAGTTGACGCAAACTTTGTTCCTGTAAAACTTTTATGTCCTATGTATTTGTCAATGACGGCAGAAAGTTTCGAATTGGAAGATGCAACTGGTGAAAGTATTGTATTACAAGAACAACTTCAACAACAAATAGCTCAAGAACAACAAATGCAACAAATGGAACAACAACAGTCAAGAATAAAAAAATAATATTTTTTTTATTTTTATAAAAATGTACAGAATAGATGTTTCAGATTTTTATGACTTCCAAGCATTCAGAAATATGTGTCCATTTCGAGACTATAACAAAGCAGTCGAGAATTTGAAACGTTTAGTCATTTATGTCGACTCTGCCCCAGAATGTTATGTTATGAAAGAATGGGATGTAGTCTTTAACAAACCAAGAGCACAATAGTTTCAGAACAAGAATGTAGACAGAAACTTAAGAAAATAAAAGTCGTACAAGTTGGATGAAGATGTTAGATGCTTGGGATATCTTATTGTCAAAGTTAGAAGATTTTTCAGTTCGAGGTATAAAGTTCTATACACCTTCTCCAAACTTCTATTCTATCTTCACTGGATATAAATATGAACAAGTAGAATGGAAAGAAAATATTATAGAAGCTTGGTTAGACCATGTCAAAGAAATTATATGCAATGGAAACGAAAAGGTTATGAGTATATCTTATGTTGGTTTGCAAACATCTTACAACATCCAAGTGCTAAAAATGAAACTGCTCTCATTATAATTGGAAAACAAGGAACAGGTAAGAACACTTTCTTTACAGATATTTTGTGCAAACTGTTAGAAGGTTATTCGAACCCGAATATGACAAACTTAGAAAACATCTGTGGTAAATTTAACTCTTCAATAGAGAATATGAAACTTATAGTTTGCAATGAACTTCAAAGTATAGATACAACAAAAGTTTTGAACTCAGATGCTTTGAAGAGTCTTATAACAGACAAAGTTGGAGTTGTTGAAAGAAAGTATAAAGACCAAAGAGTTTGTGAAAATGTTGCAAACTTCATTATGGTTTCAAACAATGCTGTTCCGATGAAGTTAGAAAGTTCTGACAGAAGATATGTAGTTGTCAGAACGTCAGATTCTCATATGCAAGATACAGAATATTTTGACGACTTAGCAGAAACTTTGACATCTGACTTTTACAACCACTTGTTCTCATATTTCATGACATTAGATATTTCTAAGTTCAATCCAAGACAAATTCCACATACCGAAGAGAGACAAACATTGTTAGAAGCAAACAAGAGTGTATATGAACTGTTCATAGATGAAACTGACTTTGTGTTTAGATGAAAGGTCATTGTATGATGAATATAAACAATATTGTCAAGAATATGGTTATATGGCAGCGTCTAAACGAACATTCTTGGCAAATGTCAAAAGTCTTTTAGACGTACAGAATGGTGTATATACAAAGAAAATTTTTCTGAGTAAATTTTAAAAAAAATATTTTTTTATCCGATAGAAAAGATGACAAAATTCATCTCAGTAAACAAGTACATGTCAGGACTTAAAGAAGAACTAGACCCATTCACATATTTGAATGTTTACTTCTACCATTTTGAAAAGTCTTCATTCAGCAAAGTTTGGAACATCGAACCAGTTAAGTTTGCTATTGTGACTAAAAATGGTGCGAAATTTGAAGACTTAGACATAGAAGGTTTGTTAACAGTCAAAGAAAGTTTTGACAGAAGGTTCTCAAACCTTAAAGAAGGCAAAGCATACAAACTTGTTATACCTTATGAACCAAAGAAAGCAGACGACTATGAATATTATGAGTCTAAAGTTGTAGAAGTTCAAGGTAAATTGGGTAAAAAGATTTTAGAGTCTAAGCCAGTGTTTGCTCCTAAAGAGGAAGAGAACATTGACATTGACCCAGAAATGTTCTAAAAATAAAATTTTATTTTTACATGTCAAATTTCTTTTTCTCTGGAACTGGTTCAGGTTCTTTCTTCTCTTCTACTTTTTTTCTCTTTCTTTCTTTCTTCTTCTTCTCTGGTGGAGTTATGTCAAATTTCAGAACCATATTTATGTAAAAGTTCTTTGTCCTTTAATAGCTCTTATTCTGTTTTCTATTTCATCTTCAAGAACAGCGCATGTGTCTTCTTTGCATTCTAAGAACTTTTGTTGGACTTCATCTTTCCAATCGGCGTCATCTCTGTCAACAAGTCTGTCATTGACAAATTTTAAGACTGCTCTGCTTAATGTTTTATGGTTCTTGTCATATTCCCAGAAACAGAACTTTAGAACAAATTCACCTTTCTTGTTTACACTATGTAAGATTTTATGGTCGACAGATGTTTTGCTGTCAAAAAGTTGTCTCGAATATAGATAGCGAAATCGCTAGACATTTTCTAAAAGATAAAAATTTTAATTTTTCTAAAAATATGTTAGAAAAAAAGTTTGCTGACATTGACAAGAAATTTGAGAATGTTTTAAAAAGAACAAGAGGAAGTTAGAAAATGCTCAGATAAAACCTATACACGACAAGTTCTTATTTGCTCAGAATGGTATAACAGGTCTAATTGCACCACCTGGGTTTGGTAAGACTTTCACTTATCTTAAAATGGCTGCACAACAACAAGAACTAGATGAGAAGAACCCATTCTATGAGTTAGTTGTTATTTGTTACTTCTGGTCAATTTGACCAAACCGTCAATTCGTTCAAAGATATTATAAAGAAGTCTAAGTTAGTATGTATAAAGGATACTGAGTTGTTAGATTGGATAAAGAAGTACCAAAGAAGAGTTTTGAAGTATAATGCTATAAATGAGTATATAAATTCTAAGTTCAAAGACCCTAATGAGGAAATGCAGAGAATATTAGAGAAGAAACACTTCAGAAACAAACAGAAAGAGATAGAATACATTTCGAAGAAATTGCAATCTTACGATTGGAAGACTTACCCTCATAGATGTCTTCTTATCTTAGATGATTTTGCCTCTCATCCTTTGTTAAAGAACAGAGAACAAGATATGTGTCGAATTCTTAAGAAACTTAGGCACTTTAACATTTCAGTCGTAATATGTGTACAGACAGCCAAGAGTTTAAGTAAGGATGTAAAGAGAATACTTACTGACATTATACTTTTCCCCGGATTGTCCGAAGACGATTTCATGGAACTTATGAAAGAGTCCATGGCAGGTAAGTTTGACAGACATGAACTATGGGAGAAGTACAAAGTCATACAAGACCCACATACTTCTTTCAGAATTCATATCTACGCAAACAAAGTTCAAATTGTAAAAAGTCAATAAAAATAAATGGTTCATCTACCCTACTTGTTTGAAGTTGTCAAAATACTCTGTTATTTTTTCCTTTAACAATGACAAATCTTCTTTGAAGGTAAGTATTGTACAACCTTTCATATCATAGTGTGTTTGAGGTAACGTATCTTGAACTATTTGTTTCACATCTTCATTTGGGGTCATTGAAATCGGTAAGTTTTCGCGATAGAACCAATTTCTGTCAGATTTGTAAATCTTAGCAAGGTCGTAAAAGCTCTTGTTGTTTCTTCTGACTAAATGCAACATAACCATATCTTTATCTTCTTCATTTTCCAACTCTTCAGTATAAATCATATACTTATAGTTCTTTTCCTTTCCTTTTGGTACCGAACGTGGTATTCTTTTCTGAATGCTTTTGTCTTTTGCTTCAAGCTTGTTTTCCATCTCTTCACGTTCTTGTCTATGAATTTCGTCAAGAAGTCTGTAAATATACCAAGCATAACGAGGCGAAGCCCACATTGCAACAGCATTTACAAGAAGTCTATGTACATAATATCCTCTCAAACCGTTTGGCAATTTTTCACGATTTTCATAGAGTTTTGGCGACTGGGGTTTTTCTCCCACTCGTAGTCGAATTTTCAGCTCCATTTAATAGTTCAATAGTGCTTTGGTTCCTAAACCAGTCTTGTGGTTTCTTATTGTCGGGTGCAAAACATGCTGTCAAAATACTTTGCATTTGGTACATATCGTCTTTGACCGAACGAATGAGACGCAATTGTTTGTTAAACTGTATGTACTCGTATTCTTCATTTATAGCTTCATGGACTATAACTGTTGTTGTGTTCTCTGTTGTTGACATTACTGTCTTTACATACAAAATAAAAAAATATTTTATAAAAAACTAACTTTATTTTTTCTATCTTAAGGAAATTCATGATTTTTGTGCTGAATTCAATAAAAATAATGTTTAGGTGAAGAGGTGAGATTTCACCTCTTTTTTCACCTCATTTTTCACCTCTTTTTTTCACAAGCGTTTTACATGGTAAACGTTATTTTTAAAATTTTGTGAAAACTCAACGGTTTGACACATGCCCTAAAAATTATTTTACTCAAAATTTTGTTGCTGAATTCAATAAAAATAATGTTTAGGGTAGATGATTAGATCTAACCCGATATCTACCCTCATTTCTACCCCAGTTATTTTATAACCGTTTTACATGGTAAACGTTATGAATTCGTGAGACTCTAAACAATTTCGTAGCTTCTATTTCTTCGCTGAGGATATCGAATGTTTTAACAATGCCGAAGGTTTCTTTATACTTCTTCTTGACGTCAGATAGAAGGAAATCGTCAGCAGTTGGATAGTTTTTGTTCAGAAATTCTAACATGTCCATTTTATTTTCTACCGGCTTCTCTGCTTCTTTCTTTAAGTCAGCATAGTTGTTTCGCATACGTTCTATCTCTTTGACGGAGTAGTTATATTTCCTCATTGCTGCTTTACATTTAGAACATTGCGGGTTCATTTTTGCGTTATATTCTGAAACCTTACCTGCTAAAACAACCAAGGCGTCAATGGTTTTCTTTAAATCTGAAGCAGTTGGTTTTATCTGTTCATTCCATACCTTACCTCTTCTATCTTTATCTCTTATCTGCCATACACATTTTGCAGCTAATGAAACAAAGTTGTCGTATGTCTTAAACTCCCCAGATTTATATATGTCAGAGATGTTCTTATATAACATGTCGCAATCTTTGTCCATAACTTTATGGTTGCAATGATATCCTAGAAACTCATAATTTACCTTTCGTATGAACTTCTTTATTTCTACTGAGTCAGTTGCTTTGACTTCAATTTCGTCGAATTCAGGAATAGTTAGTTTTTGCTGCTGAATTTCAGGTAGTTTAGGCAAATGGTCGATGAGGTCCTCCATTTCATAAAGATACTGTTCATTTGTTTCATCCTGTGCGGTACAGTCTAAATTACTTGTTAAAAGTTCTTGCTTTATCTTCTGGATTTCTGTTTCAAAAGTATATGAAGAAGGAATGAAGCTTTTCATCTCTACCAACATAGATGTTGGATTCATGACTAACGAGTTTGGTGAAGTTGTTTGAATTGTTGTTGTGCCGATTGTTGAAATCATATCTTTTTTACAAAATAAAAAAATAAATAAAAATAAAACTAACTTTATTTTTTCTATCTTAAGGAAATTCATGAAAATTCAAGAGGGTGAAAAAACAGGTGAAAAAAGAGGTGAAATCTCACCTCTTCACCTAAACATTATTTTTGCTGAATTCAGCAACAAAATGAACGAGGTCAGGATGTATGTAAATACCTTTGAATTCATTCATAACACCCTTTGTAAGCTCATAAAATGCTTGTTTTGAGGTCGAGCCACTTTTGGCTCCACCGTATTCTTTCAACCAAAACTCAAGAATTTCCTGCATGAATTTTGTATAAAAAGCAACAGTCCGAATTCCGGCGGTTGCTATATTCTTCACAAAATGCCTTATAATACTCTTCCCAGGACTTATTTTCCAACAACTTTCTAAAGTCTTTCATAAACTGACTGACTGACTGACTGACGGCACAAAGTGGCTTAACGAAAACATTAATATATAAAATTCATGAAAATTCAAGAGGGTGAAAAAACAGGTGAAAAAAGAGGTGAAATCTCACCTCTTCACCTAAATTATATTTTTTGGTCCGGGAACAACTTTCTCTCAATTGGAGCTGTAGCATACTCTTTGCGTAAGCGGTTCAGACCTTCTTCGAAGTCTTGGTCTCTCTTGGACTGAGATTGGAATTGGAATTGTGGGGCAGGGTTTTGCATAAACATACAAGGGTTGGGGCAGTAAGGCATAGGCTGAGGAGGGTAGTTCGGGAAGCCTTGTGGTGGGTAGTAACCTTGAGGTGGAAATTGGTAGTAATTCGGAGGTACTTGCTGGAACTGAGGTTGCTGAGGAGACTGTTGTGGTTCTTTAGGTTCCTCTGGTTTGGGAATGGACTCGGTTGGTGGGACGTCGGACATTCGTTTGTGTCCTGTCGGACCACAACGATAAAAATCTCTGCTACTAGCAGTACTTTTACTGACAGTAGCAGTACTTTTTCTGACAGTAGCAGTACTTTTACTGACAGTAGCAGTACTTTTTCTGACAGTAGCAATGGTCGAGGTCGAACCTACCGACGAGGCAATTTACCTAATTGAAATTAACGAGCTTGTTAAAGACTTCCTCAGGCAGAATGTAAAAGGCAAGCTTGTTAACGGTTGGATAACGGGAAGGGCTGCCTTGAATCTCGAGACTTCGACTGGAATTCCAATTCAAATACCAGACGGGACAGCCTACGACGACATAAAGCAAGCAAAGAAGGAAGCCATTATAAAGTTCTTTGCCAAGCGTCCTTGGATACTATTTCCAAACAGAGAACCCTTTCCCAAGAATGAACCAAATTCTCAAGGGTCTCCTTCACTTCTCTGGTCAACCATTCTACATAACCTGTGAAGGCGACATCCAACCAGTTCAGTAAACATCTCATTTTAACTCACTTTTTTATGTTTTTTGTGAAAGTGTCAAAAATAAATAGTTTTCATGAGTTTTCTACGATGTTAGAAAAAATGTTATTTTCTAATATCTTCACATTCAATACTTTTTCAGCACTTTTCCGTAGTTATATATGAAAGACAATTCGAGATAAAAAGTCATAGACAATGGAATAATATGTTGCACACCATTTGTTGTGAACCAAACTTGAAAGTCAGAGAAACTGTTACTAGGTGGTTCGTAGAATTTAGAAGCAAAGTCATAAAGGTCCTTACCAATACATAGAAAACTATTGTTGCTTGAACTGAAACTTGCATGAACATACATTTTGAGGGTCAAACACGTTTCTATAAACCATCAAATCTGCTGGTGGAAGTATAAATTTAAATGGACCATCTGGTGGTAATGGTTCGTTCTGGTTTAGTAACCGAAGAAATTGTGCCCAAGAACGTTTGTCTACTTCCCAAAATAAAAAACTCTGTATCTCTTGAGGGTTAATTTCAATCTTTTGAAATGAAACGGTGGAGTTCATCTTGTCATATTCTAGTTTCAGATAGTATGTTCCATTTAGTAAAGAGTCGTATTTTTCTTGAAATTCCCAATAATATTTGTTCATTTGAGTTTGAAAGTCATCTAGAGTTTTCTCAGACTTTCGTCTGAACGAACTGTAAAAGATTCTCATTTTCGTCAAATTTGTCTATTAGACCATCAGGACCTTTATACTGCCCATGAAAATATACTGCGAACATAAATGCGTTAGTTCTATTTGAAAACAAAACTCTTCTAAATCCTATTGCCTTTGCATCTGAAGGACTTTGAAGCCAACGAATTGATAGTCAAACCTGTATGCTCGGGATGAAATTTTTTCATCTGAAATAGTCCTACCAGCATTTGTAAAGATATAGTCTAACGGTTTTGTATCTGCTACTTTTGTTCTTTGTTTTTCAACCTGAAGCATTTAATATATGTAAAAATATATTGTTTTAAAATGGTAATGCCATTTCATATTTTCTCATCTAACAAACAAGTTTCCCAACGGTCTTCTCCAACAAACTCAGCGTACATTTCAAATAAAATTAAAAAATGTCACTTTTTTGAAAAACGTTTTTACTTCATGCAATGTTTTGTTTCTGTGCCGTCTTCAAGTATGCCCCAATATTTCCTTTTCGATATTACATGAACTTCGGAAAATACCTTATCTAGCTTAAAACAGCCCATCTTTTCACCGACCATTCCCATTTCAATGAGTTTGTTGTATCCTTCTTCGTTCGTCATGAGTGCGTCAATGTTCTCATAGTAAACCTTCACTTTGGATTTGACTTCCGAGAAGAATCATTGTAGTTGTCAAGGACTGCTTTTGCGAACTGAGGGTAACCAATGTTCGACAATAGGTTTTAATGTGGTTACTAAGCCACTTTGACCTTGAGTGATTCGTACTTCAAAAAAAAGGAGAAAACCTTTCAACAAGTTGTCGACCTTCTCATAATGTTTACTCTTCATCTCTTGAGGTTTCTTAATGGAATATCCCCATGTCGAATTCATAAGCAATTTGAGTGTCATTGCAAGTTTGGGGTTTGAAGCTTTCCTAATATCATACAGTTGTTATATGACTTTTCCAACTGTATAGTTCCTTCCCGGGAACTCACCATCTTCGTTTGGAATTCCAGTCGGAATATATTGGACAAACCTCATGTATGCAGCGTTAAGGTCGACATAGTATATCTTTTCATCTGAGTCGAACTTGTCGCAACCAATTGGTCCAGTTTGTGGAAATTCAAGTGAGTCTCTTATCTTCTGAGAAACTTCTCCTGTTATCTCATAAACATCGTCGAAGCAACCTGTTTCATATAAAACCTTCTGACCTAACTCAGATGCTCTCCAATACAATTTGACGTCAATTGGATGTCTCAATGGAAGTTTGTTTATAGCATCTTGAAGTTCTTGCAACCTCATTGGAAGTTCTTCTGGTTCAGGTTGGTATCCGAACATACCAACTCCTTGTGGAACTGTGTACTTCTTTTGTACTAGAACTTTGTCTGGAACAACTTTTGGTCTTGCTAACAATGAAAAGTTTGTTTCGTCTTTTGGTACAAAAGTTTCTGTCAGCTTGTCATCTGGAATTGGTTCCAACAAACCTTTCTCGAAAGAATGTTTACAGCTCTGACAATGTTGCACTTACTTTTACCAAAGAATGGGTTTGTAAGACTTTCGTTCAATATGAAGTGTTTGTGGACAATTACAATCTTCAACCATGGTAAGTCTTTGTCAACAACATAGTCGTCATGTGAAGAACCTTTAGTTGTAGGTATGTTGACTCGGATATTGACATTTGCCAACGGTGCAATTTTTGCCAATTGACCTCTGAGAATGTACCTTGTCTTCACACATGACTCAAGATACTTCATCTTCTCATCTGTAACAAGACCAGAGTTCCTGAAACATGTAAGAATGCAAGGTTCATTGACAATTGTTTTCAATTGAATTGTAAATTCCATACCTTGTCAAGTCAATGTCAGACTTATTTATGAACGGGAAGTATCCAGCATGTTGTCTGACTGCTTGAGGGTTAGGTTGGTACCATTCGAACTTGACACTTGCAATTCCTTCAATTGCATTCAAAATGTCTGAGTCGGAGTCAACCATTTGTTCTCTCTTTGTAGTCTTGAAAGCGTCAAGAAGTTTTGCGGCTGTTTGTTCATTGCCATGTGCATAGTAAATGTGACCATCCAAAATCTGTTATGGTCAATCTGAGATTGTGTCCTTTCTTATTTCCGTCTTGTATGGCCAGCAAGTACTCCCATGAAGCCTTCTTTGTTCTTTCCTTCGTCAAAGTTTACTGTAAAGGTTCGACCAGATGTAATTTGACTTCTAACTTCACGATACTTTTCATATGCATATCTTGTTCTTTCCATGGGAGCATGTGCGTCTTCACCTTTTCCTTTTTTCCTTCTCAAAGGATGCAATTGTTCGTCATGTTTCCAGTAGAATTGGCAAAGCCGTCGTGTCCTTCAACTTGAGGTTCACTAACATCGAAAGGCATGTCCATAAGACTTCTTCTTCTAACCTCTCTATCTGTTTGGATAATTGGCACGTGCTGTTTCCAAATCCATTTCGTAGCGAAGACCAGACAATTTGTCATAGACTTTTATGGGTCTTCCCTTCCTATATTTAAAATTCTTCGAAACTCTCCAACCATATCTTTGTAACTCTGCTTTTATTCTAGCAGACTTTCTATCCATTCTATATGGGGGCATTTTTATAAAAATAAAAAATATTTTTTTCTTTACTTATACATAACCGCCTGCTGCCATAAGTCTTTGACGCCAACCCATACCAGCTAATGAAGGTTGACTTGGTTTAGTTTGGAAACTAAACTTTGGTTTTGGTTTATCTTCAGTTTTTGGTTTTTCTTCTTCTATCGGTTTTTCGTCACTTTTCGGTTCCTCTGACTTTACTTCACTTGCAGGAACAGTTGTGTCGTCAACATCTTCATAAATATCATATGCCATTTGTTTTTGTTTTCCTTTCAACTTTTGTGTTTGTTGTAAAGTTTAGAATATTTCAACTCTAAGTCAATGAGATGTTCTATAATGAACTGTTGGTCAGTGAAGTAAACTTTTCCATCTGTTGTCTCGAAAGCTCCTTCAGACTTCAATATTTTATTTTGAGAGTCTGTTTCTTTTTTGAGATACTAGCCGTTCCATTTCTATGAAAAGTGACTTTATAGTTAGGGTTTGTATTTCCAGACCTGGCACTTTCTATTATTTGAATTTTTCTCTTCATCTGTAAGCTTTTGACAGGTTTTGACAATGGTTCTGAACTTTTTGTTTGTGGTGTCAAATCTACCGTTTCAACTTCTTCGGTCATTTCATCTCAGTAAAAAATTTTAGTTTGGTTTGTTTTCAAACTGGTTGTTTAGGTTTTTTAAGTCGGTCTAAAACTTCCTGAGGTATAGGAAGAACTTTACAAACACGTGGTTGTAAATGCTGGAAGCGACAAATCCATCTTGAACTCATTTGTCTCAAATGCTGCATTGTTCATTTCATCTCAGTAAAAAAATTACATTCCCCCACGTTTGAGGTGGTTGCGGTTGGTTATTGCTTACCCATTTGTTGTGCATGGTTATATCCTCTGTTAAAGAATCTTTCACCTTGGTCCATATAGTGTCCTGCTTGGTTATAGTAGTCATTTGCTTGGTTATAATAGTTTCCTGCTTGTCTTCCTACATTGTCCATCCATCCTTGAACTTTTCCCTTGTTTCAGGATTTGGAATAAGATTTGTTGCATCTCGTGCTACATCCCAACCTTTCTGTACAGTTTGTATAATAGGTTGTGCTTTCTCTTTAAGTATACCTAATGTACTCAAAATCTTCCTTCCAACTCCAAATACACCTCTGGCTATTGTTCCCACTGCGGGCAAAAATCTGGATGCAACTCCTGCTAATGCGCCAAATAAACCATTTCTTATAGGGTTAAAAAATGACGAATCCGAACAAGGACCCTATGTTTCTAAAGCGACAAAGAAAGCACTCATGATAAAAATCTTTAGTTCAACACCAAATGCTTGGTTTATGGATATCTTGGAAAACATTCCGAGAGTTAGAACAGATGGACCTCCATACTGGTTAATATTTGTTGGTCAAAACACAGATACTGTGAAGCCATAACCATTATGGTCCAAAAATATTTTAGATGTGAAAACTGCTTTGACAATATTCGTTGACAAATACCATCCAACAAAACTGACATCTGACTGTGAAAGTTCTTTCAAATCAGATGATGTAAAAACTATCTGCGTTCAAAAAATGTAAACCAATATTTCATTGTCGACCAAAACCATTCTGCTCTTTGGTGTCATTGACGGATGTATAAAATGTTAAGAGACTTAAACCAACCACAAGGTGGTGAAGCAAATGAAATGTCATATGACGACAAATATAGACACTTCTCCATGGCAAAGATGAGCACAAGTTTTAAATATTTACAATAACCGTAAACAAAAAGGTTTGGGAAACCACTCCCCCGAAGAAATGAAAAACAACCCTGACTTAGAGAAAGACTATATATTTAATAATTTAGTCAAAGAGACAAACAAGAAAGAATGCCGGGCTTCAAACTTCAGAAAGGTGACAAAGTAAAAATAGAAATACCTAAACGCGACCCATATGAAAATACTATTGACTATGACAACAATGGGAACCCGACAGGTACTCACATTCGTGTTCGTAAAAATAGAAGAAAGTATAACAAGAGAATATTATGAAGTTTTAGGCAAACATGGCAAAATGTACACACTGCAAGCAGAAGATAAAACTACTATTGTCAGACCTCGTTTCAAACTTGTCAAAGTTCAAGGTGGTATACTTTCAAAGACAGTTCCTAACAAATATAAGACAACTCCTGACGAATATGCTAGAAGTTGAAAATGACGACTAAGCATTCTATACCATGCGTAAACTGTCATGTAGGTGGCATGTATTCTTTACTTTGTCCCGTTGTTTGTGTATATCCTGAAACGAAATGTGTATGGTTTCCTTCTCCCTGCGTGTCATCCAGTAACAATTTATAGCAAACTTAACGTCGTCTTTAACATCATATCCTTTACCTTTTGTCATTCCTGACCAATCCCAATATCTATGCTTATGCCAACCTGCTTGAGATGTACTTAAATCTATGTAATGACTGTGTGCAGGTAAATTTTCACCTGAAATCGTTTTACTTCCACTGTTTCCTTTGAAGAGTTTGCACAATACAAAAACCTGTCGACTATTTGTTCCCATGCACCAACACCAAACATTACTTGAGGACCTCTTGCACCATAGATGTATAAATAGAACCTAGTGGGTTCATTAAATCAAACATATGAGATATTATAGGATTGTCTCTTTTTGAACTTAAAATATAGTGCAACTATTTCAGGTTTCTTCTGGTTTGTGTCAGAATATTTTTTATAATATAATCTTATGTTTTCAGGGTAGGTAAAGTCTTGACTATAATATTTATTTCTGTCATCTGTATAATAATATACTATTCTCGTTTTTTCTATTGCATTATATCTTTTATATCTATAATAATCTAAATATAATATTAGCTTTTGTTCATCTACATGTGGTGTTCTGTCGTCATCTCCATAGTCATAATAATGTGGTGCTGGAGCTGGGTCAGGCAATGTCATATCTGCCATTTCATAAACTCTTAAATATTTCTTTTGTTCGTCTCCATATAAGTTTAAGTAGCAGTTGTTGTCTAATGGAACTTTAACTTGTGTACCATCATTCTTTTTATAGCTTACATACATTTCATTGTTATTTTTCGGAATGAGTTTATGCCGTGTACCATTTTTTAAGGACCGTACCAACTGCCATCTAAAATATTTATTTTCTTCATTGACAGAAAAGTCACCAACAATAGTTTCAATATTTTTTGTTCCTATCAAACTTTGGTATATTTCATTGACATATGTTTTATCTGCTTTCTTTTCAAGGCTAACGTTTAAGTCTGTTATTTCAGAAGATGTATGTGTATGTCCAACGTCACTTTTCCTGTTTAAGGTTTCTTGTAAGTTTGTAATATTTGCAATGGTATGTGTATGTCCAACGTCACTTTTCCTGTTTAAGGTTTCTTGTAAGTTTGTAATATCAGATATAGAATGTGTATGAGTCTTATCTGCTTTTGTCTCTAATGTTTCCTTAAGACTTGGTATTTGGTTAATATAATGTATATGAGTCTTTTTAGAATATTCGTTTTCAGCTCTTGTCACTTCACTTGACATTTTATTGTCAACATATGTTTTGTCTGCTAGTTCAGATGAGTATGTTCTTTTGTTGCATAAGCATTGTTAGCTCTTTTCTTCTTTTGCTATTGCATCGTCTACATATTCTTTGTCAGCTTTGTTGTCAACATCTGCTTTCAAAAGAAGTTCATTTATAGGTTTCTCGTTTAAAGTTTCCTTTTTGATTTATACAGACAGTATTGTTCTTATTGTCTTGAAACAGAAACTCATCTGTCATTGGGTTTATTGTCAGTTTTAAGTCACCCTCTTTCAATGACTCAGATATCTTAGAATAGTTTGAAAGGTTTGTTGTGTTCTTATTTAGAGCTTGCATAATGAGTTGTCGGTTCATTCACTTTTCGGTTCCTCTGACTTTACCTCACTTGCAGGTAGTTGTGTCGTCAACATCTTCATAAATATCATATGCCATTTGTTTTTGTTTTCCTTTCAACTTTTTGTGTTTGTTGTAAAGTTTAGAATATTTCGACTCTAAGTCAATGAGATGTTCTATAATGAACTGTTGGTCAGTGAAGTAAACTTTTCCATCTGTTGTCTCGAAAGCTCCTTCAGACTTCAATATTTTATTTGTGAGAGTCTGTTTCTTTTTTGAGATACTAGCCGTTCCATTTCTATGAAAAGTGACTTTATAGTTAGGGTTTGTATTTCCAGACCTGGCACTTTCTATTATTGAATTTTTCTCTTCATCTGTAAGTTCTTTGACAGGTTTTGACAATGGTTCTGAACTTTTTGTTTGTGGTGTCAAATCTACCGTTTCAACTTCTTCGGTCATTTCATCTCAGTAAAAAATTTTAGTTTGGTTTGTTTTCAACTGGTTGTTTAGGTTTTTTAAGTCGGTCTAAAACTTCCTGAGGTATAGGAAGAACTTGACAAACACGTGGTTGTGTAACTGCTGGAAGTCGACAAATCCATCTTGAACCCATTTGTCTCAATGCTGTATTGTTCATTTCATCTCAGTAAAAAATTTACATTCCCCACGTTTGAGGCGGTTGCGGTTGGTTGTTGTTTACCCACTGTTGTGCATGGTTATATCCTCTGTTAAAGAATCTTTCACCTTGGTCCATATAGTGCCCTGCTTGGTTATAGTAGTCATTTGCTTTGTTATAGTAGTTTCCTGCTTGTCTTCCTACATTGTCCATCCATCCTTGAACTTTTCCTCTTGTTTCAGGATTTGGAATAAGATTTGCTGCATCTCGTGCTACCTCCCAACCTTTCTGTACAGTTTGTATAATAGGTTGTGCTTTCTCTTTAAGTATACCTAATGTACTCAAAATCTTCCTTCCAATTCCAAATGCACCTCTGGCTATTGTTCCCACTGCGGGCAAAAATCTGGATGCAACTCCTGCTAATGCGCCAAATAAACCCATTTCTTATGGGTTAAAAATGACGAATCCAAACAAGGACCCCTATGTTTCTAAGGCAACAAAGAAAGCACTCATGATAAAAATCTTTAGTTCAACACCAAATGCTTGGTTTATGGATATCTTGGAAAACATTCCGAGGTATAGAGAAGATGGACCACCATACTGGCTAATATTTGTCGGTCAAAACACAAGATACTGTGAAGCCATACCATTACAGTCCAAAAATATTTTAGATGTGAAAACTGCTTTGACAATATTCGTTGACAAATACCATCCAACAAAACTGACATCTGACTGTGAAAGTTCTTTCAAATCAGACGATATTAAAAACTATCTGCGTTCAAAAAATGTAAACCAATATTTCATTGTCGACCAAAACCATTCTGCTCTTGGTGTCATTGACAGTTGTATAAAAATCTTAAGAGACTTAAACCAACCACAAGGTGGTGAGGTAGATGAAATGTCATATGACGACAAATACAGACACTTCTCCATGGCAAAGATGAGACAAGTTTTAAATATTTACAATAGCCGTAAACAAAAAGGTTTGGGAAACCACTCCCCGAAGAAATGAAAAACAACCCTGACTTAGAGAAAGACTATATATTTAATAGTTTAGTCAAAAGAGACAAACAAGAAAGAATGCCAGGCTTCAAACTTAAGAAAGGTGACAAAGTAAAAATAGAAATACCTAAACGCGACCCATATGAAAATACTATTGACTATGACAACAATGGGAACTCGACAGGTACTCGCATTCGTGTTCGTAAAAATAGAAGAAAGTATACAAGAGAATATTATGAAGTTTTAGGCAAACATGGCAAAATGTACAGACTGCAAGCAGAAGATAAAACTACTATTGTCAGACCTCGTTTCAAACTTGTCAAAGTTCAAGGTGGTATACTTTCAAAGACAGTTCCTAACAAATATAAGACAACTCCTGACGAATATGCTAAAGAAGTTGAAAATGACGACTAAGCAATTCTATACCATGCGTAAACTGTCATGTAAGGTGGCATGTAGTCTTTACTTTGTCCCGTTGTTTGCGTATATCCTGAAACGAAATGTGTATGGTTTCCTTCTCCCTGAGTGTCACTCCAGTAACAATTTATAGCAAACTTAACGTCGTCTTTAACATCATATCCTTTACCTTTTGTCATTCCTGACCAATCCCAATATCTATGCTTATGCCAACCTGCTTGAGATGTACTTAAATCTATGTAGTGACTGTGCGCAGGTAAATTTTCACCTGAAATCGTTTTACTTCCACCTGTTTCCTTTGAAGAGTTTGCACAATACAAAAACCTGTCGACTATTTGTTCCCATGCACCAACACCAAACATTACTTGAGGACCTCTTGCTTCCATAGATGTATAAATAGAACCTACTGGGTTCATTAAATCAAACATATGAGATATTATAGGATTGTCTCTTTTGAACTTAAAATATAGTGCAACTATTTCAGGTTTCTTCTGGTTTGTGTCAGAATATTTTTTATAATATAATCTTATGTTTTCAGGGTAGGTAAAGTCTTGACTATAATATTTATTTCTGTCATCTTCATAATAGTATACTATTCTCGTTTTTTCTATTGCATTATATCTTTTATATCTATAAAAATCTAAATATAATGTTAGCTTTTGTTCATCTACATGTGGTGTTCTAACGTCATCTCCATAGTCATAATAATATGGTGCTGGAGCTGGGTCAGGCAATGTCATATCTGCCATTTCATAAACTCTTAAATATTTCTTTTGTTCGTCTCCATATAAGTTTAAGTAGCAGTTGTTGTCTAATGGAACTTTAACTTGTGTACCATCACTCTTTTTATAGCTTACATACATTTCATTGTTATTTTTCGGAATGAGTTTATACCGTGTACCATTTTCTAAGGACTGTACAAACTCCCATCTAAAATATTTGTTTTCTTCATAGACAGAAAAGTCACCAACCATAGTTTCAATATTTTTTGTTCCAACTAAACTTTGGTATATTTCATTGACATATGTTTTATCTGCTTTCTTTTCAAGGCTAACGTTTAAGTCTGTTATTTCAGAAGATGTATGTGTATGTCCAACGGCACTTTTCCTGTTTAAGGTTTCTTGTAAGTTTGTAATATTTGCAATGGTATGTGTATGTCCAACGTCACTTTTCCTGTTTAAGGTTTCTTGTAAGTTTGTAATATTTGCAATGGTATGTGTATGTCCAACGTCACTTTTCCTGTTTAAGGTTTCTTGTAAGTTTGTAATATTTGCAATGGTATGTGTATGTCCAACGTCACTTTTCCTGTTTAAGGTTTCTTGTAAGTTTGTAATATTTGCAATGGTATGTGTATGTCCAACGTCACTTTTCCTGTTTAAGGTTTCTTGTAAGTTTGTAATATTTGCAATGGTATGTGTATGAGTCTTTTTAGAATATTCTTTGTCAGCTCTTGTCACTTCACTTGACATTTTATTGTCAACATATGTTTTGTCCGCTAGTTCAGGATGAGTATGTTCTTTTGTTGCATATGTTGCATCTGCTCTGTCATGTTCTTCTTGAACTTTTTCAATGACATACTCTTTGTCAGCTTTGTTGTCAATATCTGCTTTCAAAAGAAGTTCTTTTATAGGCTTCTCGTTTAAAGTTCCTTTTGTTGGATTTACACAGACAGTATGGTTCTTACTGTCTTGAAACAGAAACTCGTCTGTCATTGGGTTTATCGTCAGTTTTAAGTTTCCTTCTTTCAATGACTCAGATATCTTAGAATAGTTTGAAAAGTTTGTTGTGTTCTTATTTAGAGCTTGCAAAATGAGTTGTCGGTTGTGTTTTATTTCTCTCATAGACGCTGTTTCATTTGACATTTTTATTCTAGATAAAATATGCTTTCAATAGAAAAAGAAAATTCAAGAGTTGCTACAACTAAACCATTAGATGAACTTTTTACGAATGTCGGTCAAAAGTTTGAGACAGAGACCGTAAAGCATGAAGGCTATCGTTTTGACTACCCACTAAGATGGTTAAGAGACCCATCCGTCACAAAAGCTGTTGGCTTTCGTAGAATGAAGTTCATTTCAGAAGCCATACATGGTTTCCCATTTACGGTCGCTTTTGAAGTTCGATACTATAACAAAGAAAAACGTACGTATGAGAAATTTGAACAGGGAAAACTTTTACAAGTGAATTTGCTTGTAAACTTAGAAACAACTCTTCAAGCTTTTCAAGAAAAAATAAACGATATCTATCTCGAATATGCAAAACAGAACAACATTGACGAAGGAGAGTACCATCTCGATATTATATATGACAGGAAAAATGCAACTGTTAAATTCAATAGAATAGAAGACCTTGGAGAAGACGTTTATATTTCTACAAAATATAACAACTTGGCATGGTATAGATTTTTGAGGATGTTAAATCAGCCTGCAGAATATCCAGTACACCCGAACTTTTATGAAGTCGAAAACCCTAATGGAACATATGAAAATGTTTTCGACTCAGATGCTATTATAGTTCATGCTTCATTTTCTGGCGCACAAAACTCTTTTTTATGCTTGGCAAATGACTTTTACGAAAAACCTACAAAGCTATATGAACCACCGAGTGGAAGTATTTCAGACTTTCAAGTATGGTTTACAACAGATGGAAGAAAGAGAATAATTCCATTATACCACGCGTTTTACTTAGAACTTAGTTTCATATACAACTACTATCGAACGGTAAAAATATGATTTTTTAATACGGTTGAGGTGTTGGATTTGGTTGCCAACTAGACTGTGGTGCAGGTTCAGGCTGTTGTATAACAGGAGCTTGCTCTTCTGGTTCAGGGTCTTTAGGTATAATACCAACGAACTGACCTACTCTTTTGCCAATATTTTTGACTCCGTTCCAAATTCCTCTTCCGACAGATTTTATTCCATTCCATATACCTCTTCCAACATTTCGAAAGAAGTTTCCTATTCTTCCAAAGAAACCCATTTTACTATATGTAAAAATCTAATGTCCACCTAGTCTCTTACGTTTCCTTCTGAGTTCCATAGCATTCTTTAACTGGAGCTCATACATTCTATTTCTCCTCTGGTAGAAAACATACTCTGGGTCAACTCCTGTGTTCGCGTCATCTGCATAGAGTTGTTTATATCCCACTTCGGGGTTTGTATAAAACTCTTTCCATCTCATATTTGCATACCATGGTGGCAAACCTAACGCAGCGTCATTTGACATGGCAGTTTGCATTTGTACATCTGTTGGCACTTGACCATAGTTTGCCATTGCAGTTTGTATTCTAACTTCATTTGGAATATTCTCTGGGTTTGGTTGTCCAGGTTGCTGTGCATTCGCTAAGTTCTGTGCGTCCATTTAATATTAGATAAAAATATCTCTTACGAGTACATATGCTGAACATTTGCAGGCATTGGTTCATCTTCATATTCTCTATATCTTTCTGCCACGTCAAATAAGTAAATGACACAATGGAAAAAACCTAAAACAAGTAGTCCTATTTCAAACCACATTTACTTACTAGTAAAATTTCTTTGTTATGACACTTTCTCCAGTTTATAGGACCTCTCTCATATTCTATCTTATCGTATCTAAACTCATAGTCATGTATGTCCTCTAACCATCTCATGACACTTTCCAAACCACTTTTATCGGATGTAAAGTAAAAGCATGGATGGTTATGTAAAACGTCTAAAGTTTCTAAAGAGTCTCTCAAAGTCCAGTCTACTTGGTATTGAAAATCCCATGTGTTATAGAACGGCGGGTCCACTATAAAGAAAACATTTTCCTTGTCTTTATATTTTTCATACAACTCTGTCCAATGACATCTCACAAACTCTATACCCTCAATATATTTTTCTATGTTCTCTTTGAAAACATTTGTATAGTTAAGATATAAAACTTTTGACATAAGTGTTTCAATGTCATGAACTCTTATAGCACCACTATATAATAGTCTAGCAGATATACTATCCCAGTCAATATACTCTGCCTTTTTCAAAACCTCTCTGACAGTATTTTTCTTATCTAATGGTATACGTTCCATCTTACCTATAGGTATCTTTTCTTTTAACTCTTTCAATATTTTGTTTGTGTCTGGTATATGTTTGAGACGGTTCATATAGTTGTCGAAGTCATTGCATATAATCTTTGAGTCAGGAAATATTGTATGGCACAAATGAGATATATAGAAACTTCCACCGAACAAGTCTACAAATGTTAGACCATTCGGTAGTTTCTTAAGTTCTCTCAATAGAATATCTTTACATCTACTCTTATTTCCAAAGAAGGGTAACGGTGGTTTTGTAAAATTCATTTTATATATATAATAAAAATGTTTTTTCCTGAAAAGTGACAGAAAAGTGACGGGGGCTAGAGGGCACGAAGTGCCTGGAAGCCCCACTACCTTTTTTTTTTTTTTTTTTTTTTTTTAAAAAAGGACATAGGAACTATTCAATTTGTTTGTAATCCTTTTTTATCCACACTTGCTGAAAAAATAAAAAAAATTAATTGTTATATAAAATATCTTTGTATTTTGATTACATATTCTATATGTGGTATTCCGCAAATCATATTTCATATTCCATATGTGGTATTACATATTCCAATAAAAGGCACTTAATGTGCATTTTCTAATTCAATTAGATTTGCACATTAAGTGCCTTATTATTATAATAACTTTAATATGGAATAAGTCGAGTTTATTCCAATATACGAGCTTATGCTCATATGTCGGGTTAAAATCTGGCGTTTGGCAATGTCGCAAAACGCTGATATGCTAATTCCTAAAAAATTTTTTTTATGAAAAAATTCTTTATTCGCAAAAGGTATAGTATTTGCTCATGTACGAACATATGCGAGAAATTCCCAATTCAAACATAACATAGATTGCTCTATACTATTTATTGCTCAAAATTATCTGATTCATGATTTTTTATTTTTACAACTTTTTTATTTCCATTTCCATATTTAGGACTTCAATCGGTTCTGTCATAAAATTTTTATCTTTTCAAATGACTCAGTACTCAAAAATTCAAAAGATGAGTGGTCTTTCTTTTTTTTTTATTCACGAATGGAGATTGAAACTAAGGAAATTATCAATATATTCGAGAGATCAGATCTCGAATTCTTCGAAAGCAAGGGCGGCTTGGATGGATTTTGCAATGCTTTCCACACAAATCTTACAGAAGGTATTCCAAAATCCGAAGCTGCTGAAGGTTTTGCAGACAGAATTGCCGGTTTTGGTGTTAACAAGCTTCCAGACCCACCAGTGAAGACCTGGTGCCGCATGTTCTTAGAAGCTTTAAACGATTTAACACTCAAGATTCTCTTAATTGTCGCAGTTATCGCTGCTGTCGTCGCATCCGCAGCACACCACAAACACCTTACATTTGAGCACTATATAGATCCAATTTCTATTTTAATTGCTGTATTTGTTGTCGCAATTGTATCTGCCCAAACAAACTACTCCCAACAGAAAGCGTATTTGGAAATTAACTCACTCAAGAACAATTTCCCAGTCACGGTTATTCGCGCCGGTGAGAAACAACAGATCATGAGTACAGAAGTATTGGTCGGAGACATTTTAGAGATCAAAGCAGGTGACTGTGTCGCTGCTGATGCTCTCTTCATCAACGGTACCAATGTTTCCATCAATAACTCTGCACAAACTGGCGAACCAATCGCTGTCAAGATTAACGAGAAGAATCCATTCCTCAGAGGTGGTGGCGCTATTGAAAGTGGTATTGGCACATGCTTGGTCGCTGCTGTTGGTCCTAACTCCCAGTATGGTGTTACAATGATGCAGATCCAAGAACTCGAAGCAAAGGATGACAAAACACCACTCGAAAAGAAGTTAGACAAGCTATCATTATACCTTACATACCTCGCTATCTTCTCAGGAATCCTCATTTTCGTCATTTTGTTCATTATTTGGATTGTTAACCTCGTCAAGGCCAAGAAGAAAGGAGATCTCCCACCAGAAACATGGGATGACCTCTCTAACTTGATCATGACTTCTCTTACAATTTTCATTTGCTGTATTCCTGAAGGTCTTCCACTCGCCGTCACTTTGTCTCTCTCATTTTCGATGAAGAAGATGATGAACGACAACAACTTCGTCAGACACCTCAATGCCTGTGAGACAATGGGTGGAGCAACAACAATTTGCTCAGATAAGACAGGCACACTTACACAGAACAAGATGACAGTCGTCAAATACTACATGTACGATGAAGAAAGTGACGGAAAACCAGAACTCAACGAACAAGTTCTCAAATTACTTGCAGACTCCATCGCAATCAACTCTACAGCATCGCATACAATCAAGGAAGGCTCCGAAGAACCAATTTTCGTCGGTTCATCCTCAGAATGCGCTTTACTTAAATTCATCGGAGATTTTGGTCAGGATTACGTCGAAATTCGCGAACTCAACCCTATCAAATACTTAAACGAATTCAACTCCGCGAGAAAGAGAATGTCTACAGTCGTAGAAGGCGAACATGGCCTCATGGTATATCTCAAAGGCGCTCCTGACTTCTGTCTTCCACTCATGAAGAACTACCTCACACCAGAGGGCGATGTCAAAGAGGTTGATGACGATTTCACAAACGCTGTCATGGGAAAGGTTAATGATTTCGCTTCACAGGCCTACAGAACAATGCTTATTGCATTCCGCAACGTCGACCACTCCATGGAAGCAGAGATCGAAGACCCAGCCCTCGCAGAAAAGGACATGACATTTATTTGCATCGTAGGTATCCAAGATCCACTCAGACCAGAAGTTCCTGATGCCATCAAGAAGTGCGAAGATGCAGGTGTCGTCGTCAGAATGGTTACAGGCGATTTCATTGCAACTGCAAGAGCAATTTCCAAACAATGCGGTATTCTCAAGAAGGAAACAGACATTGTCATGGAAGGTGCCGAATTTGCAAAGATGTCCAAGACAGATTTACTCGATAAGATCGACAATCTCCGTGTTCTCGCCCGTTCTTCACCAACAGATAAATATCGTTTGGTCTCTCTTTTGATGGAATGTGGCGAAGTTGTCGCTGTCACAGGTGATGGATCAAATGACTCTGCTGCTTTGAAGAAGGCAAATGTCGGTCTTTCAATGGGTATGTGCGGTACAGAACTCGCAAAAATCGCATCAGATATTGTTATTTTGGATGATAACTTTTCATCAATTGTTTCAGCATTGAAGTGGGGAAGATGCGTTTACGACAACCTCAGATCATTCATGCAGTTCCAGCTTCCTGTTAACTTCGTTGCCGTCATTGTTGTTTTGATTGGATCCATTTATTTGAATACTTCTCCTTTGAAGCCAATTCAAATTCTTTGGATCAATCTCATCAACGATTCCCTTGGCGCTCTTGGTTTGGCTACAAGACCTCCTTCCGATTCACTTCTCAAGAGACATCCATACGGCGAAGGTGACAATTTGATTTCCAATGTCATCGCAAGGAACATGTCCATTCAGACAGTTTATCAAACAATTGTTTTGTTGTTGATTTTGTTCGGAAGACAGAAACTTTTCGGTGTCCCAGAAACAGCAATTTTGGGTGAAAAATATGAGACAACAGTTTCATGGATTTTCAACACATTTGTATTCATGAATGTTTTCAATCTCATTAACTCAAGAGTTGCTGGACACGATGGTTCTGTTTTCGATGGAATCCAACATTCTTTCTTCTTCATTCTTGTTTTCTTCGGTATCGCAGCCATCCAGATTCTCATCATTTTCGTTGGAGGAAAAGTCTTCCACACTGTTCAGCCAACAGGAAGAGAATGGTGGATCACAATGGTTTTCTCTGTTGGCGATTTAATTGTCGGATTCTTCACAAGAATGATCAAGCTCAAGGACCACACACTTGAGAACTTGAATGTCTACAGATTGATGAGAAAGGAGAAGGTCAGAAGATACTACCACAACATGAGTGTCGACCAGCAGTGGAATGAAAACAATGTTCTCTCTGATTCCGATGAATTAAAGGAAGTTGAAACACATGCTTCTAGCGCTCATGAACAGAGTGAAACAGAAATCTCTGAACACTTGGTCAATCATTGAAAAAACTAACAAGCGGTATATATTTTATATTATTCTATTTATTATAAAATATTATTTATTTTGAAAATAACATTTTTTTTGTTAATTGTGTACTCTTGTTAATACCATTAATTTTCGTTGGAGGAAAAGTCTTCCACACTGTTCATCCAACAGGAAGAGAATGGTGGATCACAGTGATTTTTTCTCTGTTGTTAATATATTCTTTCAATTAATTTTGATATTTTCTAACTTATGTAGTATATTTCTGAGTAAAACAATCCGATTTTTTCATTTTCGATTTAATATTTTAAACTAGGATGTAATTTCATGTCATAATATTATATCAGATCTGCAAAACGTTCATGTTTAAAGTACCTTTTGTCAAAAAAAATTGAGAGAATCCCAGAAAGGATTTCAAAATTCTGTGCTTTTAAAATGGAACTCATTTATTTTCAAATCTGAATGAAATAATTTTTCACCTTATTTTAATATTTGAAGAAATTAAAACCGATTACATGATGCATACTGAAGGTTTTTAAGATAATATAGAAATTGTTCAGGATAGATGAATGAAAGTTATTTTCTTATTTAAAGTAAACCTTGAATGATTGATTAAACACCTATAATAAGATTTTTTGATTCATAAGAGCGAATTAAGTTTGCAGTTTCTTCGCTACTATTAATTTCAGCATATTCAAGTGCAGTATTACCAAAATTATCTTCTTCATTAATTTTGACACCACATTTTATCAGAATTTCGGCTATTTCTTTATTATCTTCAATTGCTGCACAATGAAGAGCAGTCTTGCCATAAACATCTTTTGCATTTATGTCAATCCCATTTGAAATAAGACTTTTTGCTATTTCACTGTGGAAATTTTCAATTGATACTAAAAGTGCTGTTTTTCCAAAATTATCCTTTGCGTTTATATCTATTCCATGCAAAATAAGAAGTTCTAAAGTGTCTTTAGCATCATATTCTGCTGAAATATGAAGAGCAGTTTTTAATTCTTCATCTTTAGCATTTATATCTACTCCATGCGAAATAAGAATTTCTGCTGTTTCTTTTATATTATATTGTGCTGCAAAATGAAGAGCATTTCTTTTCAATTTGTCCTGTATATTAACATCCGCACCATGCAAAATAAGAAATTCTACAAGTTCAGGAGAGTTTTTCCATGCAATTTCATGTAGAGGAGTCCTCCCTGCAATATCTTTAGCATTGACATCTGCTCCGTTTGAAAGAAGAAACTCTGCTGTTTCTTTACAGTCATTATCAATTGCAAAGTGAAGTGGAGTTTTTCCCTGAGAATTTTCTATATTTATATCAGCAGAATGGGATACAAGAAACTCTATTACTTCTTTACTATCTTCCTTTGCTGCATTATGAAGAATGTAATTCCCAAGATGATCTTTTTCAGTGATCTCGGCACCATTGAAAACAAGAAGTTTGGCTGCATCAATATTATTGAAAATTGCAGCATAAAAAAGAGGAGTCCAACCTTGATATTGCTTTGCATTAATATTTGCACCATATGAATATAGGAATTCAGCCGTTTCATTACTATAATGTTTTATTGCTTCATGAAGAGGAGTCAATCCATAATAATCTGCTGCATTGACGTCAGCACCATTCTGAATAAGAATTTCAGCAACTTTTTGCTGTTATTAATTGCTGCAAAATGAAGAAGTGTTCTAAAAGAATATTCCAATGAAATTTTAGCAAGTTTTTTTGAAACAATAAGGTTGGCTATTTCTGGGCTCATATTTTTTGATGCTGACAGAATAACAGTTTGATTATCTTTATTATCCAAATTGATATTCGCACCATGCAAAAGAAAATATTCACAGAGAGAAGGAATATTAAAATAAGGTGAATTCAAATAACATTTGTCAACATCATTAGTTTGATCAAAATAAACTAAAAATGCTTGAAGATTATTGTATTCTCCGCAAAATTCCAAATCAATTTCAATATTGCATTCATTTCTCAAGAATGTAACAAAATCAATGTTATGAGAAATGATTGCATATCGCATTGTGGAATTATCAGGTTTTCTTGTTTTCAAACATTCATTTATGATCTCTGCGTTTCCGCTTAAAAACGAAAAAGAAAGACACTGATCTGTGATTTTGGAATTATATTTTGTCCTTAAAAACTTAAAACAATCAATTGCTCCATGGTAGCAACACAGTTCAAGTAATGAATAAGGCACTAACGTAGGATTTTCAGATTCGTGATAAATCGGATAAAAATAACTTTTTAATGTCTGATTTTGATCAAAACCTTCTCTTTCAGTGAATGCAATAAATTTTTCTATGTCATCATTCATGATAGCATTGTAAATCGTATATTCTTCATGAACATTCAATGAATATTTTTCATTATCAAATTGATTAAACAATTTTTGGTATTTTTTTATGTAAATGATTCCATATTCTTTATCAATAAAATATTGATAAAGACATGATACGTTTTCTATTCCTTTTGGCTGATATTCTTCTAAAATCTTTTTAAATATTCACCAATATGACTTTACATAGCGGTTATTGAATTCAGATGCAAGTATAATAATATTAAGAATCCGAATTGGTGTAAATATTTTAGTCTCTATTAAATTATTTTTTATTTCTTGATAAATTTTCAGGATTTCTTCATCATTGTATGATCTCAGCTTGTATAAATTACTAAATGCATCATTGAAATCTTTGTATAACTCCATAAATTCGCAATAACTGTTGTTCTTCATGGGAAAAAAAATATAAGGGAAATATTAAATTTTCCATCTTTAAAATTGCGGAAAAAACTAAATATTAATATTACTAAATGCAAGACGAAATTAGTGCACTCAAGGATCAACTTCAAGCCCTTGACGACAAGATCAAAGCTAACGAAGAAGCCAAAGCCGCTCAAGGTGCCGAAGATCTTGCCGGTGTCAACGATCGTCTCGATGCTCTCAACAACAAGATCGACGATAACAACAACAAAGACAACAAGCAAGACGAGGATCTCAAGGCACTCGCCGACAAGATCCAAGAGATGGAAGACAGAAAGAAGGAGGAAGACGAGCAGCGTGCTGCCAAGAACAAGGCACTTGTCCAGAACTTGAACGACAAGTTCAACGATCTCGACAACAAGATCCAAGACGGCGACGACAAGAACGAGAAAGACCTCAAGGCACTCAAGGAGCAACTCGATGCTCTCAACGATCGCCAGAACGCCAACGAGGACAAGGACAACAAGCAAGATGACGATCTCAACGAGCTCAAGGACAAGTTGAACTCTCTTGACGACATGATCAAAGCTAACGAAGAAGCCAAAGCCGCTCAAGGTGCCGAAGATCTTGCCGGTGTCAACGACGCTCTCAATGCTCTCAACAACCTCATCAAGGAGAAGGCCGACGACGATGCTCTCAAGGCCCTCGAAGACAGGTTGAACAACAACGACAACAAGGACAACAAGCAAGATGAGGATCTCAAGGCACTCGCCGACAAGATCCAAGAGATGGAAGACAGAAAGAAGGAGGAAGACGAGCAGCGTGCTGCCAAGAACAAGGCACTTGTCCAGAACTTGAACGACAAGTTCAACGATCTCGACAACAAGATCCAAGACGGCGACGACAAGAACGAGAAAGACCTCAAGGCACTCAAGGAGCAACTCGATGCTCTCAACGATCGCCAGAACGCCAACGAGGACAAGGACAACAAGCAAGATGACGATCTCAACGAGCTCAAGGACAAGTTGAACTCTCTTGACGACATGATCAAAGCTAACGAAGAAGCCAAAGCCGCTCAAGGTGCCGAAGATCTTGCCGGTGTCAACGACGCTCTCAATGCTCTCAACAACCTCATCAAGGAGAAGGCCGACGACGATGCTCTCAAGGCCCTCGAAGACAGGTTGAACAACAACGACAACAAGGACAACAAGCAAGATGAGGATCTCAAGGCACTCGCCGACAAGATCCAAGAGATGGAAGACAGAAAGAAGGAGGAAGACGAGCAGCGTGCTGCCAAGAACAAGGCACTTGTCCAGAACTTGAACGACAAGTTCAACGATTTCGACAACAAGATCCAAGACGGCGACGACAAGAACGAGAAAGACCTCAAGGCACTCAAGGAGCAACTCGATGCTCTCAACGATCGCCAGAACGCCAACGAGGACAAGGACAACAAGCAAGATGACGATCTCAACGAGCTCAAGGACAAGTTGAACTCTCTTGACGACATGATCAAAGCTAACGAAGAAGCCAAGGCTACCCAAGGTGCCGAAGATCTCCAGGGTGTCAACGACGCTCTCAATGCTCTCAACAACCTCATCAAGGAGAAGGCCGACGACGATGCTCTCAAGGCCCTCGAAGACAGGTTGAACCGCAACGACAACAAAGACAACAAGCAAGACGAGGATCTCAAGGCACTCGCCGACAAGATCCAAGAGATGGAAGACAGAAAGAAGGAGGAAGACGAGCAGCGTGCTGCCAAGAACAAGGCACTTGTCCAGAACTTGAACGACAAGTTCAACGATCTCGACAACAAGATCCAAGACGGCGACGACAAGAACGAGAAAGACCTCAAGGCACTCAAGGAGCAACTCGATGCTCTCAACGATCGCCAGAACGCCAACGAGGACAAGGACAACAAGCAAGATGACGATCTCAACGAGCTCAAGGACAAGTTGAACGAGTATCAAGCCCTTCAAGACAAGCTTAACGAATTGCAAGACAAGATCAATGAATTGCAAAATGAGATGCATCCAGAAGAAGAGGGTGTTGGTGAAGTCCAAGCACGTGACATCGACCTTGTCGCTGCCACACCAGAAGATGAGAATGCTCCAACACTTTCTGAGTTGAACGATGCTCTCAAGGAACTTCAAGAGAAGCTCAACGATCTTGCAGCTAAGGCTGAAGATAACGATAACAAGGATAACAAGCAAGATGAAGACCTTAAGAACGTTAACGATGCTCTTCAAGCATTAGAAGATAAGGTCAAGGGTCTCCAAGACAAGGATGCCGCTCAGGACGAGAAGGACAAGAACCTTGAAGACGCCATCCAAGAACTCAAGGACAAGGATGCCGCTCAGGACGAGAAGGACAAGGCCAACGAAGAAGCAATCAAGTCCCTCGCCGACAGACTCCAGGATCTCAAGGACAAGATCAGAGACGCCGAGGAAGCCAAGGCTACCCAAGGTGCCGAAGATCTCCAGGGTGTCAACGACGCTCTCAATGCTCTCAACAACCTCATCAAGGAGAAGGCCGACGACGATGCTCTCAAGGCCCTCGAAGACAGGTTGAACGCCAACGAGGACAAGGACAACAAGCAAGATGACGACATCAACGAGCTCACGGACAAGTTGAACTATCTTGATGACAAGATGCAGGTAGTCGAAGCGGCTAATGCAGATGCTCTTAAGGCTCTCGAAGACAAGGTCAAGGAGCTTAACGACAAGGCCGACAACACAGACAACCACAACAACAAGAAAGGTGATTACATGGATCTTGCAAATATGATCAAAGACCTTCAAGATAAGGAAGCTGCTCAAGATGAGAAAGATAAGGCCAACGAGGATGCAATCATGTCGCTGACAAACAAATTCCAGGATCTAAAGGCAATTATAATCTCTGGAATTTTCGAAGAATTAAGTAAGGCTGTCACATCACTGAACGACATCGTCAAGGATAGGGTTGTTAAAAATATCAAAAATTAGCGTTTTGAAGACACCATGGTGTCTTATAATTTTCCCTTCCTTATTGGCGTGTAGAAATAAATGCGCCAATAGATTGAAGAAGAAGAATTGTTTTTCTCTTAATGAACTTTAATCCTTTTGATATAAGAATATTAAAAACATTAATATAATTTCGATTTCGGAAAATAAATTTCCAAATTTTTTGTCGATTTCGGAAATAACAGGATCCCGCATCCAACACGCAACAACAAAACACAAAACACACTTTTTGGTTCTTTCATCGTTTTAATCGTAATTTATGTAATACATGATTTGGATAAATTTTACAAAAATAGAACCTATATTATATTCTTTTCAAAGATTCTTGCAAATCATCAAAAATAATTGTATTTTAAAAAACGATCAAATTATCCTTTCATTATTTTAAACTTAAATTAGTTTTTATGATTGACTAAAGCAATCATATTTATTCATCATTAAATAAACAAAAAAATAATATTTGAGAGTTATTTCAAAAAAAAACACATTGAATTTATTAATTTGTCTCAATTTCAGTATTATAAATTTTTATAATTTCAATATTTTGAAATACACTTTTTAATATTTCAATATTTATGATATTTCAATGTATTAAGTGGTCTCAAATTGAGCTTCTCAAATATAAGTTGGCCTATTCAAATAATAAAATTAAATAATATTTAAAATAATAAATAAAAGTGATTGAGGTCATAGCAAAACGGCTGTTTCAGTCATTAATTCTTAAAAATAAAAAGGGTAAAAACTAAATAAAATGGGTAAAATTCAATAGTGTCTGTGCTATCGTTCAATTTGAAGGTGTCTTTTGAAACCGCAAGACACCTTGAATTTTTGAATAGTGTATTATGGTTTGACAGACACCAATGAAAAAAATAAAATGATATTTATTTTGAATATATAAGATCCTTATATAAAATATAAATATTTTATCGTTTTATTTTCTTGTTTTAGAAATGTTTTTTATTGAAAAATCAATAAAACTAACTCCAAAATAAAATTTTTGATTTAAAGACACTATGATGACACCAGGCAAATCTTCCAAGACACCTATTATAGATCCGTATTTTTCCCAAGTGAGGGGGGTATCTCCAATCCCAGCCCTATCGTCCTCCCAGTGTCAGTTTTCAATATAAAATCCAAATTTTTTTTGAAAATAAAAATTTCGAGAAATTTTTCTGATTTTTTTTCTTTAATTTCAATAATTCAAAATAAATTTGGGAGTAAAAAGACACTATTTAATGAAATTCATATGAGTGAATGTGGATAAATACTCTCAAAACATACAATTTATCTATTTTTTCTTTATATTATCAACTAATTAGTGATAATTTTTTTTGAATCAGATTTTTTTTTCATTAAAAACATAATATATAACACAACAATGATGCACACATACGTATCTACACATCAAAATATAAAGCTTGTTTTGGTCTGGGCATCCCAACCCAAAATTCTTAAAAAATTGAATAAAATTGAATACTTGGGGCTGGGATACCCATCCCAAAACCGAATTGAATTTTTTGAATTAAAGAATATATTTATGTATTTATAATATACATGTGATTTCTATAAAAAATACTAAATTCTAAAAAAAATTCAATTTATTCAAAACGTATACTAAGTGATCACTTCATTAGTAGGATCAGCAATCCTACTAAATGGTGAGAACGCCACTAACTCAAAAGGGAGTCCTTGGAGCTCTTGATCTCTTGTCAGTAGAGTTCATAATGAGGCATGGCATCTACTGATTAGAGATCAGAGCAATCCTACCTTACCTTCAGGAGCTACAAAGCTCCTAATCGTTACGAGAGGGAGCCTTGGAGCTCCTGAAGCTCATCAGCAGAGGCTATTTACCATTTGGGCCTCTTCTGATGAAAGATGCGAAACACGTCTACGAACCAGGAGCTTCAAAGCTTCTAATCCTTACTAAAGGGAGCTTTGGAGCTCCAGAGTCTCCATCAACAGAGTCCCAGATGGTAAATGTCCTTTGCTGATGAAAGATGCGAAACACATCTACGAACCAGGAGCTCCAAAGCTCCTAATCCTTACGAAAGGGAGCTTTGGAGCTCCTGAAACTCCTTTTACTATAAAATAGGACAGTTTTCTTCTGAAGTTCTCATCAAATCTAAGACTTCAGAAGAAAGCTGGCCTATCAATGTATACTTACACTCTCATGGACTACAAGTGTACAATTTTAAGGCAGAGATTATCCGAGGCCTCTCATCAAATGAGGGACCTCGGATAATCTCTACCTTAAGTAGTCAAATAACTTTTCTCACTATTTAGGAACAAAAGAACAAGAGTTGGAGTACTTTAAGGCAAGATTCTTCCGAAATCTCTCATCGAATGAGAGACTTCGGAAGGACCTTGCCAAATCCTTGAACGCCAATATCCTTGGAACTGAGCTAGAACCAGGGAGAAGTAGCATACTATAGAGCACGATGGTAATCTCGGAAATGCTTATATCGCCCCAAGCACAATATTTAAGAAGTCTAACTCATATATACAAGAAGTCAGGCTGAATAGATATTGTGCATATGGTTTGCAGAACTCTCATGATATTTCAAATTCATGTTATCCCAAAAAAGGTGACACTTTGGGTGTATCGTCCATCCCAGGGATGCAAAAATCACATCACCTTGGATCTATACACCTATCGTCGGGAATCTAACAACCCTATCAAGGAGAAGGCTGACAAAGATGCTCTCAAGATCCTTGAAGAGAGAATGAAACATAGCGAAAAAAGGTTTGATATTCAAAAGAAAGACATCATGGCACTTCATGACAAGATCCTGGAGATGGATAATAAGATAAAAGATGAAGATGAAGAGACTTTTCGTATTAATGACATTAACAGTAAGATTGGTGATCTTGGAAACATGATTCATGAATGCGACAAAAAGATCGAGAAAAACATAAAGGCACTTCAGGAGAAATTTGATGCTTTTTTAGAGAGTCAACACAAGGAGGAAAATAAAAATATTAGACAAGAGGAACTTGTGAAATATGATCAAAGAATCAACAAACTAAAGAATCTTTTTGATCAAATGAATGAAAAGTTTAATGATCTTAAAAATAAATACGATGAACTTGAATACGAAGCTCACCAAGAGGAAGAGACAAATTGTGAAGTGCAGGCAAGGGATGAAGATACATTAATGAAGTTACAAGATATTAATGAAAAGATTGAACAAATTGAAAAAGAAAACGCTTCATTTAATGAAGATTTGTCAAATGTATTACAGAGATTAGGAGAAAACGAAAAATTATATGAATCACAAAATCATGATATTATTGATGTGAAGAAATTATTAAGCAAATTAAATAATGATATTAACGAAATAGAGGAAGCAGATTCTAAAAAGCATTCTAATGAATTAACAAATGCTTATGGCAATTCTCTGAAAGCTCTTGAAGAAAAGCTCAACAAATATGACATCAGTTATAACACCCAAAAAGAAGAAATCAACATAATAAATAACAGGATCCAGGAAATTGAAGATAGATGTATGAGCAATCTTTGTATGATGCATGTGAAAACAAATGAATTTGAAAAGAACTTGCAAGAAAAGTTCAATGACCTCAACAACAAAATCCAAAATAATATTAATAATAGCGAGAATGATATTAAAGTACTTAAACAGAAAATCGAATCTTTCGAGGATAACCAGAATGTTAACGAATTTAACAATAAATTAAATGAATATCAAGTCATTCAAGATAAGCTTAACAATTCCTTCGTTGAACTTCAAGAGAAGGTTAATTATCTTACAGATGCAACATCCATGTTCTTTGGTTGTGATAACAATCAAGATGAATCGATAATCATAAAAATACATTATGATGATGACATTCTTGAAGATAAGATCATATCTAATGAAAATACACTTAATATACTCGAAAGTAAGATTAAAGATATAAAGAATCAAATGAGAAATACAGAAAATTACAAAGTTGCAAATGGAGCACAAAATAATCAATGAGTTAATATACCAACAAGCAACAATTGAGTTAGATTCAACTCTATAAATAAGAGATCCAATGAAAAATATTGATAAAAAGTATTATTAATAAATTTATTGTGAATGCAGATGTGTTCTGTGCAAACGTCAACATGGAAATAAATGTTATATTTTATAAAAGTTATGTTATATTTTTTGTTATCTAAATAAATTTGTGATTTCTATCAACAGGAGCTACTAATCATCATGATTGAAAATCATTTTATGCAGTTTCAATTTCTTAAAAGTGAAGCTGATTGGGATGAGGTTGGCATAACAACGTGAACCATTCAATATTGAGAAGTTTGCATCGTTACACCTACTCCAAAAAATTATTTTTGACACATCATTTTTAGTTAATCATATGTTGGAAGCAAATATTGAAGAGGAGTTTCCCCATATTGGTTTTTTATATTAACTTTTGCACCATTTGACATAAGGATTTCTGCCATTTCTATATTATGTCTTCTAGCAGCAAGATGAAGAGCAGTTTCTGAATCTTTGTTCTTTGCATTGATGTTTGATCCATGCAAAACTAGAAAATTTACTAAATCATTATAATCAGTTTTAGCTGCAATATGAAGAGCTGTTTCTCCATTTCTATTTGCAACGTTGATATTTGCACCATGAGCTAATAAAAGTTCTAAAAGTTCTTTATTATTGTCTTTGGCTGCAATCATAAGGGGAGTTTCTCCTGAGCTATTTTGATCATTATACTACTAGGAGTTCTACTAGTTCTTTATTTTTGCATCTCGTTGAAATATGAAGAACTGATTCTCCTCTATTGTTTCTTGTTTTTAATTTGGCACCATGTGAAACAAACAGTTTTGCAATTTTATTTTTGTTATATTCTACTGACTTATGAAATGGTGTATTTCCAAATTTGTCGGGGATGTTGACATTTGCACCATGCAAAATAAACAACTCTAATATATCTAGGTCATTATTTTCTATGGCATAATGAAGAGGTGTAGAAAGATTGTTATCTTGAATATTGGGATTTGCACCATGAGATATTAGATATTTTACGAATTCTTTATTATTATTTCTCGTTACAATATGTAGTGCTGTTTCGTTATATTGATATTTTGCATCGATATTTGCTCCATGCTTAAGTAAATATTCACACAGATTCAGATTATTAAAACAGTATGAATGGATAAAGCATTGATCATAATCACGAGTTTGATCCAAATAAATTAAGAATGCTTGAAGATTATTATATTTGCTGCAATATTCCAGATTAATATCCATCTGGTACTCATTCTTCAAAAATGTATAAAAATCAAGGTTATGTGAAATTATTGCATATTCCATGGATAATTCTAAGTCCCATTCGCGTTTCTTCGAACACTCAGCGATAATATCTGGATTTCCACCTAAAAAAGAAAATCCACAACAAAGTGGTGTGATTTCAAATTCGAACTCTGTTCTCAAAAACTTGAAGCAATTAACTGAGCCATAATAACAGCATAATTCAAGCAATGAATATTGTTCACCTGATTTATAGAATTTTGATTTACATGAAATACCTACAGAGTCATCATTTTGTCTAATAAGAGTTATGAATGACTTTATGTCATCATCCATAATTGATCTGAAAATCGTGTTTTCATTATGAACATCCAAACTATAATTGTTTGCGTTGTAAGATAAAATGTATTTTTGGTGCTTTTCCTCTAATAAAAATCCATACTCTTTATAAAAAAAGTAATCGAAAATATATCCAATATGTTTGGCTTGCTTCAGCTGATATTCTTCAATAACCTTCTTAAATATTGTCCAATAGGACCTGAAATAGTAGTTGTTGAATTTTGAAGCAGTTTTAATAATTGGTAAAATCTGAGAAGGTGATAATATATCTGTTTCAATCAATTTAAATTTAATATCATTGAAAATTTTTTCGATATCATTGTCATTGAAAGTCTTAAGTCTGTACAATGAATTCATTGTATTGGCATAATCTCCATATAAAGTCATAAGCCCACCATATATGGATTGGGGCTGCATTATTTTCAAGTGATTTTTTTTCCACTATTCAAATTATTTTTCCCACTTTCAATTTTTTTTCCACAATTTGAAAAATCCAGGATATAATTCGAAGTGATATTGGGCAAAAATAATTAAGGCAATATCAGGTACCGTAGCTATGAAGTGCTATGTTGTGGTTTGAAACGATATTATCGTATTTTTCATTTCTTAATTGCATAATGCTATTTTTTTAAAAAATAAATAGACTATTTTCGATAAGAATATTTTTGAAATTTCAAATTTAAGGTCTCAGTAAGCTCCAGTTTTAAGGAAACGGATACTTTAAAAATTAAGAAATAAACACATAACGTTATATATTATATTTAGGGAAAAACATTTTGCCCAACTAGTTTTCAAATCTATTTCTTCAATTTGCTACGGAGAGAATGATATAGGAAGGTCGAATATCATGCCTATCTGAAGCTCCCATTGATTTCATATAATTGATTAGTTTTATAAAAAGTATTTTTATGCATTATTTTCATTCATTTCTTTTTTTGATATGTTTGATGAAACAATAAGGCTCAATGCAAAACATGATGAACTATATCATAGGTTAATCTTCATTGATGTTGCACTAAGCATATACTCTCCAAACTTCGAGAAACCAAATTATTCTAATATTGAAAGTAATAATGCCATAATCTTTAGGATGATGATTCTAAATAGTGGAGATATGTAGATATAATTTTGAAAGCTGTAAGAATGTTTCTAAATATCAATTTCAATTTCTTTTGTTTGAAAGAAATTCGAATTCAAGTTAGATAAAGTTAAGGACATCATTAACATTGTTAAAAAATAAGTTTTTAGTTATAAATCTTTTCAAACAAAAAAATTTATTTATTATATAACAAATTTTCCAAATAACGAAGGTTTTGAAGGCTGAATCTCTTCTACTTCGCTAGACTCTGTTGGTTCTGGTTCTGGATCTGTTCCAGACAAATCAAAACCAATTGTGAAATTAGATGAACTCAAATGACCAGAAACACTCTTCAAATTGCTTAACGTCGTGAAGACATATATCAGTGAGCGAAGGGAGGCTCTTCCTGTTGTTGATTTCGCAATTTTCTGGTTTTGGACTAATTTAGAAATTTTCTTTTGATCTCTTAGGGAATTTATTGTCTTAACAGACTGCATTGCATTCTTTGATGCAAGAACAAGGTCTTCTATTATAGAACGAAGTCTATCTCCGCTTCTTACTGGATCAAGATTTTCATCAAGAGCAATTTGGCCAATTTTCCTTGCCCATGCTATCCATTGCTCTGCCTCTTGCATCTTGTCAGCATTTTCTTGCAGTTTGGCACGCTCGCTCTTGATTTTCTCGCTTTCTTTCGATAGTTGGTCGAATTCATTCAATTTTGAAACAGTCTGTTTGATGTATTGACTGATTTCAGATGAAAGCCTTGGAGCTGTTCCTTGGATTCTTGGTCCGAAATGGTTCCCAATTGCTCTCATTTCCTCTTTCATTGTCTCATTCTCCTTTCTTTCGCTGTTTGCATCTAATATTCTTTGTTGGACCTTAACAAGAAGCTTTTCCGTCGATTCCTTCGTAATTGGCTGTGTATAATCCGCGAATTCCTTAAACAATCGAACAATTTTAGCGCAAAAATCATGAATTTGTTTCAATGCGTCGTTCTTTGCTTTTTCTACTCTATTATCAGCATCACATTTGATCTGCTGTACCTGGAAATCATTCTGCTTCTTCTTTAAGTTCATTTCCCTTTGATTTGCATCTTCAATACTTTTTAGCTTCAATTCCGAGCTTCTCTGCTTTATTGTCATAGCCGACAACTTCTGTCTTTCCTGTTTGAGCTCTTCTCTTACCTTGTCTCTGTCAGATTTAACAAAATCTAATTGTTTTTTAGCGTTTTCCAGCTCTTTTCTGAGTTTCATTGACTTCTTTTCGCTTTCCTCCTTCTCTTCCACGTATTTCTGTAGCAACAAAGTGTTGTTTGACCTCATTTGGCTGAGCATTTGTTTAAATTTCGATTTTGAAGTGGAGAAAAGGTCATTTGTCTCAACATTTATAGCTGCTATGCCATCATGGAACTGTTGGACCAACGAGTTGAGGTCAGATTTGACGTCATTGAACTGCAAAACCAAATCTTCCATTTGAGATTTGTTTGTTTCGTTCAATTGCTCGTTTTCTGAGGATTTATTGGACAGTTCTTGCTTTAGATGTTCATTTTCAGCTTCGATCTGCTCTATTTTTGACTTTTGCTCGACAATTTCGGATTTAATTTCTTCAGATTGTTTTTCAAACATGTTTTTACTGTTTTCGAACTCTTTCTGTGTAGTTTCAAGCAAACCCTGCAACTCATTGATCATATCTCCGTATTTTGCACCTGCTTCACTGAATTTTTGTTTTTGAATTTCGATCTTTTTCTCCAAAAACGCGATTGTCTTTGTTTCTTCACTTATTTCGACAGCCTCACCATTGGTAATTGCGTTGTACAAGTTCCTGAACTTATCTTCTTCGTCTGTTCCGATTGAACTCGCTAATAATTTCTCAGAAATCTTCTTTGATAATTTTTGACACTTTTCCAGTTCATTTATACGGTTTTGGAGGTCAATTACTTGGGAATTCGTCATTTCGGATCTTGTATTCAACTCTGATTTGAGGTTTCTGTTTTCATTGGCCGTTTTTGTCGCTAATGATCTGACTTCCATCGAATACTTCTGTAAAACAGTGTTTGCGACCACGCACTGTGTCAGAACAGTGAATAACGGTTCATTGTTGGGTGCTCTGTACTTGTTATTCACTAAATATTCGATCATAAAAGATTCTGGATCTTTTATTTCGCCGGAAATTGGTAAAAAGTGCTCGAAAACACTCTTCTCGGTATCAATGTTAAGTTTGTTCTTCGAAATAAAGGTGTTTACGTCAGAAACTGCAGAAATTAAAGAATTCTTCATTGCATCGGAAATTTGAGACGAAATCATGAATCTTTGAAGCTCCTTGCTACGAGATAGCTCATTGATGTAATGTAATTGTGAATAAACAGCATTTTGGAGCTCTTTATTATATTCTTTGATTTTTTCAATGTCTTCAGCATTGGACTGGACAGTAAGATTATCTATGACCTTAATTACCTTTTCTTCATCCGAAATCATGCTATTTTCCAAGATTTCTTCGATATTTTTATCATTATTTGAAGATTTGCGAATTTCTTCAAAGATATTGGTAAAATCGAAGGTTTGTTCAGCAGACAAATCAATATCACGCGTCATTACCTGCTGTTGCTCGTTGGTTTCCTGGATTTGTTCGATCATTGAAAGTAATTTGAAGGAAGATTCGCCAAGGAGACGTCTTTGTTCGTATAGTTTTGTGAGCTGATCGTTCTGGAGCTGTAATTGGTCGCTCTGAGTGTCAATAAACTTAAGAAGTTGATCATTTTGGGATTTTAAGTGTTCTATCTCAACAGTGAGGTCTGCGATCTGTTGATCTTTCTCTTCTGTGTTATGCTCGCTGTCAAGCTGCGCTGTAAGCTCTTGAACTTTTTGATCTGTGTCATATAACAAATCTTCAAGCTTTTGACGCTTTTCTTTGGAACGACGAATGTAATCTTGCATTTTCTCTTTTTCACTTGATAGTTGTTGAACACGATTTTCGTAGTTTTGTAATTCATTTGTTAAATCAATGATTTGAGCCTTTTGTTGAGTTAATTTCGTCTTGCAATCTGCTACAATAGAACTATATTTTTGTTGTGTCTGCTCTAATTGCTGTTTTGTCATCTTTAATTCGTCTTTTACAGGTGAAAGTAAAGATGTGTTTGAAAGACGTGAATTTTCAGCTTTTAACTCTGTAAGTTGATGCTTGAGATCTTCGTTTTCATCAATAATATCTGTAAAAACATGAGAAGAGTTTTGGCTATATAAAATTTTCATTGTAGTGGAAACCAATGTCAAAACTTCGCTAGAATCACTTTGTTGGACTGTCTTAATAAGATCATCATTCAGTTCTTGCAAATGAGCAAGGTTTTGGGGAGTGAAATCAGGTTTATTTTGAAAATCTTTAACACACTTCTCCAAAGCAGTATATTGTGGAATACTCCTATAATTTGGTGGATTTACCTGTTTGTTGGAGCCTTTAGACGCTAAAGTTGTCATTTAAAGGTCCAATTTTTGAAATTAAATTCCAAAAAAGTGACAAATGTAAATACTTATAAGAAAATGTTAAATGGGGTCTTAAAATCAAATTAAAAGGTAGTTAACGATTATTTTTAAAAGAATTCTATAATTTAAGGGTCTGAAAATAAATTTAAGTTGTAACGTACGATTATTTAGGAAAGAAATTATGGAAGGGGATAAGTCTGGCCCCTTTGATTCAGTGAACATTCCTAAACATATGCAGAAATATGCTCAACTCCTTGAGTATCTCAAAAAATTATCGTTAGATAACATGGATGATACACTTGGAGCGCTTAGACATTCGTTTTTTCATGAAGACTATGATGAAGTAGCCGCAATTCTCGTCTATACATCAACAGCACCACTTTACGATTCTGTTATGGCAGAAATTTTAACATATAAATTATGTATTGAGTGGAATCACTTCAATTACGCAGTATTACGCGTTTTTGCATCAATGGAATCAATTCTTCCGTATACAAAATATATTAGAAGTCTATTTCAGCGAGGAATGTGGACATTTAGTAAAATTCAAGAATCATTACAGGATGTGAATGGATATGAGTTAGTCTTTGCCAAAGAAATCGTTGAAAACTGTCCACAAGATGACAAATTCGATAAATTGACTCGAGAATACAGGAAAAATGATTGGAAACTTTATAATGAAATTATTGAATGCGGATTCCCACTAAATGAATTAGGATATGCAATTAAAAACGATAATCTACCACTCTTACAAGAATTAGCCTCAAAAGAAGACTTTGATTATGATCAAAAAATTTTACAAGAACATTTCGGCTCTCATGAGCGCACATTGATCAGTACAGCTGCATACTACGGAAGCATCAATTGCTTTAAGTTTTTACTCGTAAATAAAGCAAAAATCGACTCATCAACTGCTGAATGCGCCATAATGCATGGAAACCTCGAAATCATCAAACTATCAATTGAACAACTCAAAGACCATTCATGTCTTCTTCCTGCAGCAGTTTTGGCCCATAGAGATGACTTATTTGTTTGGATTTCCGAAAATTTCTCAGATACGAAGCAGGCATCACTGTATGATTGTGTAAGATCATTAAACTACAAAGCTTTGCTATATTACATTGAAAAACAGTCAATGTCAAAAGATTATCAACCTTCTTTATGTGTTGCCGCTCAAATGGGTATTGTTTCAATGTGCCGTGTTCTTATCGAGAATGGTGCCGACACTAAAGCGACTATGGGACTTAAAGATACTGCTCTTCACCTTGCAACTAGATGCCAACACTTTTATGTCGTTTCTTTCCTTTGTTCTCATGGTGCTGATTCAAATCTGAGGAATGAAATTGGAAAAACTCCATACGACATCGCCGATGATGTCAAGAACGAGAATATCAGACAATTCCTTAGTTATAATGGCGGGAAACCAGCCAGACTTGTAGAGAAGATGAATAATAACAATACTAAATAAATTATGTTTTTTTTATCACATTGAATATTAATACTTTTTACTTTTTAGGGATTTGATTTTTAATAATTGACAACTCCAAAATTTTTAAAATACGCAAATAATGTGCAAATTCAATTTTAAATAATCGTTTTTGCGCATTTTCTTCAATCTATGTAAAACCCCAATAAGGATTCATTAATTTAAATTGTCTGTAAAATGTTTGAATATTTCCATAATTTCCAAGCTTTTACTTTTTGGGATTTTAATAGATTCTTGAATTTGTATAATTTGAATATTAACACTTTCCTGACTTTTTGTCAGACATGCGAAGTAAGCCAAAAATGTAGGAAAAGTGTGATTCTATTGCATATGATTATTTTTACTTCTATTGCAAAATTACTTAACAACATTTGCACCAAAAATAGTTGTATGCAAGAGAATTGCAATTTTTATGAAGCTTCTCTAAGGCAAACTCTATTCACATTAAGTGTACTGCGAGTCAAAAGGCATATCTACCTTCAACTTGATTCACAGCTTATATTTACTACTTTGTGACACAAAGCAAATGAAAAAAATTACTTGTCGAGTTAACGAAATAAGTTGTAAACAACTTTATTAAAACAAACTCTATCTATTAAATCATTCAATCGATGATATATAAGCTGCATTTAGAAAACATGATATTCAAATTGCGAATGCTCATTTTAAAATAAAAAATATTTATGATAGAGATAATTGCTTACAAACAATACAATTGTGAAAAAATTAACATTCACAAAAATCGTTGAAAAATTCTTCCTCATTGAGTATTTCATCAATAAATGGTCCTTCTTGTAGGATGAATTCGATTTCATCCGAATTTTGAATGTTTGTATGTGAAACATCACCATATTTTGATAATACTGCGTTATCGTGCTCGAGAGACGATTTATTCGATGCTTTGCGGGTAATGAATCTTTTAGTGCAAAGCTTCTTGAGAGCACTTTGGTTATCTTTGTTCACGGACAAGTATATCTGAAAAGATGATTCAGTTGCGATTTTCCTTCTCTGGAGTCTCTTGTAAGCGAGTTTGATGTCAATATCAGTTCTTCCCTCGAAAAAGCTAGACATTTTTACCCAATGAGGGCCAATAATCGAATACAATTGAATGATCCTTAAAAGTTCATTATTTGTGAAATCTATATTTTGTTTTGTGTTAATAAGATAGTTGTAATATCTATCTTTACATTGTCGAACATTTCTCTTCATAATTCTGCTGATTTCATCCCAGTCGATTTCACATTTTTTGAAAGATGAAACTAAGGATAAAAGTTGCGCATCCTCTTCTTGGCTGAAATGATTTCTAACTCTCTTCGTGCTTGGTTGCATATCATTACAAGGAAACATTTATAAAAATGTAAAATTTTTTCACGTTTTCAATTGATCACTTTTTGAGAGTAATTCAATTTAACCATAAAACAAATATAATAATTATTTAAAAAGACACAGGATGGTTGATTTTTTTCTTTTTTCACCTCACAATATAATCGGATCCTACAAAAACCTAAACATATAACTTTATCATCATGTAAATTAATAATAAATATCAGAATAATAAAAAAAGAGGATGTTTTATTGTCGTCTGGAAAAGTGACAAAATTATTATTGTCGTCTAAAAAGGTGACAAATTATTATTGTCGTCTGGAAAAGTGACAAAATTATCATTGTCGTCTAAAAAATAGATTTTTCAAGCATGTTTCGGTACCTAAATAAAGGAAGAACATCAATTCCATCTATGTATATAGTATGCAAACACGCATGATATATGGAGTAGCTCTTTATCTGGCTAAAAATCCTATTATTTGAAAATTCGCATTGTCGTCTAAAACCGCCAGACGACAATAATAATACCCCTAAAAAATATTTTACAAATAAATTATTGAAAATTATCGTATTGCTATTTTGGAAACAGAATTAAAATATAATATGATTTTATAAACAACGTAAAATTTCAAATTGAATAAATTCTGAATTTTGAACCCCGGTGAACTTTGAAATTTTTGAATGCAAACCGACAATTTCGCATTCAAAGTAAAGCCAAAGATGAACTATCACCGTTTTAATCATATAAAATATTTTTACAATATGTTACGAATAGGAATATCATAATAAATACAGCTATTTCATAACAAATGAATCAAAAATTATGAAAAATATATTAAAATTATGTTCTCATATAGACAAAAATCATCATAATGTTGATGTTCAGTTATTAAAAGAATATAATTCGAAAATAAAATGATAAATAAAAATAGATAAATTTGATTTATGGTAATATACCATTTAATTATAATTTATTATATCATCATAAAATATACATCACTCCAAATGATTACCCAATAATCGAAAAAGAATTTCAATTTATTTTCTATAAATTGAAAAATTAATAAACCACAATCAAAAATGATTGTTTAAGCTTTTCCACAATCAATTTCGGAATAAATCAAAAATAAGATTTCAAATTATGAAATTTAAAAGATTTAATATTTAACAAATACAACAAAATCATACAACATATGTTAAATTTACAATCTTAGAGAAACACGCACAATCAAAGGAATTGAAATAAAAACAATCGCGGATCCGCAAATTAAGTTGTTTGAGTATTTTATTGAAGAAATAAAAAGATTTGAATTGCTTTCAACAACAGGAGATATGAAAGTAAATAAAAACTAATGATATATTTGGAACAATTAGGTATTTTTTTTCCTCGAAGCAATTTATGAAGTAGTCATCTTATATATCCGAGAATTTCTCAGATACGAAGCAGGCATCACTGTATGATTGTGTAAGATCATTAAACTACAAAGCTTTGCTATATTACATTGAAAAACAGTCAATGTCAAAAGATTATCAACCTTCTTTATGTGTTGCCGCTCAAATGGGTATTGTTTCAATGTGCCGTGTTCTTATCGAGAATGGTGCAGACACCAAAGCTACTATGGGACTTAAAGATACTGCTCTTCACCTTGCAACTAGATGCCAACACTTTTATGTCGTTTCTTTCCTTTGTTAACAGAGATATTTCTCAGAATCGGCCAACAAATAAGATTATTTTCGAAATAAACTAAAACATGTCACCATCATCAAAATTAAATTATTAATATGGAATTTTTATTGAAATAATATCATCATTAACATATCTTGTTTCAATATAGAATCGCGCAACTAAAAAAGAATTATTTGATATTCTTAGCACCATGTTCAGATAAGAATTTGACAATTTCAGATGAATTCGCCTTGATAGCAATACTTAAAGGACATTCATTAAAATTGAGAGAATTGCATAAAAAATGATCAATATGAAAAGAAGGAGAATTCTATAAAATAATGAGAAATATGAAAAGAAAGAGAATGTATTTAAACAATGAGAAACATCAACAGAAAGAAAATTCTATAAAACAATGGTAAATATTAAAAGAAAGGAAATTCCATAAAATATTGATAAATATAAAAAGAAAGGAAATATGATGAAGCAAAGAAAAATATGAAAAGAAAACGAATTGTATAAAACAATGATAAATATGAAATGAAGGAAAATGAAATAAAACAATAAGAAACATGAGAAGAAAGAAATTTCCATAAAACAAAGAGAAATATGAAAAGTAAAAGAATTATATAGCACAATGATAAATATGAAAATATAGAGTATTTCATAAAGCAATGATAGATGTTAAAAGAAAGATAATGTAATAAAACAATGATAAATATGAAAAGAAAGAGAAAAAGATTCATGTTAACATCAGCGCCATGTTCAACTAGGAATTGAACAATTTCTATTGATTTCATTTTGATTGCAATACCAAGAGGGCATTCATTAATATTAAGAGAGTTTCATATAATAATGATATATATGAATAGAAGGAGGATTCTATAAAATAATGATAAATTTGGAAGGAAAGAAAATTTGATAAAACAATGATAAGTTTGAAAAGAAAAAGAATTCTATAAAACAATGATAGATATGGAAAGAAAGAAAATCCCATAAAACAATGAGAAATATGAAAAGAAGGAGAATCATATAAGACTATAATAAATATTAATAGAAAGAGAATTTCATTACACAATGATAATTGTGGAAAGAAAGAGAATTGCATAAAACAATGATAGACATGAAAAGCAAGAGAATGTAATTAAATAATGCGAAAAATTAAAAGAAAGAAAATTAGATAAAACTATTATAAATATGAAAAGAAAGAGAATAAATATCTTGTTAACATCAGCACCAAGCTCAACTAAGAATTTGACAATTTCAATTAAATTCACTTTGATTGCAATACTTAGGGGACATTCATTAATATTGAGAGAATATCATAAAAGAATGATGTATATGAAGAGCATGAGAATGTAATAAAATAGTGCGGAATATAAAAAGAAAATTAATTATATAAAACAATGAGAAGTATGAAAAAGATAGAAAATTCTATAAAACAATAAAAAATATGAAGAGAAGGGAAATATAATAAAACAATAAGAAACATGAAAGGAAATAAAATGTAATAAAACAACGAGAAATTTGAAAAGAAAGAGGATTACAATAAATATTGATAAATATGAAGAGAAAGATGATTTGATAAAACAATGACAAATATGAAATGAAGGATAATTCTAGAAAACAATGGTAAATATGAAAAGAAGGAGAATTCTATAAAACAATGAAAAATATGAAAAGAAAAAGTAAATAAATTTCGTCGTAATCCATTCCATTAAAAAGTAAATAAGATGCAACATCATAATTTCCCCAATACATGCTTTCTGCTATTGAAGGTAAAGTATGCTCAAAATTTGTTTTAAGATACTCAGCAATTTGAGGATGTTTTATTGTCGTCTGGAAAAAGTGACAAAATTATTATTGTCGTCTAAAAAGGTGACAAATTATTATTGTCGTCTGGAAAAGTGACAAAATTATCATTGTCGTCTAAAAAATAGATTTTTCAAGCATGTTTCGGTACCTAAATAAAGGAAGAACATCAATTCCATCTATGTATATAGTATGCAAACACGCATGATATATGGAGTAGCTCTTTATCTGGCTAAAAATCCTATTATTTGAAAATTCGCATTGTCGTCTAAAACCGCCAGACGACAATAATAATACCCCCAGCAATTTCATAGTTTCGATATTTCAATGCTGTATAAATCATGTCATCGAACGACTTACCATCTTCTATCATTTGCATAAAAATGTTTATATTTCCACCTTGAACAGCATACATTTTGGATTTGCAAGTATACTTGGCTCCTAAATTTTTCAAGTAATTGAAACAAAATTCTGATCCATATTTAATTGCACAATCGAGTGGTGTGATTGCAATTGTTTCCTCATTTATATCGAGATTTGGGAATTTACTCTTAAGGTCATCAACTTTATCCCATGCAATATAGTAAAAAGGAGATTCTGTTGAATTTAAATGCAGGATTTCATCTCCATCAATTGCAGGTTCGAAGTTTTCAAATTGGATACATGAAAATTGGTTTAATATCTTTTGGTAAAGTTCTGTAAATAATTTAATATCTTTAATACGAATTCGTGAAATAACCTTTATCAGGTAAAGTGACATTTGGATAGATATTTTGTTATTTGTAACGAATTCGATAATTTGTGAAAATACTTGTAAAATATTTTTGGAATTGACACTCCAAATAATTTTTGATGCTTGACTAGGGTACTCAAATACTTCAATTGGCTTAATGCTAATAAAATCACATCCATTTTCATTTTTTGATCTCTCAGAACTTGACATTCTTTGTAACAAAATTTAAATGTGGCACTTTTGATAACATTTCTCCCACTTTTTCAATTTGCTACTCAAATTTTGTGATGTATTCAAAGTGAAAATGAAAAACTTAATTGAAAAAGTACATTAGGAATGATTTTTTTTAAATTTTATACTTTTTGAATTTTCAATTCAAAAAGTGTTAAAAGGTGGTAAATTAATTAATGCAATGAAGTCATAATCAAAAAAGGTAGTCCTACGAAGTATCTAAACAATAAGTTTCCAAATAAATAAGATAAATAGAATCAGTTGGCTCTGAATATTAATGATATGAATTTATTTTCGGGGTATTACCATTTTTGTCAGGTAAAGTGACAAATTATCATTGTAATTTATGTGGGTATCATTCCAATGCAATCTCATAAATTTATCTTTATAGAATGACGTGAAAATAAAATATTATCATTATCGTCTGATGAAAATAATTATATACCCGAGAATTACACTTTTCCGACATTTTTGGGTCGATTCACGCCCCTGACAAAACATCGGAAAAGTGTAAATTTTATCATTTTTCCAGACGAAAATAATAATCCTTCATTTATTTTGATAAGTTACTAAAATAATAAATTGATTTATGAATTATCTCACATTTGTTTTAATCAAATATGATTATTTTTCTTTCCTACAATTGATTTCGAAATAAATCAAAAAATGATTTCAAATTATGAAAGTTAAAAGATTTTATTTTCAAAATAAACAACAGAATCATACAATACATGTTAAATTTACAATCTTAGAGAGTTATAAGCAAAGAATATGAAAATTAATTTAATCATCAGAGACAATATCAAGATCTAAATCTTCTTGGACAATCTGTATATCACTTATGGAATTTGTTGACTGATATTGGTCATTAAGCTGTGAATAAGAATAAGAACAAAGAATTGAAATAAAAACAATCGCAGAACCACAAATTAAGTTGTTTGAGTACTCTAGTGAAGAAATAAGAAGATTTGAATTGCTTTCAACAACAGGAGATATGAAAACAAATAAAAATAATTTGAAAATTAAATTAACAATTGTAATAGCAATAAATGGACGAGTATTTGATACTATTTTGGCCTTGATAACAAAAAGAACAAAAGAAACTAATACTGTAATAAATAAAATCGAATAAATAATTTGTTCTATGATATTTGGTTTAAAATCAATGATTACTGGGCCAAAATACTGATATTTGCACTTAGAAAATGCATCAAATAGATTTAATACGACCGATAAAGCTGTGAATGCAAGATTTGTGGAAAAATTGAACTGAATTTTGAGAATTTGTGTTGGAACACAGATAAACGATGTTTCTAGTAATAATAAAATCGTATTATAAATGAATTGAGTAATCATATCGATAAATTTGTTGTTGAAAATTGGAATAAAATAAGCTAAAGCATTTGAATAAAATAACATCGATATAAGAAATGAAACATAACATATTCTCTTCAACCCTAGAGTTTTTGTCTTGAAAATGTTATAAATTTCTGTAAAAACTGGATATGCAATGATTAATAAGGGGAAAATACGCATATTAATGGCAAATCGGTAGACATTTGGATCTGGATAATTGTAATCAATTTTCAGTCCTGTAGCATTCAGTACATTGCCGATTAAACTCACATTAACAATTATTTGATCATAATACGTAACAATTTCGTTTAGGACGTTAAATTCAGTTGACAATCGATCATCGCCAGTAAATTTTAAGAATATTGGCTGTGAAGTATTTTTCTCTGTAATTTTGGAATTTTTATAGTATTTTTTTGAAATATTCATCACTAAATCCATTGTTTCGTTTTCAGGAGAGTATGCTCTGACAACAGAAGCATTTACATTCACGAGAGAATGATATTTTGAAATGGGACCAACAGCAAAGTCAAAATCGCCTTGAATATAAGAGTGAAATTTGCGGAATGGTTGGTAACTACCTGATGAGTGAACTGAATATTTGTTATTTAAAGATAAATAAATAAAAGTTCCTTGTAAAATAGCAATATATAAAAACATCACAAATGCTAATGAACCTTCTGATTTTTGGACTGATATTGACTGCTCTTCTTGCCCTTTTGCTATTGGAATTTCCGAAAACATGTTTTTTTATTCAAAAAATTTATCAAGTAAAGAAATTTTCAAAGACCGAAAAATCTGAATTTTTTTCGAGCTAGTTTAGCATTTTGCCATGCATACTTTTTAAGGAAAATTCGTAAAATTTGTTTCAAATATTTTATCATTTTGATAGGTTCTGTCGATTTGCGAACTCATAAATCAGTAGATGATAGCTTCATTTACTCCTCTCCTACCATATTGTCTACTGAAGCATCGGGGAATAGTAAGTCTGCGTTCCTACAAGATGCCATGAAGTTGAAACAAATTGAGAACCTTTACTTGGTCGATCAGAACCCTTAAACTTGAAAATATCATTACCTCATCTTCATCGATAATTAAAACAAATTATTTTATTAGAATTTAGGCAATACAATCTATTTCATTAACAGAAGTCTCAAGAAACAATTATTTATCTGTTGAGAAATTGTTTTGACAAGGTTCCGATGTTTTTGACAATATAAACTATTCAATATAATTTCTCATTTCTCACATTAAATTCAAATATAACATCATATAAGGAATATATTGTTCTCTAAAATTTCTGAAATCTGACACAGTATTTAAGTTATGATATCAAATCTTCCACAACCTCTTATTCTTGCAATTTTCCATGATGTTGAAACATATGTCCCAGGAAAGGCAGGTTCAAGAGGTGTGTTCATTATTGGAAGAGACAACGGAAATTTCTTTTTTAAGTGGGCCCAATATTCCGAAGACAGAATAAGACACGAACAACTGCGCGTTACATCTTCTCCAGGTAGTACGCGCACATCTGTTATGTATCGCCATCAAATCTACTTACAAGCATCGCAAATACAAAAATTAATTGTCACTCCGCAACCGCATTGCATGGATATGCTTATATCCACATTACATCCACCAGAAATGTATCAATTTCAATTCAAACAAAACCCTATGGAATCATGTTTACAGTTTTTACAAGTTATTGCGATCAATTCCGCCATTGGTGGCGAAAATGATTTATCATCAGATGTATGGCGAACAATTACACACAATAATGCTCAAGTTTTCCCATCATTTTCATCTTTAGCACGTGTTTACATTATTCCATGCGAAGATGGTAAATTTAATGTTCCTTTCATACAAGTTTCCATATCAAACCAATCAGTACCATTCGTTGACGAGATTACCAAAGCTCAAATCGCAACACAATTCGGAATAGATGGTGCATCTTTTACAAATGCTCCATTTACGAAGGCAGACTACGATCATATCGTTGGCTCATCCATCAGTTTCAACGATATTCGCATGCAAGCTTCCAGAAGAGGCATTGATACTGATCTTCGACCATTATTATGGCCACAGCTTCTCGGAGTGCTTCCATTTGCCAAGGAAATCGAATCAGTGCTCGATCAGCGTGTCGATGAATACAAATTGGTCAAGTATCAGTGGGAATCAATGTCATCATTCCAATTAACTCACCGTCCTGAACTCAGATCGGCATATCAGACCATCAGGATGGATGTTAAGAGAACTCATCTACCAGAAGGCTCAAATGAACAAGCAATTAAGCCTATGATGGAAAATATTCTCAAAACATATGCAATTTGGAACTACGATGTACGATACACACAAGGAATTAATGATGTAGTTCTTCCTTTCCTTCTTGTTTTCTACAATTCCAAGCTTTATACAGATGATCAAGTTGAAGCTCTTGGTTTTTGGTGTTTCGCAAGTTTTGCGGAGAAAATCAACAGCTCACTCATCGAAGGCAGCATGGATGGAGTCACAAACATCGATCTCCAGTTAGTTATTGAGTTACTTGGCACTCACGATCCGAAAGTTAAAGAATGGATTATAAAAAGTGACATGCAAGACATGAATTTTGTTGTTTCTAGTTTCATGTTAGCATTCAAGCGGTCACTTGACGAACCGAACCTTGAGCGTGCCTGGGATTCAGCGATGTGCAGTGATTCACCACATACATTTATTATTTGTTTCTGTGCTGCATTGATCATCTTTTGTTATCCAGCTTTTTCAAGAATCGAAAACTGCTCAACACCACAGATTCTTCCTATTTGCGACAAGATAATGAGGAGACAACCAATAGGAAGTGTCGTTGGTGTTGCTCTGGAGATAGAAAGTACTGCTCCAAGACCAGAAAAAAGAATTGTTGCAAACGAATTTTATTCGATGCCAAATATCGAAACAGACTTCTTCAACTTCATTTCTCCTTCACTTCCTAACTTGTTCTCTTAACAAGATATATTATTCTTTATTCTTTATTGTAATTAAATAGTTTTTGTTATATATCTTTTTCTGTCCAAAATAATTCAAACAACATTTTTCCCTTCTCAACTATTTGTTGCTGAATCAGGAAATGGGTACTTCTTCATATGACTAGTATCCTTTTTTTAAAAAAAATCGAGGGTTTTCCTAGCAACAATATATCTAATTTCTTTCCAATAAACTCTTTATAAGCCCGTAAAAAGTGTCAAAACTATTTTGAATATTTTGTGAACGTTCACTTTCATATTCATGTGGCATTTAAAGAGGGAAGACTAAAATTTTTGTTACGGGCGTGACCAAGACCAAAATTTCACCAAAAGTGACGCTTTTTTGAGAAAAATCTTTATCTGGGACTTCTATGTATACCACTCATCAGAGCATACTCCATACTATCATACTTTATCTTGATGATGAAGTCTGAAGATTATATAAAAATTGATTATTGATTATTATATAAATATTATGCAATTCTTCAATATGTTGTATAGATTAGTACACTTATTGCAAATCTATCTTGTATTAATGATTAAATTTATTCATTTAAGTATAATGTATTTCATTTCCACCAAAAATGCTTTTTTATTGTGTAATAGTATACAAATAGATAAATATTATATATTAAAACTCATTTATATTGTGATAACGCTTTAAATGCTTATAAATTGTATTGAATATCAAAGTTATGGAATGAAATAGTCTATTAGTTAAATTAGAACGGGAATAAATATACTTATAGTTAAGCATTAGATATTCTAATGTAATTATTCCAAAATGTCGCAATTACAAAAAAAAAAAATATTATTACCTAAAAAGTATTGTTTATTCAGCAAACAATGTAAAAATAAAATTATATTATAATTTTGGAAATAATAAGGGTATACATCCAAATTTAATAATCTTGCCTTTTTATATCAACGTAATCAAAGTATGATCTATGCAATTTGTATTTTACCTTTGTATTTAAATTGAAAAAACGCATTTAAAATCGAATCTGTTCAATTTGAGTGATTTCTATAATATATTTATATGAATTCGAATTAAATGGAAATATAGTTCGTAGTTGCTAGTACTGGGAATTACAATTGCCTATAGATTTATTGTTCTTTGTGTTAATAAATTATTGAATTTGAAAAATAAATCGATTATTGTATAATATCTTGCGTCATTGATGATAAATCTCCATGTATGTTGAATTTCCGATGAAATTATTAGTTTAATCGAATGATATAAGATTCAAGGTTTGCGATTTTATATGATTTAAGGCTTAATTCAATGGGTTACAATAAAGAACATTCACCTTATTCAAAATTCCGTTTGAAAATCTATTATGTGCATGTTTGTTAAAATGTGTGATGTTCATTATAACAAACAACACAATCTTATGGAAATTTTCCCCGATAATTATGTTATTTATAGTTTAAATTTTCATATACTTTGTTATTTATGCTTAGTATCGTATCTAATACTGTGATATCACAAATTTTGATAATTGAATAGAGGAATCCCCAATTTGATAGTGAAAATGCAATAATAGATTAATAAGGATTAAAATAAGACAGGCAAAAATCTCCAAAAATATTTGAATTTTTAAGATTTAATATGAAATTTGTTAAAATTTACATCATATTGAAAAAAATAAAAAAAAATTGGAAAAATTACATCAGAGAATATACATTATTTTTAGTAATTCATTAGAATTGCTTTCAAATTCATCATAAATTCTGCATTATTAATATTGATAAAATAATACTTTGAATTTTAGTAGGGGGCACACCAAAACATATAAGTATATAGTTTTCTAAATCTACATATGAGATCAAAATTTCATAAACTAGTTTTATATCTAAATTATTTTTGCATAAAAGATAAAATCTGTAGCTTTATTCATTTATATACTAATATAATTTGAAATCCAGAAATAAAATGGCAAAATAATCAATTTGAAATGACAATATTTGAATAATATGAATAAAATCAATTTTATTGATCATAAATAAAATACACCTACACAATAAAGCTAAAAACACATCTTTGGATGCCTTTTATCAATGATTTTGAATGAGATTCTTCAATTTCATGAACCAAAGAGAATTATTCTAAAATTCAATGACATTTTTGTATGTTTATTAGTTAAAGTCTAATATTCAATCTGTTAATCAATCAAATAGCATTTTCACACAAAGAAATTGCTTATTTATCATAAAATTTAGATTTCAACTTATTTTCACAATATGATTGAGCTTTCATACAATATACAAACAAAGTGCTATATTGAAATCCACTATATTATACTTTAACGCAGATATTCAATTCAATGAGCTTCATGAATCATATTTTAAACAAAGATAGTTATCCACATATGACATATTTATATAGTAATATCATTGATAGAATATCTACACAATTTTATTCTAATATGAATAAATTATTTCTGAATTTTTTCCAATTTTTATTTTCTGTTTATAGGTTGCTTCATAGTTTCAATGTTATTGATACTTACAGTTTCAACTCCTTCCAAACACATTTTATTTTTTAAATCATAATATTAACCATCATCTTTGGAAATTTGCAGGCAAAAATGAAACAATTTACTAGAATGGATTCACTATATATGTATTCTATATGACCAAAGGTATATATTCATCAATATTATATTTGATATAATGAATACGATACAGAATACTTCATTTTTAAGATTTCACAGCTAAATCTACTTCAGTTGATACTATAGTATGCTGAGGCAATTATAAACGATTTGATACGCTCATATTCATTGAGAATTATCCTATTTAATTGCATAAATTTTATTAACATATGTGTTTAATAGCATAATATGATAGAGCAAATTCTAGGCCATATAATGCCAAAGTTGAAAGACATGATGATCAGTATTTGAGGATTTTCAAGCTAAACTACGATTTTGACACGTAAATTTTGTCAGAAATAGTGAAATTTTGGTCTTGGTCGCGCCCGTAACAAAAATTTTGGTCTTCCCTCTCATTTAAGGGTGCACCCGTATGTACGTTTATTTGAGAGGAGGAGGATTACCCTCTCAATTTTGAGGGATTCGTTAGTTTATTTTCTCGATGAATATGCAATAAAATTTGATTTTTACCTTATCAATATACTTCATATAATATACACATGTTCATGTAAAAACTTTTTTCCAAAATCCTCAGGAATTAAGGGATTTTTGAATTTTAAGAATTTTTTTCGAATTTTTTCAAATTTTTTCGAAAAAAATAGGGATGCGTTAAACACGCCATTTGACCAGGCGTACATTTTTTTGTTCGCCCAAAAATTTCGCCATTTGAGAAATTCAAAAATTAAAAATAAAATTTTAATCTTGATTTTTTTATTTTCGTGATTTTTTTGAAACTTACATAAGCGATGAAATACTTTTTTTAAGTAATCGTTTATTATATATAAATATATCTTAATAAATTTAATTCCTTAAGGTAGAGCGTGTTCAAATTTAAAATCTCATACAATATTTTCTTAATGGCGTATTTTTCTGAGGTCGCCCAAATAAAGGCGAATTCAAAATTGAGAACTCCAAGGCGTATGGCGAGTATTCAAAAAGTACGCCACTTACAAAATATTGAATGTGGATTATCAATTTTTTGGCGTGTTCAATTTCAAATTTTGATATTTATGTTTATTTTATTCAGTATAATGCTAAGAATTAAAATATAAAATTCATAGAATTTTTTCTTTGAAAATATTTTACATTTTTATTAGACCACTCCTAGACTAGTCATCAGGTTATCCTCAGATCATCCTCAGACTACTCCTTATCAGATTACTCATCATCCTCAGACTACTCCTTAGACCCCTCCTCATCAGACTACTCCTCAGATCTTCCTCATAAGACTCCTCCTCAGATCTTCCTCCTGAGACTACTCTTCAGACTACTCCTTAGAGTCTTCCTCATCAGACTAGTCCTGAGACTAGTCCTCAGACTACTCCTGAAACTACTCCTCAGATTATCCGCAGACTCCTCCTCAGATTATCCTCAAACTACTCCTCAGTCTAATCCTCAGACTCCTCCTCAGATTATCCTCAAACTACTCCTCAGTCTAATCCTCAGACTCCTCCTCAGATTATCCTCAAACTACTCCTCAGTCTAATCCTCAGACTCCTCCTCAGATTATCCTCAAACTCCTCAGACTACTCCTCAAACTCCTCAGACTACTCCTCAAACTACTCCTCGGTCTAATCCTCAGACTCCTCCTCAGATTATCCTCAGATTATCACTTTACATATATATATCGATAACTAAATAATTACTTATTATACTTTCTTTATTTTTTTTAATTTTAAAATAATATTAATATATCTTTCTACGTTTAATGATGAAAAGAGAAAGAGGAGTAAAAAGAGGAAAGAGAAAAGAAAGAGAGAGAGAGAAAAAAAAAAGAGAAAGAGAGAGAAAAAAAAAAGAGAAAGAGAAAGAAAGAAAGGAAAAAAAAAGGACGGCGATAATTTTGTATTGTTTTGTTATTCGGCCGAATGGCGGCTACTTCGTACCCGCCATTCGGCCCCAAAAATGGCGTATTATTCTATTTTTAAACGGTCATGGCGTAAAACCGTCGCATCCCTAAAAAAATGTTTTCAGAACAGCCTTAACGGCTAAGATTTAGGAACAATGTTAAGTATCAAAAAGAAAGGAGGTCTGATATAGACAACATATATCGTTGAAGGTTGAAAAAATCTCTAATATTTGAGCCCAAAATTTCAAATTTTAATTTTTTGAAAAAAGAGGCCACCCGTATGTACGTTTATTTGAGAGGAGGAGGATTATATTTTTGAAAGGGTGAAACATTATGAATATGTTAATTATATAATAATATGTATTATTATAAAAAAGAAAAAATAAACCACGTTAAAAGTTTTCTTTCTTGATTTTTTACAAAATCTACTTAGAATTATGCAAAATATGACTAAATAATTATAAATTTCAAGTTAAATTTTAATTTTGATAAATAATTTAAATTTCAAAATATCAAGTTCAGTTCGACTATGTATGTAGTAATTCCTCAATAAAGTGCCAAAACCCTATTAAAATATATGAACATTTTCAACATTTTAATGTTTTTATTTAAAAATTTGTTGGAATATGAGCTTCAAACAATTATTATGTAAATAAAAATAATTAAATATATGTATTTATTCGTATTACAACCGTAGTAAGTCGATTCTTCCTTTCTTCTACTGAGGTTTGAATTTGATTTCGAATTGTAAAGAGATTCAAAGGGAAAATACTAGCGGATAAAAACTACCTCCATGAAAGGGTCATAATGGAGTCAAGTTGTATTTTTTGATATTTTTTGCTTTTCGACCCTAAATAGGTAGCCAAGATAATGCCTAAAATAAGGTTCTAAATTCTGAAGTTTACATGATCCTCTCGTGTGCACCCTTAAATACCAAATGTTTTTTTTTCTCAAATAAAATATAAAAATAAAATATTCAATTCAGAATTAAAAAAAAATCCGTTGACTTAAAGTTTGAACTTCCTTAAGCTTATCCATCAAAGCCAAGCATGAACTGAATCAAATAATTATATTCCACGGCAAGTGTACCGTTTTAATGCGTTTTTATTATACTTATGTCCTTTTGTCTAGTTGACATGCAATTTTAAATAATTTTATTAAAACAACAATAGAATGACAATCTTAAAATTAATGATCCAAAAATGACAGTAAATAACTAGTATTAATTCTTTATCTTATTATCTCAAAGGCACAACAGGTCAAGCAACTCAAAATGTCAGTTATTACAAAGATTCATACCTTTTCCAGTACCCATGCAAATTATTAAATATTTGCGTACCATATGCTATTGAATTTTCCCGTGGTACATATCAAATTGAACTATGGGGTGCGTCAGGAGGATTTGCACGAGTTGTAAACCGGGCAGAATTTTCTCCCAATTCAGCAGGCCCTGGCTCATATGTTTCTGGAATTATTAACCTTAAACAAGCCCGAACTATGTATCTCTATCTTGGAGGTCGTGGAGAAGATCAATCTGACATGTCACATTCCCATATTCCAGTATCAGGCGGCTGGAATTTTGGTGGTAAAGGAGGCAATGATTATCACAATGATCTAGGTGGTTCTTATCCAACAGAAAGCGGGGCCGGTGGTGGTGGTGGAGTTGATCTTCGCCTTGAATATTATGATATCAATCAAGACGAAATTGATGAAAATCTTTTAAACAAATCTCTAGAGAGTCGAATAATCGTCGCCGGATCAGGAGGAGGCGGCTGCTCAGAAAGGGTTCTAGATTGGGGATTTATGAGAGGATTTCCGGGAGGAAATATTTCTGCCATTTCAAATGGTCTTTATGTTTTCGGTGGAAATCAAATCCAAGGATTATTAGGGAAAGGAATGAACGGAACTGACGGGCCCCACAATGAGGGAGGTTCTGGTGGATGCGGAAGTGGCTATCATGGCGGATATACCAGCTTTCCTCCAAGCACACGAGATGGAATTTTTTCTGTTGGCGGTTCTGGAGGAAGCTCATTTATCAGTGGCCATTTTGGATGCATTAGTCCATACTTTAAGAATGATACAGAACCAACTCCACTGAATTCCTTCCATGAGTCAGGTTTATACTTTACAGAAACGGTCATGAAGAGTGGCAATGAAGACATGCCTAGTCCATACGATGACTCTATAATCACAGGCCATATTGGCCACGGTGTCTGTCGTATTACTATTCTTCGTCCAAAAATTTGCCCTTCGTTTAATTTTTGTTTTTCAATTCCTCTTTCCCTTTTATTTGCACCTCTAGGTTTTTCAATAAAATCTTAATTTAAATTTATATTTTCCTATTATTTTAAATTAGCGAACAAAATCAAAAATCAAATTTCAAAGATAATTTGATCAAGTATTTTGATTGAAATTTGATTAACACAGATAATTTTAATCTCTTTGGATCACTTGGAAAGATTCATTTTAATAAAAACGCTATTTTTCCAAATTTGAATTAAGCAAGTTATTGAAAACAACTGAGGTAGCAATCCAAAATGTTTCCAGGAACAAAAATACTTATTTTTTTGTTGAATTTTTGAAAATTTAAGGGTCCACTGTAAAAATTGAAAGTCTCTCAAAATTGAGAGGCGATTTGCAAATAATCGTTATCGTCATTTTTCGAAAATCCACTTTTCCTAGTGTTCTGATTAATATTTTGTGAATGTAACAATGAAGCATATGTTTTAATAAGATGATAATATATTCTATCACTTCAAATCACATAAAAATTGCAAAATCAGCGAGTTTTATAAGAACATGATTTTTTCCTATTTTTTTGCTTCTGGATGCGTGTTTTGAAAAATAGATATTTTCGAATTTTGATTTTATTATAAGTATGAATTTTATATTAGGAATTTTTTGACCTATTTCCAATCATTAATTCCTAAGTTTTTCTAGGAATTAAATTGAGAAGAAATTAGGAAATTCGCTTTAATGCCATTACATACTAATATTATGATGCATAATATATATATTTAAAGAGGCTAATGTCGGAATATCTTGCATTTAAAAAAAATTCAAAGAATTGACAATTGGATAGCACAAATTTAATTCCCTGGACAAAGTATTATTGTTTATATATTCAAAACATTATCCTTAGTTTTGAAATGTTGGCCAAAAATTTTCGTGTTATTTTTTGTGTTTAAGCATAAATTATGTATTTACTTATGAAAGATAAGCATTTTATTCATTATCATAAAGATATACCATAACAAATTGATAACATTTAAAAAAAAGTGTATTTTAGTGGGTATTATTCTGGCCAATGCCCATTTTTAAACAATTTAATATTGACCATATCAATAGCCGACTCAATGTAAAAATTTAGATATTATTTTTTTCATTAATCAAACTTTGATAAATTTTAGTATAATAAATGATTTTGTTTCGTGTATGATACAGAAATGAAAAGCTTAATTAATATCATTTTGCATTTTTTCAAGAATGTTAGAGTACATCTACATTAAAAAATCGGATTCGAATTGCGATACTGCATCAAATTGTTGCACATCTGATAAGGATCTCAAAAGAGTAAAGTTAATTTTTTTGTGTTTTTTTAAGTTTTGGGTCTTAGTAAAACACCATCTTGAGCAATATTTTTGGGATGACGATAGGCCTTATTTGGCCTTACAGTGGACCCTTAAATGTTGTTGAATTCAAAAATTCTGTAATTTTTGTTGCAAATGTTTCTTTGATCTATTATAATAAATTCCATTTTAACATTGAAGGCATTACAAATCCACACAAAATAAAAATTCCATTTGAATTTGGAAAATAAATTTTGAATGGTAATAAAGAATAATTTGAATACAATGAAAATTTTTCATATTTTTTTAATATCTTCAACAGAAGGCGCGCTCAGTAAATTCTCCGAGCTCATGCTCTTGTACAAAGATAGAGGCGAAGTCTTTGAAGCCTTGGGCCATCTCAATACATGCAATAAAGAAGAAATTAACAAAATCTTTCAGCAGATCAAAAAAGTTTTGATTGATTCTAATGAAAATTCAGTCAATGATATCCTAGTCCTTATCTCTAAGTTTGCTATCTTCAATAATCGTTATTTCAGATCATATTGGGAACTTTTCAAACTCATCTTCGAAGAATACCGTCCAAAATATGAAGGCATACATCCTCTTTTTTATTATCTGATTTACAAAGAATACGGAATAGGTTTTGAAGAGAAATGTGGAATTCGATTCAGCGATTTAGAATCTCAACACGTTTCATTGAACACTCTTGAAGAAAATACCATTTCCAAAGCTATTATGGATGATAATGTTCAATCATTTATAAACTTCACGAAAGTCGATGGATTTAATGAAAACCAGAAATTCAAAGTGTATTTTATCCAGACTCATATGATGGCTATTCATTATTAGAAATAAGTTGTTTATATGGATCCATTGAATGTTTCAGATACATAAGAACAACATTCAATGCGGAGATTACTCCAATATGCCTTTCCTTTTCATTTTTGGGAAGAAATCCTGAAATCATTCATGAGTGCCTCGCAAATATAAAACCCGATGATTTTGCAATGGAATGTGCAATTATTTCACATAACATGGATTATGTAACATTGTTATACAATACATACAATCTGAAAATCGAGGTATTCAAATGCATTGACTTCAGAAATCTCCCAGCATTTTTCTATTACTATGAGCAAACTAATGATGCAGAATGCTTTATCGAGTCACCAAAATTAAAAATACAATCACTTTGTGCATATTTCATTTCACATGGCGCTGCAATCAACGAAAAATCATCACTGAATCGTACAGCAGTTCATTTTGCTACAAAGTGTAATGATAACAATATGGTTGAATTCCTTATTTTACACGGCGCAGATATCAATATAGTTGGTGATATTCTTAGCGGTTCATGCCTCCAAATTGCAATTACAAATAGAAATTTGGAGTTAGTAAAAATCCTTCTTTTCCATGGTGCAAAATTAAAACATGATTCCAACGAGCAGTACTCAGCTCTTCGCACTTGTGCAAGGTGCGGAACAAAAGAAATCGCTCAACTTTTATTAGATCACGGAGCAGATTTCAATGCAGAAAAAGACCTTCTACATGATTCTGCATTAAAGAACAATACAGAAGTGGCCGAATTCCTTCTTCAACACAGTGCAGATATTAATGCACGTTCATTTGATGATTCAACACCTCTTCATCGTGCAGCTCTCGGCTGCTCGTTTGAAACAGCTAAATTCCTTATTGACAATGGGGCAAATGTCAATGCAAAAACAAAAATAGAAAGAACTCCATTTCACATACTTGCATGGAATCCATGTCAACAGGCTTTCTACGTTCTCTTAAGAGATGACCGAATTGAAAATTCAAAAGAAACTGACAGAGTTGCAGTTTTCCAGTCAGTATCAAATAAAATCAAAGACTTGGTCGAATACTTCATCTCTCATGGCGTTGAAATAGATGCCAAAGATGAAAAAGGAAAAACTCCTCTCCATTATGCATCCAAATCGAATAACCTTGATATGGTTGAAGTTTTGATTTCTCATAATGCTGATATCAATGCGAAAAGCCAAAAAGGAAAATCTGCTCTCTTTTATGCAGAAAAGGCCAACAACAAAGAAATAGCAGATTATCTTAAATCACACGGTGCTGAAACAATTCCAGTTTAAGCATCGATTCTTTTCTCGAATAAAAATTTTCCCATATCATAAGAATTGAGATTACTCATTGAATTTTTTTGAATATAAATTCTATAAAGTATTTGAAAATCAATCTCATAATAAATTATGATGTACGATGAATAAACATATATAATAATCAAATAAAAATAACGTGTTAGGCCACTCAAAAAATAAAATTATTGAAAAATTAATGACTATTGCTTTATTTGAAGAATCGCTTCCTGCGGAATTTAAAATTCTTATCACAGCCACCGATATGCTTTGGGAGATAGAAGAAGATCAAATAGAGCAAATTGTTGATGGTTTAATCAAATCAGTTGAGACAAAATTGCTCACTGATAAAGATATCGCTATGATGATAGACTACGTTTGCTCAAAAAGATGCAAGAAATCCAAATTATATCTTAAAACAATTAAAGACTATGCAACAAGACAAAATTTTTTCATTCCTCCAAAATGTATTGAGAATTCTGACGAATTAAAAGCGTTACTCTTGATTGAAAACCAAATATATGGAGCTTTGCCTGATCAATACATTGGAAAATATGAAGAAGAAATTTTTCAAATTTACAAGAAAGGTTCGATTTTACACGCCCTATTATGGGATGATTTAGAAGAACTCCAGCAATTTACATTCAATGTAGATTTCGATTTCAATAGGAGAATTCAAGGATTATCTCTCGTAGAGCACGCTGCTAAGAATGGTTCTGTAAATTGTTATAAATATTTAATTTCAAATGATGCAAACATATCATCCGAAACATTACAATTAGCTTATCTTGGAAATGATTTCGAAATTATTCATTCTGCCGAAGAAAAAGGAGAAACAGAAGAACTTTGCCTGAAAAACGCTGTTATGTCACACTACTACGATGCTGCTTATTATTTACACGACAAATACCTCTTTGAATACAAATGGGATTGGGCTTTAAGAAGTTACAACTTTTCAATGTTCTTTAACAAACTTTATGAGTCAGATAATGTTGATAATAAGGATGCCGATGGAGATACAGCCTTTTTATGCGCAACAAGGCTCGGATTAAGGTCAATTTGTGAAATGTTGATAGCAAAAGGAGCAAACATCGAAGAGAAGGATAGAGATGGGAATACACCATTGATTATTGCAGCTAGAGATAATATATCTGAAGTATTTGATCTTTTAATTGAAAATCATGCGAATGTCAATGCACAAAACAACGAAAACTATAGTGCATTGATGTATGCAAGTGAAAATGATTACATGAGCATCATAGAAAAGCTCTTTGAAAACAAAGCAAGCGTAGATTTATTTAATATTTACGGATGCAGCGCTTTAATGCTTGCTTGTCGAGCAAATAGACTTGATGTTGTTAAATTACTGCTTAAAAAGCACGCATACATCGAAAGACGTTCAACAGAAGGTTATACGAGCATAATGCTTGCAGTTCAAAATAATAACATACAAATCGTAAAGTATTTAATAGATAATAGAGCTAATCTTGAAGCTAGAACAAATGATGGCTTCTCAGCATTGATGATTGCATGTGAACACAATTATGTCGAAATTGTGAAATTATTGTTGGAAAATAAGGCCGCAATTGATGCTACTGATGAATATGGGTTTAATTCATATATTCTCGCATCAAGGTACAAACATACAGAAGTTATTAAGCTTCTTAAAAAGTACAACAATAAGTGCAGAATTTGTTAACTTTACAAATTTCCGATACAGCCTCTCAATTTTAATTATATATTTTTATCATGAAATTTTAATGTGTTTATGTTTTGTTTAATAAATGAATTTTTATGTATTTATTCAATTTTCAGATTTCTCAAAATTTTTGTCAAGACTGTCAAAATTTTGTCAAATTATTTTTCAAAAAACATCGATCAAGAATTCCTCATGAATAAGCAACTAAAACATAAACTATTGAGAGCCTAGGTTAAGATCAAAGCAATCTATTTGCATTTTTGCAGAATATTATCATTTTCAAAAAAGATCCAAAATTTCTATCACACGCAATCAAGGATCATGTAAGACTATTAGAAGAAAAGCTCATTGATTATTTAAGGAAATATAATAAATTTAATTTTTTTGTGTCTTGAATCTAGCATTCAGAGGTTATTAATTGAACCCATATATTCATATCATGAATTTAGTCTGCAAGTAAGTATATAAATGCTTTTATACGTAATTATGTAGAGACAATTTTCGATAATTAAGGCAATATGATTAGATTCGGAATTTGGAATACTGTAGATTAATTCAGAATAGAAATAGCTGTTCCTTCCAAGTTTAATACAATATCAAGATAGAAAAATTTCAACTCGGAAATATTCCAATTAATACTATATTCCGAAGAGTCATGCTACAACTTTAAGATCACATTTAATCCTAACATAATAATTTTGATGTATTGACCAAAAATCTTACTGTACGTTAAAATCGGACCGAAATCATCTGCGAAAGTCGGTTTTGATCAATGAATTTCTATATCTATAATAAAGTTTTCCTTAATTGTGCAAATATCTAAGTTTGGATATGCAATAACTTCCTTCACAAAAATTTTATTCATCGATTTAGATTTTTCGAGATATCGAAATTTTAATTATATTCTGATACTTTTAATGCAACCGGATATCTCATGCAACACGTAATGCTCGCTTTGACTTATATAGTGGCAGAATTATCTTCAATTTTGAGAACCTCAAATGAGTTCAATCTATTTGGTATTATGCTTTGCATCACATGATAATAGAACTGATTCCAGAATAGGGAGAATGTTAAACAATATACAACATTTCGATAAAATTTTGCATTATCATCTCTGAGAGGTGTATTGAAATAGATAGACTCAAAATCATATTACAAATATAATTTTCGCAGTATTTTGTAAAATGAAGTGTAATTTAAAAGTCAATTTTTTAAGGGTCCACTGTAAGGCCAAATAAGGTCTATCGTCGTCCCAAAAATATTGCTCGAGATGGTGTTTTACTAAGACCCAAAACTTAAAAAACACAAAAAAATTAACTTTACTCTTTTGAGATCCTTATCAGATATGCATGAATTTGATGCAGTATCGCAGTTCAAATCTGATTTTTTAATGTAGATGTACTCTAACATCCTTTAAAAAATGCAAAATGATATTAATTAAGCTTTTCATTTCTGTATTATACACGAAACAAAATCGTTCATTATACTAAAATTTATCAAAGTTTGAATAATGAAAAAAATAATATCTAAATTTTTACATTGAGTCGGCTATTGATATGGTCAATATTAAATTGTTTAAAAATGGGCATTGGCCAGAATAATACCCACTAAAATACACTTTTTTTTTAAATGTTATCAATTTGTTATGGTATATCTTTATGATAATGAATAAAATGCTTATCTTTCATAAGTAAATACATAATTTATGCTTAAACACAAAAAATAACACGAAAATTTTTTGCCAACATTTCAAAACTAAGGATAATGTTTTGAATATATAAACAATAATACTTTGTCTGGAGAATTAAATTTGTGCTATCCAATTGTCAATTCTTTGAATTTTTTATAAAATGCACGATATTCCGACATTAGCCTCTTTAAATATAAACTACATGCATCACAATATTAGTATGTAATGGCATTAAAGCGAATTTCCTAATTTCTTCTCAATTTAATTCCTAGAAAAACTTAGGAATTAATGATTGGAAATAGGTCAAAAAATTCCTAATATAAAATTCATACTTATAATAAAATCAAAATTCGAAAATATCTATTTTTCAAAACACGCATCCAGAAGCAAAAAAAAAGAAAAAAATCATGTTCTTATAAAACTCGCTGATTTTGCAATTTTTATGTGATTTGAAGTGATAGAATATATTATCATCTTATTGAAACATATGCTTCATTGTTACATTCACAAAATATTAATCAGAACACTAGGAAAAGTGGATTTTCGAAAAATGACGATAACGATTATTTGCAAATCGCCTCTCAATTTTGAGAGACTTTCAATTTTTACAGTGGACCCTTAAATTTTCAAAAATTCAACAAAAAATAAGTATTTTTGTTCCTGGAAACATTTTGGATTGCTACCTCAGTTGTTTTCAATAACTTGCTTAATTCAAATTTGGAAAAATAGCGTTTTTATTAAAATGAATCTTTCCAACGCTCAGCTAGACGGCCACGACCATCCTACGTCACCTCTAGCTGATCAAGTCTTTTCCCCTATGTCAGCATTGACAAGAGGTCTTACCAGTCCATCAAAAGTTTTCGATTTTAACATTGGAGTTTTCAATGACTTCAATGACGTTAGATACAACGATGCATCCGATCCAATATTTAACGACGATTTGTTCCTCTCTCCTAAAAAGCCAGTTATTGACCGCAATATTCCAATACCGATAATAAACCAAACAACAACGAAACGAATTATAGATAGACCTGCTCAAAAAGTACAGAAGGCTCGTTTTGTTATGAAGCCATTTGCTACTTTTGACTCAATAGAATTAACAGTTAAATCGTTAAATAGCATATCCACTATTAAGGTTTAGAAGGTCTTTGGCGATCTCATGCCTTAGTGTTTGCTATATAATTCTCTCGTTTTACTTCCTGTATATATAATTTGCTTTTTTTCATATAAAAAGTATTTTTATGAAAATAAGCCATATTAAGCATTATCCTATGCACAAATTACTGAGTTACACTTTTTCACACCTTTGATGGTTACTTTTTACGAGCTTCTATGAAGGTTTTTTGAATTTAATTTTGAAAAGAGCTCTCTATTAAAAGAAAGCAATGCATTTAATCTTTGAGCTATATGCAGCTGAAATGATAGAGATATACGCGCAACTTTTGAAATTAATATGAGATTTTTCTAAATATCCAAATTACATTTAGATTAAGATTTGTTGTGAATCTTATGGATTCAAAAAACTAAGAGACACAGTTTCACATTTCAAATTGTATACATAAAAATTTCAAATAATTTTTTTTATTCAATTCTTATGATTATATGGTATATTAAGATTTTTCTCAATCTCCATATATCATTTATGAAGATTGAATTCATTTTTCTTCATGGATTACAAAGATGAAATTGAACAAATTCCCAAAGAACGTGATCCAAATGAAAAGGATCCAAATCAATCAATATTCGAGTCATCAAAGTTCATCAAAGTCAATTTTGATCCAGATCAGCTTTATTATGATTTTAAATCTGCCTATAATTCAGAAAATATAGATTTGATCAAAGATATGCTCGAAAAAATGCAAAGATATACAGAGAACAACATGTGGCTATATCATAATTCGTTTGATGAATACCAAATTCCGTTAGTTCTAATTGATTTAGGATTTGAAAAGTTCAAAATGATAGATTTAAGAATAAACACACTAGCACTTCAAGTTATTGCACAGTTTATGGATCCTGTTTCATGTGGTCACACAGAATACTTTTTAAATTACGGAATCATCGATGCTATTAACAAATTTATTACTGTAGATGGTTTTCCTATACAATATGTTCTCGAAATCATGATTGGAATTGTAAATTATTCAGAAGAAGCGATTGACCAATTATTTTCTACTGTTGGTATAGATGTTATCATAGATTTATACATGACATCGGATGCAGGTCTTTATTGTGCAAAATTACTGTATTTATTTAAAGTTGTAAATTTTGAAAATTGTGACGACTCCATTTTCGAAAGTGTACTTAATGTTTGTCAAGAATTCTTAGTTCGTAACTATTCCAAGGCAAATCTTGACGAAATTGCAAATCCAGGACAATTTGTCCCAATTCATTTCACAGATATTCTTTTTGATACACTAACACAACTCTGTACGTCATTAGAACGCTATAACATTATCAGAAGGATATATTACATCTCAGAAATTTTAAATGCTTGCATACCTCATGCAGAATACAAAACTGCGATCGCTGCTTTGCGTCTTTTATCTAAGTTTTCATTGCATTTCACAGATATGCCATCAATCTTTCCAATTGATTACAGAGCAATTATTGGATTGTATGAGTCCACAAATATACCTTCCAGTTTGTCAGAACAGATATTACATACCATATATGACATGGTTGCTTGCTCAGAACAGTCATTTATCTTCATGACTCAGTCTTATAACATAATTCCAGTTTTAATCGCTTCTTATAAGACCAAACGATACACCGAAAAAGCGCTTATCTTTGATATATGCGTAGAATGCATTAGACATGGATCAGAAACGTTAAAAGCTAGATTTATGTCAAATGGAATTATTGAACCACTTGTCGGAGCACTTACAGTTGTAGATGATGAGAAAAGAGTTACTGATGCATGCTATGCAATTCATTACCTTCCTAATGATATAAAATCTCCAGAAGGACTTAATATTAAATATTATTCGTTACTTGCGTTGAATGCTCCAGAATTAGTAATAGATTTACTTAATGATGATAATTTAGAAGATTCTACTTACGAAGCTGTTGAAATGCTTGCTTCTGATCCAATAATGAAATTTTTGATTGACAATGACTGTCCAACTGACCCAGAAGATGAATAATATATTGTTTGTTTGTATTAAATTATAACTTTTATTTGAAATTTCATGAAATTATTTTTATTATTTTTGGAATATCTTACTTCAAGAAATCAAATAACAAAATATATTAAGTAAAATTAGAAATAGAAAGATAAAATGGAGAGAAGTTATCATTATAAATTCAAAATGATAAAACAAAAGGACTCAAATCTTGATACATTAAAGGGAGAAATACAGTAATATGATGGTTTTTCGTAATTAGGATCTTTGATATCAATTTTGAATTTAATTACCTTAAATTCGAGCTTTAAATAAACAATTATGCATAAATTTCATCTTTATTCAATTTTTATAAGGATATCAAGTGTTATTGCTTTTTCCAAAATTATTTTCAAAAAAAAAACATCTAAATTCCTGAAAAGTATTCAAAACATCCCATAAAATCAATATAATTTTAACTGAAGATAGGTCAGGTATGAGGGGCTTCCAGGGGCTGCGCCCCTTCTAGCCCTGAAGATGTTTAGTATAAATGAAGTTTATATTCGGAGGACTCTTCTTGGATAGAGTCTTGTATTTCCTCCTCCATTGCTTCTGGGAAGAAGCCTTCTTCTGGGTCGAAAACATTATATAATGTTTCACTTTTCACAAATTATATATGTTTTCATGTTTTGTCACTTTTCTGTCACTTTTCAGGAAAAAACATTTTTATTATTATATATAAATGAATTTTACAAAACCACCGTTACCGTTCTTTGGAAATAAGAGTAGATGTAAAGATATTATATTGAGAGAACTTAAGAAACTACCGAATGGTCTAACATTTGTAGATTTGTTCGGTGGAAGTTTCTATATATCCCATTTATGTCATACCGTATTTCCTGACTCAAAGATTATATGCAATGACTTCGACAACTATATGGACCGTCTCAAACATATACCAGACACAAACAATATATTGAAAGAGTTAAAAGAAAAGATACCTATAGGTAAGATGGAACGTATACCATTAGATAAGAAAAATATTGTGAGAGAGGTTTTGAAAAAAGCAGAATATATAGACTGGGATAGTATATCTGCTAGACTATTATATAGTGGTGCTATAAGAGTTCATGACATTGAAACACTTATGTCAAAAGTTTTATATCTTAACTATACAAATGTTTTCAAAGAGGACATAGAAAAATATATTGAGGGTATAGAGTTTGTGAGATGTCATTGGACAGAGTTGTATGAAAAATATAAAGACAAGGAAAATGTTTTCTTTATAGTGGACCCGCCGTTCTATAACACATGGGATTTTCAATACCAAGTAGACTGGACTTTGAGAGACTCTTTAGAAACTTTAGACGTTTTACATAACCATCCATGCTTTTACTTTACATCCGATAAAAGTGGTTTGGAAACCGTTATGAGATGGTTAGAGGACATACATGACTATGAGTTTAGATATGACAAGATAGAATATGAGAGAGGTCCTATAAACCGGAGAAGTGTCATAACAAAGAAATTTTATTGGTAAGTAAATGTGGTTTGAAATAGGACTACTTGTTTTAGGTTTTTCCATTGTGTCATTTATTTATTTGACGTGGCAGAAAAGTACAGAGAATATGAAGATGAACCAATGCCTGCAAATGTTCAGTATATGTACTCGTAAGAGATATTTTTATCTAATATTAAATGGACGCACAGAACTTAGCGAATGCACAGCAACCTGGACAACCAAACCCAGAGAATATTCCAAATGAAGTTAGAATACAAACTGCAATGGCAAACTATGGTCAAGTGCCAACAGATGACAAATGCAAACTGCCATGTCAAATGACGCTGCGTTAGGTTTGCCACCATGGTATGCAAATATGAGATGGAAAGAGTTTTATACAAACCCTGAAGTGGGATATAAACAACTTTATGCAGATGACGCGAACACAGGAGTTGACCCAGAATATGTTTTCTACCAGAGGAGAAACAGAATGTATGAGCTCCAGTTAAAGAATGCTATGGAACTCAACAGGAAACGTAAGAGACTAGGCGGACATTAGATTTTTACACGTAGTAAATGGGTTTCTTCAGTAGTATTGGAAACTTCTTCAGAAGAGTTGGAAGAGGTATATGGAATGGAATAAAATCTGTCGGAAGAGGAGTATGGAAACGGAGTCAAAAATATTGGTAAAAGAGTAGGTCAGTTCGTTGGTATTATACCTAAAGACCCTGAACCAGAAGAACAAGCTCCTGTTATACAACAGCCTGAACCTGCACCACAGTCTAGTTGGCAACCAAATCCAACACCTCAACCGTATTAAAAAATTATATTTTTACCGTTCGATAGTAGTTGTATATGAAACTAAGTTCTAAGTAAAACGCATGGTATAATGGAATTATTCTTTTTCTTCCATCTGTAGTAAACCATACTTGAAAGTCTGAAATACTTCCACTTGGTGGTTCGTATAACTTTGTAGGTTTTTCGTAAAAGTCATTTGCCAAGCATAGAAAGAGTTTTGGGCGCCAGAAAATGAAGCATGAACAATAATAGCATCTTGGTCGAAAATATTTTCATATGTTCCATTAGGGTTTTCGACTTCATAATAGTCCGGGTGTACTGGATATACTGCAGGCTGATTTAACATCCTCATAAATCTATACCATGCCAAGTTGTTATATTTTGTAGAAATATAAACGTTTCTCCAAGGTCTTCTATTTTTTTGATTTTAACAGTTGCATTTTTTCCTGTCATAAATATATCGAGATGGTATTCTCCTTCGTCAATGTTATACTGGTTTGCATATTCGATATAGATATCGTTTATTTTTTCTTGAAAAGCTTGAAGAGTTGTTTCTAAGTTTACAAGCAAACTAACTTGTAAAAGTTTTCCCTGTTCAAATTTCTCATACATACGTTTTTCTTTGTTATAGTATCGAACTTCAAAAACCAACCGTAAATGGGAAACCATGTATGGCTTCTGAAATGAACTTCATTCTACGAAAGCCAATAGCTTTTGTGACGGATGGGTCTCTTAGCCATCTTAATGGGTAGTCAAAACGATAGCCTTCATGCTTTACGGTATCTGTCTCAAACTTTGACCGACATTAGTAAAAGTTCATCTAATGGTTTAGTTGTAGCAACTCTTGAATTTTCTTTTTCTATTGGAAGCATATTTTATCTAGAATAAAAATGTCGAAAGATATTGCTTCCATGAGAGAAATACAACACAACCGACAACTCATTATGCAAGCTCTAAATAAGAACACAACAAACTTTTCAAACTATTCTAAGATATCTGAGTCATTGAAAGAAGGAAACTTAAAACTGACATTAAACCCAATGACAGATGAGTTTCTATTTCAAGACAAGAAGAACAATACTGTCTGTATAAATCCAACAAAAGGAACTTTAAACGAGAAACCTATAAATGAACTTCTTTTGAAAACAGATGTTGACAACAAAGCTGACAAAGAATATGTAGACGATGCAATAGCAAAAGAAGAAGAAAGAGCTAACAATGCTTATGCAACAAAAGAACATACTCATCCTGAACTAGCAGACAAAACATATGTTGACAATAAAATGTCAAGTGAAGTGACAAGAGCTGAAAACGAATATTCTAAAAAGACTCATATACATTATATTAACCAAATACCAAGTCTTAAGGAAACATTAGAGACAAAAGCAGATAAGACTCATACACATTATATTAACCAAATACCAAGTCTTAAGGAAACATTAGAGACAAAAGCAGATAAGACTCATACACATTCTATATCTGATATTACAAACTTACAAGAAACCTTAAACAGGAAAAGTGCCGTTGGACATACACATACATCTTCTGAAATAACAGACTTAAACGTTAGCCTTGAAAAGAAAGCAGATAAGAACCATACACACGATTTCTTCGCAACTGTTGGTATAGAAAATATTGAAGGAACGGTTGAAGGAGCTGATGGAACTGGTGGGGATGTATTGTATTGGAAACCTCCTAACTTTCCACAAGGTTTAACATCGAATGAAAACATAACAACGAAGAAAGACATTAGCTGTAAAAATGTTTTTGTCATGGAGGATGAAAATAAAGTTAAATTCACTGCTCAAGATTTATATGACAAGAAAGCAGACAAAACAGAGCTTCAAACATTAAAGACTGAAATACTTCAAACATTATATCCTATAGGCTCTATTTATACGTCAATGAACTCTACCAGACCAGAAGTAGTACTTGGTTTTGGAACTTGGACTCAAATAGTCGACAGGTTTTTGTATTGTGCAAACTCTTCAAAGGAAACAGGTGGAAGTAAAACGATTTCAGGTGAAAATTTACCTGCGCACAGTCACTACATAGATTTAAGTACATCTCAAGCAGGTTGGCATAAGCATAGATATTGGGATTGGTCAGCAATGACAAAAGGTAAAGGATATGATGTTAAAGACAACGTTAAGTTTGCTATAAATTGTTACTGGAGTAACACTGAGGGAGGAGGAAACCATACACATTTCGTTTCAGGATATACGCAAACAACGGGACAAAGTAAAGAATACATGCAACCTTACATGACAGTTTACGCATGGTATAGAATTGCTTAGTCGTCATTTTCAACTTCTTTAGCATATTCGTCAGGAGTTGTCTTATATTTGTTAGGAACTGTCTTTGAAAGTATACCACCTTGAACTTTGACAAGTTTGAAACGAGGTCTGACAATAGTAGTTTTATCTTCTGCTTGCAGTGTGTACATTTTGCCATGTTTGCCTAAAACTTCATAATATTCTCTTGTATACTTTCTTCTATTTTTACGAACACGAATGTGAGTACCTGTCGGGTTCCCATTGTTGTCATAGTCAATAGTATTTTCATATGGGTCGCGTTTAGGTATTTCTATTTTTACTTTGTCACCTTTCTGAAGTTTGAAGCCCGGCATTCTTTCTTGTTTGTCTCTTTTGACTAAATTGTTAAATATATAGTCTTTCTCTAAGTCAGGGTTGTTTTTCATTTCTTCGGGGGAGTGGTTTCCCAAACCTTTTTGTTTACGGCT